TTCTCCGCGCCAGTGGAGACGAAGGAACGAGCGACAACCCAGGCGACTTCAACGGCGGTGAGACGGCAGCTTCCGATGCCTTTCCTTGAGTAACTGTAGACGGAGCCTTCCTGCGCGGTCCTCTTGCGCGGCCCTTAGTCATGTGGGTTAACTGTGGCCCATCTTGCTTCTCAGGCCCCTTGGATGCTGCTAGTCGACTGGCAGTTTCCAAATTAGAGCTCACTTTTCTGCTTGACCCTGCTGGCTTTGGGGGCGGACCCCTCGCCAGCATGCCAGCCAGGGCTGGGTTGAAGCGTCCGGCAAGTTTTCCTTGGGATGCCGTAGGAGAATTAGCCTCTAGTGATATTTTGGGCTTCGGAGAATTGTAAGGTAGGTTGTTTTTTGATAGAGTGTCGGATAACCCTTTGCCAGAAACAGTGTTGTTTCGAGTTCCAGGTACCACCGTATTGACCCTTCCCAAATTTGCCTTCTTGAGCAAGGCTTCGGGAGGCTGGGCCTGAACAGGAGGAAGTGTGGACTGTGTGGCACCGGCCCCACCTAGCTGTGCCTTCTTGCGCAAGGCTTCAGGAAGCTCAGCTTGAATTGGAGTTGTGGACTTCGTAACTCCGGTCCCCTCTAATTGTGCTTTCTTGAAATCTTCCTTCTTTTTCAGGATAGCATCCTTAAATTCGTCTCTACGCTCGGTTTTCTTTGGGCCACCAGTTAAGCTCAGCCCTGCTTTCCCACGAAGTATATTGTCTTTGAGCTCATCAGGGGCGACATAATTTTGAGTCTTAGTGCGTCGAAGCTGGCCGAACACATTCTTGAATTCCGGTTCGTCCTTGTCAGCAGGTGGAAGTACCTGCTTTGGCTTTGAATTCAAAATGAAGTCCTTTTTAGGCGGAGTTTCTGGTTTGGTTTTACCAATGACCGGCGATGAGGGTTTAATAGCTATAGGCGCCGTAGGCTTGGTTTCGGTCGTTTTAGGAGTGGCTGTTTTTGAAGCTTCAGGCGATACCTTGCTTGATACGTCACCGTTGTCGGTCTTTGTTTTGGGAGCAGCATCCGATGCTTTGTTTGTCTGGCTTATTGGGGAAGTACCGCTTGAGAACCCTGCTGGTAATCCTCCAACACTTAAAGGCTGCGCAATTCCTCCCATTGGTGGCGATCTCAGTAAGCCTCCGATGCTCACCTGGTGTTTGTGGCCTGATGGTTTCTTCGATGTTTCCGTTGTTGGAACCTTTTGCTTGGCTTTGCTAATTTCTGACATCCAACTAGGCTGTTGAGGAGGGGGGGCTGGCTTGGGCTTCGGAGATTCTGGTTTGTTTAAAGCGCTTTCAAGCCAGCTGGACTTCGTGGGACTCCATCTGCGCGTGTCTGTGGACTTGGGAGGGCTTGGAGGAGGGCTCACACTGAGTGCTGAGTTCTCTGGCCGGTCAACTTGCCTCCCAGAATGTGCATCCGATGACGCTTGAAGCTGCGAAGCTGATATACCTGGCTTTACAAAGTCCCCGTCTAGAATAACTTCCGATTCAGAGCCCCATTGAGCGCCTGATCTTCCTTGGCGGGCGCCCTCAAGGATGACTGTAGCATTGCTATGACTAGAACTTGGCCTAGATATTGGAGTATTCTCTCGACTCAAACTGCTGGGGCGTGGTTCTCGTGTGGGAGAATTCAAGATGTTGCCCAGGGGTGTCCTGGAAGAAAGTTCCTGGTTATTCCGGTTACTTACGGTAGAGTTGCCACGAGTCAAGCCGCCAGGTGACTGTACACTCCATCTCTTATTTACACTATCAGATCTTTTCATCATTGCACTCTGGACAAACCCTCCCATTCCTTTAGTGGGTGATATTGGCCGGTCCATCCTCTCTGGCGAGATGCGGCCCTGGGAAGGGGACATGGCGAGATTGCGAGTAGAAACTGGTTGGTCTATATTGCCCTCCGATGCAGTTATTGATCCTGGTTGAGGAAACCGCTGTGCACTGGTCGCGGGCATCGGTGACACAAATCCAGTCCGACTGGTCGTTGAACCATATGCGCTGCTCTGAGTTATACTGTCTTTAGTAGATGAGCTAGCTCTCGAAGGTGAAGATGATCGATCGATATCCGCTTGTTTTGTTTCCTTGACGTCAGAACTATCACTATACTCTCTGGTCGGAGTATGTGACATCCCTGGCAATCCCACGCGGTGGATGTTTGGTATGGCTTGGTCCACGTCTTTAACCTCGACTTGTGTCTTTCGATATGCGGCAGAGCCTTGCCCTCCGTCAGAAGTTTGTCGGAACCATGTGGGATCTTTCGACGCAAGTGATTGTGCTATTTTGTTGCGGTCCATTGGCGCCGCGTCCCTGGACGGTGGTTCGGATTTCTCAATTGGAGAACGTGCAGTTGTTTCGCCTGCAATCATGGAAAACGGTCGCGTGCTTGATCGAACCGGTGATTGTGAATTTGGCCTACGCTGCCACGAAAGAGTTGGGCTTCTTGACGGCATCGCGCTTGAGGGCGAGGCCCTGACAGATATGGTATGAACGACGTTTTTGTCTGGGATATCGCTGCTGCGACTAATTGGTGATGGGCCATGATCTTTCGTAGGTGGTTCTTCGCCAGTTAGGCGGCCCATGGTGTCGTCGAGCAGTTGCTCTCGATTTGATAATTGAGACGGGCGTTGAAGTCCTGGAGATGGAGTCAAGGCTGCTTTCGGCGATTGGGTGCGAGTTTCAGCGGAGGCAGGTTTATATGGCGGTGGAGTATTGGTAATAGAGTCCTTTATTGGGGATATAGATCTAGCGCGTTCTGTGTTGTTGTGGTGTTAGTGAGACAGGACAAGACTATGGGCAACATTGAATGTGAATTGCAAAGACATGGGCAACACGAACCAGCCCGGCGGGCTTGCCGTTCTTTTCGTCCCTGCAGAATCTCCTCCTCCAGTTTTTTGTTCCGCTCCTCATCCTCCTGGTCGCGCTTGATGCCCAGTTCCTGGATACGCTTCAAGAAGTCATTTATATCCTCGGCATCGGTCTCTGCTGTCGAAGGCATGGTGGGAAAAGGTGACGGGTGTTTTAGTGATGTTCGTAACACATTCGCAGATACACAGCAATGCAGTTGAATACACAAAATAGCAGGTTGTTCAAGTATGACGGCAGCGCTCGCTATAAGCTAGAGTCTTTCTCAAAGTTGACAAGATGCGATCAAGAGCTGGAAGCAACGGTCGGTTGTACTTGCTTCAATCTATTTAGGTTCGATATAAGCGTCACTAATCGCAGGTCTTGGCAAAGGCCGCCCGCAGAACACCGACCAGCATCCGACATAGGGGGACTCGATCCAAGAATCGCACAGGCAATATAAAATATTCTTGGGTCCTGATTCTATTTTCACCAGTATATCCCGTAAAATTGGTATTTTTTGTGCTTCATTCCACCACCGATTCTGGTGTTCCTCAATTGTCTGAAATGCACCCCTCCATGTTTTGTTTATGTCTTGGCCATTTCGCCCTTAGCGCGAGGGGAGTTGTCGCTGGCGCGTTGTCCCTGGACAACCCCCGAGATACGGAGTACTGTACGAACGACTACGGAGCCGCTTGACCTCATAGCTCCAGAACCTGTTTCGTCCACTCCAGTGGATGTCGTCCGGGTAGCCATGACAACAAGAACTGCTTGAATTATATGGTTCAGAACAAGAAAAGTCTAGCTTTTGCATCGTTAACCACCCAAGCTAGCCCTTCGTTGAGGTTTGCACCTGTAACGGCGCTGCAACGAATGATGTGCCATTTATGGGATCGGATCTCATCTAGCCGCAAGCCCTAACCATGATCTTCCATTAGCGGATGACTTTCGCATACGGGATAAGTATCGTGCGCAAACCTCTTGGATTTCTGTCTCATCCATACAGCCATTGACATCTGTCTTGTTCGCGAAGACCAGGAGACTCGCTCCAGACAGCCTCTAGGAAAACACATGGTGTCAGCGTTGGCACGAACACGGGCAAAGGGGAACACGGGCAAAGGGGATCGCTGACGAACTTCCTCTTGCAACAGGCCGTGTAATTCGGCCCTACAGTCTTCAACACGCAGACGATCGGTCGCGTCAACCACCCAGATGAGGGCGTCGGTCTTTTCAAAGTAATTTCTCCAGTATGATCTCAAGGTTTTTTGGCCACCAACATCCCCTTGACGTTAACGTTAGTGTTGGGACTATTCACAAGACGTGGGCCGGAATGCAAACAAATATTAAGTTTATATCTTGCAACCGGTCAGCAAAAATACGGGGCTTTTTTATCGTTTTTGCTCACCCCTCATAATCTATGGTCTTAATGATGAAGCCTAGAGTTGGGCTGACGCTATTAACAGCTTCTCCCATTATCTTCTTCACAATGGTCGTTTTCCCCGCATTGTCAAGACCACTACAAACGTCAGCATCTGGAAAGAAACAAAGCAAAAGTGTTCGTACAGCATCAATATGCGCATCTCTTTGTCCTTCAAACGCGCCTTTCTTAATATGGACAACATCGTTGTCGTCTGGTGGTGGAACCTTTTGAGTTGATAACTTCCCATGTTCAGGAAGTTAAGCGATATATGGTCACGTGGCCCGTAGCCGTGCCCAGTTCCTATGGCTCAGTTACAGGAACAGTGCTGAAGTTATAATACCACAGCGTCCATTTTTCAATGTTTGTAGAATCTCTAAGACAAGGCAGTGGCGTTATAAATGCAATTATTATAATAATTTCATCTTTTTGACTTGTAATTTATAAGAGTTGCTTTGTTCGATTGTAAATTTGCTGGCGAGGCCATGGTAATATAACCAGCTCATCCCCGCCAGAAATAATTGGAGTGAATTTGGGTCTATCATGGTTATGGAGATTATCGATGAGTGAATTTGGGTCTATCAAGGTTATCGCTTGATTGGGGTAACTTATTCAAGTGGTAGCAAATACTGCTACTCTCTTTGTCAACGAACTCAATCTGAGAACATTCAACCAACCTCTCCATCACAAAGTTTTACGGGTTACAAATACTTATCACCACATACGAAGAAGCTCTTAACTTCTACACCACGCTTTGCATACTGGAGCAATCCTGTTGCAATGCATCCAAACCCAATACCGCCTCACTTAAGGCGCCCAAATTCTACACAGAATCAAGAAGTCTCGACACAAGTTGCCTCAATGAAGCCCAGTCCAATACCTCCTTATTTAAGGCGAACCAGTGCAGCACATAGTCAAGAAGTCTTGACAAAAGCCGCTGTGGTGCAATCCAGTCCAATACCGCCTCATCAAAGTCACCCCAGCGCAGCGCATATCCAAGAAGTCTTGACAAACGCTGAGCGGGTTCCACCTCACATGAGGAGACAGCGAATTGATCACAATGTTTCGGAGGCGCTCCCTCCCAAGCCAGACTTTAGTCCGGGGTCATACGGTTCCAACGTTGGAACTCTGGCCAAAGAGAACACCAACACAGTGACCGACACAACCGAACCCGTGGCTCAATCTACAAGAACAGATAGTACGGGGAGTATAGAGCCACAGACACCTGTCATTACCAATGTGTTGACACCCCATCCACAAACGGGAACCAAGCTGGTTATTGCTACTCCTCAAGTCGACTCCGAAGTGAAGTTGGCAGAAACCCCAAGACATAAATTACCCCCACACCTGCGAAGGGGCAATATTATTCAGACTCCCAAATCTTCTGCGGATAACAGACAGATCTTCAAAAAAAGCCCAATCTCACCACCGATACCCCCCTCTGTCAATGCCAATGCGTCTCTATCCAGCTCGGATCAGATGCCAGTTCAACAGCAGAAAGGCTTGCCTAGTTCTATGGGGGAAACCACCTCGCCAGGAGAACCAAAATGGCAAGGGAATGTTGTATCCTCAAGCAACAGTCCTCTCTTGGCAGTTGGGTTCAGAGCAACGTCAAATAGACTGGCCTCCCCTATTGCAATCACTTCGTCAAACCCCAGTTCAGCTGGGTCACCTATTCATATTTTCCCATTCCATCTCAGGGAAACTCAAGTTCCAAGTTCTCTCGTCAATTCCAAAGTCACCATCAAGGAGGATTGCACGGAGATTTATGATAATCCTGGCCTTCATTCCCGAAATGAGTCAGTAGCATCCCGAGCTGGTTTTGCTCCGATAAAATTGCCTCCCCATCTGCGACGAGAACCTTCAATTCCGGTCGAAAGCACCGAGATTCTTGCTGAACAAAAGGGCCCGACACCGGTCAACGCAAATACAGCTGCCTCTCAAGAAAATGGCTCCCAGCAGTCGATAAAGGAAGCAAAGCCACATTATATCCCGCCACATCTTCGGGGCAAGAAATCGAATACGCAACAGTCTTCTGTTCTGAACAAATCGACGGCTGCTTCGATTCCAAATGAGAGTACTTCGGGCCATTCTTCCAATACTATAGGAGGTGTACCCCTGGTTGATAATCGAAAGGCTTCAATCGCGGCAAAAACCGAACTCGAGGCTGTTATAACGCAACCGCCCCAGCCTAGCTCTGGTTCAGCTCAGTTAAATGTCTGTCAGGGAGAAGAATATAATACTGGATTTTTTCTTCATACCGATGGCGGGCTTGTCAAAGACGTGGCACCCAGAGTTTATTCGGACGCTTCTATCAAAACTCACTCCGCCCAAAAAGACGGAAGTGATGCTTTGAGCGAGTGGGCAGATCTTCGAAAGCCCGGTCCGGTCAAGAGCCTGTGCATCAGCGATGACGATTTCAAAGACGACGCTTCGGTGAAGAAGTTCATTGGCGCAGCGTTGGCCGAATGCCCTGGCGATGTTATTAGACTCAACAGTCTTAATGACAATTATTTCTATACCGCAGATCCCACGGGCCAAGAGTGGCATTTGGATGTCACGGAAGAGTTTCTGAACGCCTTTGTGAAGGTTTGGCAAGAGAATCTGCCGGAAGAAGTTATCGTTGTCAATATCAAAGCGATGGAATTTATGGGAAGCTTCCCAATTAATGTCAATTCGTTTATGGATGCACTTGAACATCCTGAATCCTTTCCAAGTAAGTTCTCTTGTCATATATCGAGCCTGCTTCTAATTATTTCCAGATCCCTCTACAGATAATAAAGAGAAGCAAAAGGAATGGACTTCAAATACTGCAATGGAGCGAAGACAGACGCGGAAGCTAGCTATTGCTCGGCGTCGCCAGCGGGGGAAGAATACTTATTTTGTACCAAATATGCAACTGGGTGTCCAACCTTTCGACTGGGGAGAAGCTGCCGTTCCGGAAAAACCATATATCGCTATACACGTCCGCCCAGCGGAGATGAAAGACGTTCCTGGGATTACAGCAATCTACAATCAATGGGTCTTGAATTCTTTCATTCCTGAAGACCAGCAGCCAGTTACTGAAGAGAACATCAAGGCTGTCTTTGAGGCTACACGAAAATGTTCTTACCCGTTCATTGTCGCCATTCGAGGAGACCCTCCTGTCGGAAGCCGTGTTGCAAAGTCTAATGAGGTGGTTGGATTCGCCATGGTGGAAAGGTGTCTGGGATTTGGTGGTACCTTCAATGGCCGATCCCGATCCACCGCAATGATTCAATTCTACGTCCATCGAGAATGCTTGCGACATGGAATCGGCGGGCACTTGCTTGACCAGCTCTTGAGGCGTGTTTCCAGATTGCACGTGCCGTTTTCGGACCGCAACATTTGGATCAACCCCACCAGGGACGCTGCGTACGAACAGATCCCGAACAGATTTCACCAGATTGTGGTCAATAGACCCGTCGACAAACCAAACGACCCAGAGTTCATGTGGTTCGACGCGTTCATGAAAAAATACAAGATTTGGGAGAGGCATCGTACTCTATCTGTGGCGCGGAAGCCTCCTACAACTTCGGGGCCAGGTGCGACATTCCTCGATATTGTCACATATCAACATGAGGCAGAACTTGACGTACGTGTGGAGGGTTAATCGACGACTATGTTCAGAAATCTTCCAATTGGGCAAAGCTATTCCGCGCTTGCCAGCGACCAGCATCGATGGGTTTTATTTAGGTCGGAACCTTGTCTCCGGCCTAGCTCTGTGTGCAAACACGCTGAGATGCTTGCGATATCTTATTCAGGAGGTTTTGGATGGGGGGTGAAGAATACGCTCGATAGAACTCCTCATGACCGTGGCTATGATGGTGCGTGGCCACATTGAAGTTACAGTACTTGGTTCGCATACTCAAATTGTCTTAATGTACAACAGATGTTAATACAGCCCTTTTAAATCCCATTGATGACTTGACCTAAATTTTTAATAATATCTTGATCCTCAATGCACTTGTGCTGCGGCAGTAGAGTATTTTCGGAGTTGGAAGACCCCTGTAATATAATCCCATTTAATTGGCCGATCTTTTACCGCCTTTCGCAGCTACCATTTTCTGCCCGAAAAAGTCTCGACAACCAGAATTCATCTGCAAGGCCTGCACAATAAATCCTCAATCTTCACACAATGGTTAGCGCTAAGAAGATAAAAGCTCAGGACGAGTTCGTCCTGACTCTATCCGATAACGAAGACGAGGCGAATCCCGAACTTGAAGTAGTCCCCGCATCCAGCGAATCGAAGAACAAGAAGCGCAAACGCGGCAATGCTGCCGGTAGCAAGGACAAGTTAAAGAAGGCAAAGAAGGAGAAGAATATGGAAGGAGACGAAGAGGAGGAGGGGAATGACGGGGTTTGGGGCGCGAAAGAGGATGATGATGGAGCTATGGATTCCGATTTTGAGTTCCAGCTGGAGGCGGCGGATGCAGCAGGCGAAATGGAGGAGTTCGAAGGGTGGGGGTTTGAGAGTGCTAAGAAGAGCTTCGCTGGTGGAGCATCGAAGGCCGGCGACAAGAGGGCTGTCGATATTGACGAGATTATTGCCAGGAGGAAGGCTAAGAAGGGCGGCAAAGCGGAGGAGGTCGACGATGTTGAGAGCAACGATGAGGATGCTGTAATGCACAACGACGAAGATGAATTTATGGCGGAGGATGGGTTCGGTATGGGCGTTGCTTTAGATGAAGAGGAGAGCGGGGATGAGATGGCAGAAGATGAGAGCATGGGAGAAGCTGGTGAAGAGAATGGCGATGCCGACTCTGACGACGAGTCTGTCGCCTCTGCACAACCACACCCAGACGATATTCAGGGAGCCTCATCAAATGAGGAGTCTGACGACGACGTAGAGGAGGCCGCCCGCAGAGATGCATTTTTCGCACCGGAAGAGAAATCCGAAAAGACTGCGACGAAGGGTGAGGTTTTGTCCTTCCAGAACATGTCACTGTCGAGGCCTATCCACCGTGGCCTGGCAGCATGTGGATTTTCGGCGCCGACACCTATTCAAGCCAAGACCATTCCAGTCGCGTTACTTGGTAAAGATGTCGTCGGCGGTGCCGTGACAGGCTCCGGAAAGACCGCGGCCTTTATTGTTCCCGTCCTCGAACGTCTCTTGTACAGGCCCAAGAAAGTTCCAACGAGCAGAGTCGCCATCCTCATGCCAACTCGTGAATTGGCTATCCAATGTCACGCAGTTGCCACGAAGCTCGCCAGTTACACGGATATCAAATTCTGTCTTGCTGTCGGTGGTCTCAGTTTAAAGATCCAAGAGGCTGAGCTGCGTCTTCGCCCAGATATCATTATCGCTACCCCAGGTCGGTTCATCGATCACATGCGCAACTCGCCATCTTTCACCGTTGATACTCTCGAGATTCTTGTTCTTGATGAGGCTGATCGCATGTTGGAAGATGGTTTCGCCGATGAGTTGAATGAGATTCTCACCACAATCCCGAAGTCGAGGCAGACCATGCTGTTCTCCGCTACCATGACATCGTCTGTTGATAAGCTCATTCGTGTGGGTCTGAACAGACCTGTTAGACTGATGGTTGACGCGCAAAGGTCGACGGTCACCACTTTAGTGCAGGAGTTTGTCCGTCTGCGTCCAGGCAGAGAGGACAAGCGTATGGGTTATCTGCTTTATCTGTGCCAGAAGGTGTTCCACAACAAAGTCATTGTCTTCTTCAGGCAGAAGAAGGAAGCTCACAGAGCTCGTGTTATCTTCGGTCTGTCTGGTATGAAGGCTGCTGAGCTCCACGGAAGTTTGTCGCAAGAACAGGTTTGTACAAGTCTAATCTTCTCTTATTATCAAAGCTAACATTGTCTCAAGCGTATTGCATCCGTCGAAGCTTTCAGGGACGGTAAAGTCTCGTATCTCCTTGCTACTGATCTCGCCTCCAGAGGTCTCGATATCAAGGGAGTCGACACAGTCATCAACTACGAAGCCCCCCAGTCACTTGAGATCTACCTGCACAGAGTCGGTCGTACGGCTCGTGCTGGCCGCAGTGGTCGCGCATGTACTCTTGCCGCCGAGCCCGACCGTAAGGTCGTCAAAGCCGCCGTCAAGACGGCGCGGAGCCAGGGAGCCAAGATCGCCTCGCGCGTCATCGAGTCTAACGACGCAGATGCATTCGCTGCTAAGGTATACGGGATGGCCGAGGAAATCGAGGAAGTTCTGAAGGAGGAGAAGGAAGACAAGCAACTGGCTCAGGCCGAGATGCAGCTCAGGAAGGGTGAGAATGTGATGGTGCATGAGGATGAGATTAAGTCCCGCCCGAAGCGAACTTGGTTCGAGAGCGAGGCGGATAAGCGGACTGCGAAGAAATCTGGGCGCGCCGAGTTGAATGGGCCAGAGAGCATTTTGAAGAAGAGCATTAAGGGGAAAATGAGCGGGAAGGATAGAAAGAAGCTGGATGACCATGAGTCAAGAACAGAAGGGAAGGTGTGGAAGAAGGGGAGGGCAGAGAGGGAAGGGAAGGGTGCATTAGCGCCACAGAAGGGCAAGAGGAAGGTGGCAGGTGGGAAACCACCAGGAAAAGGAAAGCCGCGGAGGTAAACTGGAGCTGTTGTGGGAATGATTATTTATATTTTGAGAGGACTTTGTATAATCCTTCACGAATATGTCATGCCGCCGTCCCTGCATTGTCTATCAATATTCTTTCCCATTGCCTCACCACTAATTCTTCAAGTCTTTCACCTTTGCTTCTCCCCCTCCCTTTCCTGTCTTTCCCTTTCCGTCGGCTCCATTGTGCCCTTCCACACCCATCTCCCTCATGGCATTCTGTACCAACTTCGACGCCCGCTCTGCAACATCATCCCCCTTCCGCCATTTTACCAGAGTCACTCCCTCTTTACCCAAAAGTTCGGTTGCTCTTGCCCACCTTCTATTCCACAACTCCAACTTCTTGTTGATCGGCGGAGTGCTGGCGCCAGAAGGAAGATCAGAATCTGAGCTGTCGGGGCGCTTAAGAGTCGATGATACATCGGCCCGAGATGAGCGGTAAGCGTTGATTCTGTTTGAAGCCGAAGTAGCGTAAGAAGCAGCTTTTGCAGTTAAGGCTTGGCGGGTAGACAAATTTTCGAATGAAGAGTTCACCGATTGGGGCAGCGAAAGATCACTGCCGAAAGGAATATACGGCGAGACATTGGGCATAACATTATATGTTTCCGCTGCTTTGGCAGATGCAGCGGAAATATAACTGTCGTCGCCAGATGGCGGCTGCTTTTTCTGTTTTTCTTCGTCTGGGAGAGGGTTGTTGGGTTTAGACGTGCGTTGGTGGGTTTGGTGAGATGGTTCTGCCGGCTTGTTTCCAACACGTGAATCATGTGGTGCGTTCTCGAATGATAAAGTCCTGCTTCTTAACGAGAGAGGCTTGATAGGTCGTGGCGGTGGTGCTGGTGGTTTAGCTCCTTTTTCAGCAACGGATTTCCTCTTGATCTGCGGCGACTCTAGTTCTACAAGGTCTGCATTGAAGCGCGAAGTGTCATTACTGGAAGGTTTGTGAGCCTCATCGGCTTCGTCACCAAAATCGATAAGGTCGCCCATTATTGGTCCTGTGCTTGAAGCTGCCCGTGCTGGCAACGGAGGTCGCTTGTCAGGCCGGTCTGATACATCAGGTTTTTTGGTTCGCGTATTGCTACCGTATTGCCCCTGATTTTCTGGTTTCTCAGGCAATCTTCGAGAAACATAAGACGCGCCGTAGCTTTCGTCAAAAAATGGCTGCTCAATTGGCGTGGTTACGTCTCGAATAAAGACCCTATACTCCGTTAGCCACAATGTTAGAAGCATTTGGAGCTGTGGTGACATACCCAATGATCCTACCAGGGTTCGCAAGCACAACATCCGTGTATACTTCCAAATCCGCCTCCCCGCTATCGCCCACAAGCAAGAACTTCCTCTCCGGGAAATCTCGAAGGATTCTTTCCAGCGTGCCTTTCTTTCGTTCCGCAACAGGCTCGAATATCCCTTGCAACATCCCACTATATTGCTTCAGATGGTAGCTTCCAGGCGGTAGTCCGGCAGTTTGAAAAAATGTTGCTAATACAGGAAAAAGCTGCCATGGCGAATTCGATACGTAATGTATACCAACGCCCATATCGTACATCTGATTATACCACTCTTTGACACCATCAATGGTAAGGTCGCTCAGGTTTCGGATAAAGGCATTTCTGAAGATTGTCCGTGCTCCGCTGCTAATTGATGAGTGTTTAACAGTATCGTCGACATCGCTGATCACGCTGACGCCTTTCGGCTCTGTGATCCTCACCTCTTCTGTAGCTGATAGGTTTTCTGAAGCGAGAACGCGGATATGTGTTGGTACAAAGTCTAAGGCGGCTCTCAAATCAAAGTGACCGGATTCGTTCGTTATTACAGTTTTCGATTGGGACGACTTGTTGTCGTAAAAGAAAACAGTTATTGGCGTCGATACAAGCGGATTCGTCAAAAATGGCATTATCCTAGTCATGAGATTCGTATTTGCTGCCTTCAGCTCTTCTGGGCTCATATCCGATGGTTGATTCCACGATGACCGTTTCGGAACTTGGCCAGATCCTAGCGGTTGCCCGGGAGTTCCTTGAGATCGGTTACGGCTGCCACGCATGCTATCAATGCGGAGTCCCTGTCCATGGCCCTCACTATAGCCTCCTCTCGCTGCAACCTCCGCTTCATCTTCTCCTTTCCGCATAATTTCTTCGGCCTCACGTGTGATCCTCTCCTCGTCTCTCTGAGCTTCATGAGCCTCGTGCCTAGCTTTCAGGGATGTGCGCTCAGGGCTGCCCTCGCGGCTCTTCGACGTTTTCAGTGCAGGGACGCCACTGAGCTGTCGAGCAAGCCCTAATAGCAGGCGATTTTTGCGATTCATCGGGCCTCTATGAGGCGTATAAACCCAGCCTCGTACATCCACATCAACGATCGCCTTGTCGTCTTCATATTTTTCCCATTCTCCCTTCCACCACTCCGAACCAATGTCTGTACTGTCACCGCTTCGAGTTTGCGTCAGATCATCGGACGCCAGTTGCGAGTTGGGCTGTCGCTTTACGTGCCGCTTGCAGTATGAAGGGAACAGAATCAGCTCTTCGTTTCCATGCCTAACAATCGATACATCAGGAAACGACCCAGGCATTGGGTCTTTGTCTTCGTCGTCCTCTTTCCTTGCTTCCCATTTTGCATTCGCAGCAGTTTGATATGACTGCCTCAATTCATTCGCCGCTTTAAGGTATCCTGCAATCTTCCGTCTCCTGCCTCCTCTCTCGGGGGCTTCATTCACTTCTGCCCCCTCATTCCTTCCGTGGTCATGAGTTGTGCCGTATTCAAATTCGCCGCTTCCTCGTCGAGGGTATCTCGGTGTGGTCATTGCAGTTCTTTTTACAGAGCTTGCATCCTTATCGATATATTTGCTTGCGCCGGTGATTATTCTTTGGCGGCGGCCGCGGAGGTACTCGAGAATACCTCGACGTTTAGGGACTCTTGCTAGCCGCTTTCTCTGGCGGTCGACAAGAAATCTGTAGATGCGCGCTTGGGTGCGGTGTTTGTAGTAGGGAAGGGTATTGAAGCGGAAGTCGGCTTGGTGATCTCGGACCTTGCGCCAGGTTTCTGAAAAGAGGTATCGCAAGAATGATGCTCGGTGGTGAGGCTGTGGACGCAGACTGTTCGTGAGGGACTTGGACGTCCGAAAGCGAAAGGGCGCCAGCTTTGAAGAGGCGATTATTAAACCAAGCCTGGTAGTTGCTCGTGAGCGAAATGGTTATTCGCTTCGTTGGAAATATATCTTCGTGGGCAGGGTTCAACAAGCCCAAGACGAATGCGCGATGGCTATGGGAACTGCGCGACAGTGAATCAAATGTAGGCGTGATTAGGTCACAGGTGCAATAAAGACGATTAAAATGCGAACGCGATCACGCTGAAATCTGTTCTTAACGAGTGTGGGATTGCGACGAGACTTGAGGAACTGGAGGTGGGGTGGACGTCATAACAGCCCCGAAGACCCCTGCCATTTTTGGGTTATTGGCAAGCGGCTTTGCCGCTCTCGTCAATCAAAGCCCTCCCATCTACTTCAAGAGTCTTATGTGTGCTGTTGAATCAGCTTCAATGATATATACGAATCAATGATTTCTTATTTTCGAGAACTATACGCTCCCTCACTTAGAGGTACAGCGTAATATTTATTGCGCTTCGTTGCCTCATGAGTTAAGCTCATCCCCCCACCTGAGCTGGTATAGAATCGCTCATAACTGGCTATATACACAAAAGAGTACCAAAAAACTCCTCATATGCTATTCCAGGTTCCCTCGGTGTCGTCTAACGCTAGTCGTAAGCAGTAACTTTACTCCAAATCTCTATGTTGCCCAGCAAGATTCATATGCATCATCGCTTCCTGTCCCCAATCATCCTCTGTGGTGGGATTGGCAACTTTTAATATTCCTTCACTGCCCGACCCAGCGTGGGAGACTGGGCGCTGACTGGGCAGTGTCCAGGTGTCCCTTTTCCGCTCTCCCAAAGCAGGCAGCGGTGGCGGCGGGTAAGATGGTGGCTTTGGACCTGGCTGTGGAGGCATTGGCGATGGATGCCGTTCTGGGCCACCAAACCTGGGCTCGCCATATTCCGCTGTTGACAGAGTAGCCTCGGGGTTGCCACTCATACTAGCGTCTGGCCGTGCCTCTGTTGGTGTAGTTTCGCTCGGGCCAGCAGACGAAATATGTATGTCCCTGTACTCACTGACTGGCATTTCCACAACTCCCGGCGGCGGTGAGTATGTGGTGTAGCTCTGACGTTGGGCATCTGCTTCATTACGAAGGCTGCTGGCAATGATACTACTGTTCCACACGCTGGCTCCTTCTGCACGCGGCTCGGCGCCTTCGTTGACATCTAGACCAGCATCGGCGTCTCGAATGCCAAACTGGGCCATTGTGCGCATTTTTCTAGTAACCCACGATGCGAGAATCTTGCCACGCTGTTTCTCTCCAAGTCGTGAGCGAGGGAAGTCTCCCTTATTGACAAAGGCAACAATGTCAACAATAATCTGATGCTCATTCAGGATCGCGTTGACAATGACGGGCACAATGGATGCTAGGTAGGCTTTTCGTGCAACTTCAACTAGGACAACAATTAGTCCACCAGCCTGGAAGACGGCACTGTTTCGAGAGTTAGCAAATGTGCATAGTTAAGTTTAAAGAGGTAGACTTACCTGCCACCCGAGACAATGCTTCGATGACACTTCTCGATCGAATACTCGATATCCATGGGGAAATGGCTCAAGCCATTAATCTCGAACGTCTCTCCAATACTACCAAGTACAAAAAGCACCTGCATGTCTACCTGAGCGCCATTGGGCCCGATTGGCCTGCTAACATTGTATAAGAATCCAAGATCTCCAGTCCGTACGTACTGGACGGTTGGATCTCCGTCGACAGTTCTTCCGTCAAAGCGTTCCGAGTCAAACAGATCCTTTGACATATAGAAGGACTTCACGCAAGCCTCGGACACGACCCAGATCTCACCGAACTCGCCATCGTGGCACAAGTGGCGGTTCTCCGGGTTGACAATCGCAATTTGCGTTGATACCGGGACCATGCCCGAATCTTCCACCAGTAACGCTTTCGGGTCCGAGTCGGGGTCAACTGGGTAGATCAAACCTCTCCGCAATGCTCTTGTGTCAAGCCAAAGCTCAATGGGCTCGATGCACATATATGACCGCGATGCTATCATCGGATTCAAAATATGCGAATAAATCGTGTTGATGGCTGTCCTATCCAACCCTGTGGCGGCGAAGTGTAGACGCACTTTCTGGAACACATCAACGCGTGGTCTCCCTTCGGAAGAAATCATCATATTCTTCAGTTCGTGCAGGGCGAATCCTTTACCAGGCATCATGGCCATGGCGTGGTCCAACATTTGAGGAGTCGCATATGTGTCCTTGATCTTATACCGAGATAAAGTCTGGAATAAGGATCCAGGGTTCTGCGCAAATTCCACTGGAGACAGAAGGTAAGTCGGGGCGCCAACAAAAATACCCATCAGGACACTATGGATAAAGCCAAGGCCACTCGTACTACGCACACATCCCATAACAGGACGCGAGCTAGTCATCTGGCAAGTTTCCTTCTGCACTTTGCAAACACCCATAATCGTGTCATGGCCAAGTTGAACAGCCAGGCGACGTTGGTCGGGCGTCCAGTATATCCACACAAGAGCAGGGAATCCTGGCTGAACCCACGCAGGTTGCATTGTTAGACCAAGATCTCTGCAGCCACTGTTTTGCTTGGAGGGCTTCGTCGTATTGTAAATAGGCGGCATGCTAATCTTTAGTACCTGAGCAGACTGCTTCAGGTGCTGAGAGACGACTTTCAGTTTTAGAAGGTGGTCCACCTCCTGATTAGCTATAATCGCCTTAACCTTGTATTCGGCAATTATATGGAGTATTGCTGGCGCATCTTCACTGAGACGGTTCTGATCAAGTGGTGCCATCGGTATGGCCGTTACTCCTAGGCAGAAGCAAGCATGAACTGCATATACGAAGTCTTCGGAGTGCGTATACATGAGCATCAAGCAATTACCTGCTCTGACCTTCACCTTGTTCTTGAGGTACATGGCCACAGCAGCAACCTTGGTGTCGAACTTTTTCCAAGTGATCCCTTTAGCTTCCTTGCCCCTGCTATCAATGGTGCAGTAGGAAAGCTCTTCGGCCTGTCGAGCAACGCGCCATTGTGACAAATCAACAATACTGGTGAAATTGTTCAACGGGGTCGAGGTCCTGTCATCGATAACTACTTCGCGAGGGTCGAAACCAGAGTATTGCTTCTCTCCTGGTAAGAGGATATCTTCTCGGGTCTGTGACGCCAAAGGCGACCATATGCCTCCCATCGGGTCAACGCCAACTGGAAGATTAAGGACAGCCCTCTCAACGCCAAATTTAACGTGCACACAGGGCAGATTTCCAAGGTCAAACTCTTTCCGGCAAAGCATGTTTCCAATCTCCCGCCGGCCGTTCTTGAAAACCTTGGGTAATGTGTTTGCGGCAGTTATCATGACGCAGTATACGCGGAGATGGTGTTCTTGCATGAGAACCTCCATGCATCTTTCAGACAACGAGTCGAGCAATGCAGTATCGAGCTGACGCGGTGGCCCCCCTGAAGTGGTCGGTGCTGTTGAGGCGGACTGTGACTCCAGTAACACAATTGGAAGATGTTCGTCGTTAACAAATACGTCGAATGCTGAACAATCGAAGATCTTTGGCACATTCTTCATAATGCTGACGATAATATGCTGGACGAAGAAGTAACGGAACTCAGCGATCTCATGGCCATGCTCAACCCATTCAACCTTTTGTCGAAGGCGATCTTCGTACAATCCTAGGACAAATACCTTTCCTTCGATTACCGTGCCCAATAAGCCGGTACGGAGGAATTCTGGCTCAATTACCATTGGTGTTGGATCACCGTGGGCGAATTTATACGGCCGAGCATGGAATATTTGCTCGGTATGCTTTGGAAGTGCCCAGAAACCCCCTGAAAGAGATGGCGAGTCAACCCAGATCTCTCCAATAGTGTGGGTGGATGCTAATAATCCTGTCTCGGGGTCCACTACCGCCAAAGTTGCGTCCGGTATTGGGTAACCAAAGGCACCGACGCGGACTGTGCCAGCCTCGTTTCCTCTCTTCTTAGCTTCGTCACCAATCGCGATCACAACGACTTCATTCGTCTTCAAAGCCTCACGATCTAAGAGTGCCTCTCCAAGTTCGGTTCTTTCTTTCCTTTCCGTGGGTGTTGTTGTCCCGCCTCCCCCGATGAGACTACCAAAACCGTTCTGGCCAGAGATTCTCTCTTTCTCCTTTTCCCCGGCCTTGTCTTTCTGTCTCTCATCAATCGATGATGTTTCCGAGCCTACCTCCAGGCTCAAAGGGCAACCCATCCTCTCTTCTCCTCCAAGCCAATCTCTCATGCTTATCACCATGCCTCCGTGTTCAGGTAAGCAAAGCATTGGAGCTACAAGTTCTCGTGCTCGAGGATTTCGCATCGGTTTCAGCCATCTATCGGCCAGAACTTCATGGAATTCGCAGTCCACAGTTAGGGTATCAATCAGACATAGCCTGACGTGTTGGAAATTCGGTTCCATGCCTTTCTTAAAATTTCGAGTTGTCATCGGATCTTGCTGGTAATTGTATGCCGCACGCTTCAGCCCTGGATAATCGGCTAGCATTAGGGTAGCTTTGTACTTGGTAATTATGTGAGCATATAGCCCAGGCGTCTCGACCGCAGCACGCTCTATCCAAACATTGGTGTGACCCCCGTATACGGTCAAAAGTACACCCATTATCATCCCAATACCATGTCGAGGATCCAAATATGATAATAATATGTCACCCTTGGTTGACTTCGATCCCGACATTGGTCGTCCGCTTTTATCCCGTAGCGACGAGTTGAATGTGTCACCACCTGTGTTTGACGGGACAGTATCCAGTATCGCACTTAAACATGCCATTTGATGCATTATTGTTCGATGGCTCATAACCACTCCGCGCAAGTCCCCAGTCGGTGCCCGCGAGAACTCTATGTATGCCAGGTCGGGTACAGCCAATGGTGGAGTTTCGTCCTTCTTTTTGGCATGAAAGCTGCCGAATTCGTTTGTCTTCCACCATTCAACACCGCGAGGCCAGGTCAACTTCTGTGCTGTTATATCTCTTTGAAACGCCTTCAGGTTGTTATCGGTGGTAAGTGCCAAATGTGCCTGGGTCGACGTAAGAATTGTGTTTAGCTTCACATAATCTTCGAGGTCATTGATTGGAACTGCGACGACTCCGGCAATAAAACAGCCAAGTAGGGCGATGGCAAACTCTATGATCTCGGTGTCGCGGTATATTAAAGCTACGCGATCTCCACGATAGAGTGAGCTCTTGTCTCGGATGACTTGTGCTACTTTCTCCGCTCTGCTGCTCAACTTATCCCAGGTTATAGACGATATCTCTTTTCCTTTGCTGTCCAGTACCCAGTATGCTGGTGCTCTCCCTGTGGTCCGGCTGCGATGGCGTAACACAGCTGCTATGTTATCGAATTTCGACATAGGGGTAATTCCATCATGAGGATCGTATACCGCGAAGGGTACATCTCGCGGCTCCAATGGCATTTGGTAGTCAAGAGCCGCTGGAGGCGGGAGATCATTGGCTGTAAGCATTGGCGGGGCCACACCAGCGGTGGGAGAGAACGTTTCGCTAACTGAGTATCTATGCATCCCAACGGCATAAGCATGTTGTTGCGGCTGATTGTCATAAGCTTGCTGGCCTGCAAAGTCAGAGAAGTAGACTTGCTGAGCATCCAGCATAGTTCCACCCTGACTTTCATCATACACTGTCCCCCTGTGGGGTTGGTCGTATATCAGTGCCCCTGCCTGGCTCTGAATATATTGTTGAGGTTGGTGCTCCGGGTGCCCTTCTTGATGTTCTGCATTATAGGTATAGTTCGCACCAGACGCCATCGACATAGCTGACCCCTTGGAGGGCCCAGGTAAAAATGGTTTTCCACCAACATCCAGATATAGGGACTCTTGTGCCTGCAAGGGTGGTCTGAGGATATTTGGCGAATCAATGGGTGTCATCCCCCGGGTTTCCGGGTTTGGTGAGAGCTCAGACTTTATCTCTTCACTATAGGGTTGGTAGGTGTTCGGCATTGGCTCAAAGCGGCCAGAGGAAATTCTGGCAGGCGATTGAGCAGGTATATCGGGTGAATCGCTGTATGCGGTTGAATATCGCTGGTATCCCTCCGAGTCGCCGCCATTGGGCGCCGCGAGCGAAGCATTGCGAGAGCCGTCATTTGTGCGGCGGGGTGAATCGTCTGGCGCATGGATTCGTAGACCCCTCGGTTCCGCCAAAGATGAAGGCCCTAGGTATTGAGCCAGTAATTGCGTTCGGCGCTTCTGGTATCTAAGAGACGGAAAATGTCAGCAAATGCGCCACGCGATGGCTCTAAACTAGCATTGCTTCGTGTGTCGCAAGCTTCGTTGAATAGGACCATACCCTTTTTGTGTAATATCTGCTTCCTATTGGTAACTATTAGCATTTACCCAATCGAATGTAATGTGCCAATGGTTTGAATGAACAAAAGCTGAGTGGGAAAACATTATACATCCCCGCATTCAATAAGGCCGCTCGTGGCTATGGATTGAGCATCTTGTGAGACATACCTCTAGCTCGAGTTCAAGCTCCTCAAGTTTGGCGCGCAGCTCGGGGTTATCTTCTGCGTCCATTATGGGTGGCCCTCGGTCGACTGTTTAGAAGCAGGTCATACGGAAACCGGCACCATTCACGAAGTCGCAAGTCGCGGTCCAAAAGTAGCTCGCATGCAGGTGGGATGGCCCATGAGTTGCGCTCAATAAATGGATAAAAAAGATCGATAAGCCAGACTTTAAAGAGGTACGTAACAATAGAACAAGATTGTGTCCGTAGAAGTGATAAATCTACTGTTCGTGCTCTGTCTCAGCAACGCTGACAAGTTAGCCTTGCCAAGATAGATACGAGCCTGATGTGTGGATGCAACCTCGATAATCAGGCCGATAACGACGATCTATTACGGGGCTCACAGCGCCTCTTGGCCAAGCGATTACCTAAGCGCCAATGCGGATCAACAACAAAAGCTAAACTGCATATTTAAATCGTTCTTCAATTCCCAATCTTTACATACAAAAGCGCGATGCTTTCGTCTTTGTTGTGTAGTAGCGGTCCCAACAGATTCACCTCAAGTTGATGCACATCTTGCTCACTCAAACTGACTGTAGGCGGCCTTTTCTTTGCTCAGGTCAAGTTCATGTTGTGTGTGTGTCGCAGTCACAGCCCTTGAACGACCGTCTTGTTGGTAAGTCACACTTGTTTTCTACACAGATGGGGCATCCCCGTGTATGGACTGTATTGGACAGCCTCTGACCAAATGATGAATACCATGCTGTAACTTCTCAAAGCCCTATGGGCTTGCTGATGACACTCTTGGAGACCTTCTGATATCAAGTCGTCCAATAACGCGTTTTATTCTAAATTCATAATCATGATGGTTTTCTAACTTTCATTACAGGAAACGCTCCGTTTGGTAAAAATAACTTCTTATTCTGATACGCCTAAACAACACAGCTACCTTTGTTCCTCGTTGATGCTCTACCTTTCATTCGCGCTGCTAGCCAAAGTGGCACAGCCAGTGGATGAAAGCTGTCTTTATTACGTGTAGCCAATGACTATAGATACCGAATGGAGAGATAATTATAATTCCATTGTTACTTGCTTTGTCATTGCCTTCGCATTATGAAGCTTCGACCATTCCTGTTTGACCGTGGACAATGGACGCTTTTCAAAGGCAAATACGTATATATATAAGTTCGCATGTGCCTCTCATTTGCTTTGTTGTATATTAATTACTGCTCGTGGGAAATCGACGACGATTTACTCTTCAAGTCAAGACAGGTTGTATACTAGATTTCGCTGGTCGACATCCAATGACTTCTCCAAAGCAGCATATATTTGGACTTGGCCTCACTTCGGGGGCAGATGGCGATGCAGCTCATCAAAATGACGATGGTTTAGGGTTGTTCACCGATATATACGACAGTGGTGTGGGTTGTGGCGATACTGATCTCGAGTGTCAAGGTACGGAGAGTGTGAGCTTCAACCAAAATACCGATATTAATTCACAGATACAGCCGCTCATAAGAAATGAGATACCGAGGCTTCCTTCCGGTAACTTCCCGGATATTCAACAGCAGCCCGCCATAAGGAGCGAGTCACCAAGGTCTCGCCTCAATAACTCATCAGACATTCAACAGCAACCCGTCATAATAAACGTGCCACGGAGCTCTCCTTTCATCAAGTCCCCAGATATTCAACAGCAACCGGTCATAAGAAACGAGTCACCAAATTTCCCGTTCAATAACTCTTGGAATATTCAGCAGCAGCCGATCACAGGGAATGAGCCAACGGGGTCTCCCTTCAATAACTATGACTCCTGTGGCACTCAACAGCAGCCCATCATAATAAAGGAGACGCCAGAGTTTCGTTCCGATAACTCTTGGGGCAATCAACAGCAGCACTTAGATATTGTTAACGCCACCAACGGTTCAAAACCTCTACTGGGAGATGTATACAATGATATATGGGAGCTACCATCGCCAAGCGACCCGATCTGGTCTCAATTTACCCAACGCCCATTCGAGCCTCAGACGAGTAACGATGCCAGCAATCATGAAACGATTCCCGGTGGTGAACATATTCCACAACAGCGCCCACTCCAGACTCTGTTGAACAACGGCACCAGCGATCAAACAAATCCCGGTGCCTATATCGAGCACAATCCAGGACAGCCCTCATTCCAGACTCAGACAGACATCAGCAATAGCAATCATGAAACGAATCTCGGTGCCACTAATGAATACAACCCAGGATTCGCTGGACATGCTCAAATTCCACAGGCTCAAGCACCTTATATCAACCAAGACATACCACATACAACCCGGCCTCAACAAGGCAACCCTCCTCCCATCAGCCAAGGTATATCAAGTGATACTATCAATGAGCTCTCTGAGCTCCATCCACTACGACAGTACCTTGCCCAATCTTCGCAGCCGCCCCACGTATCGCTCAAGCGAGTAGCAGGTGAGGAATATATCCCGGTACCAAATGACGCCCCAGCATTACAAGGACCCCAAGCCAAACGCCTCAAGACAAACAACGGCAACGCCGCTCCAGTTCCTCGGAAGGCCAAAGCGAATGATTGGAAACTCAACTTACGCACAGCCAGGCGTATTGAGCTCGATCCGACGCAGTACTACCAACCCCTCGCACAAACACCACAGAGCTGGGGTACGATCAACCCCGATGGCAGGCACAGGTTTCGCTACAATGGTTTTGGCGAACTCAAGCCCGGGATGACCTTCACGAGCGAAGAGATATTAGAGTACCTATTCGTGAACTTCCCACGCACCGACAACCTAGAATCCAACAACCCAAGCCTCTTCATCCAGTGCGTCCCCTCCGACTCAAACAGCCGCTACCCAACCACCCTCTCCAACAAATGCCGATTCACAGACTGCCCCGTCAAAATGCGCACCATCCCCAGCGGGCATTTCCGCGTCGCTTTCGACGAGCAGAATAATGAAAATCTCGATCCATACCATTGCGCTGGCTACGTGCATCTTTACTGTCTCGAACGCTTCTGTAGCTTCAGTTGCTTGGCGGGGTATTGCAATTTCGTCCCCGACACCAGGGAGTTGCACGAGGGGAGGAATAGGATGTCTATTACACGCGACCATTCTGAGTTTGCACGCATGTGCATGGTGTACATGGAGAATTCCAGACAACAGGATCCTCACGCCAACGGCTGGGAATACAGGAGTACTCTTTGTAGCTTGCTGACTGAGGAGTATCTTAGGCTTGAAGCTAGGGTGAGACGTGCGACGAGGGAGAGGCAAGGAGGGAATAATATTGGTGTCCATAGGAATGATATGGAGTTGTATGCTTGGGGCCAAGAGCATAAAATGCTATTGCGGTCGATGGCGGCTCAGAACAGGCCGAAGAAGAGGAAACGGCGCTCTGATGAAGAGGAGGAGGATGGAAACGATGGTTACGAGCACGGGGGGGATATATAATGGGATAGATATCATATTGTTACTTTTAATTAATGGCACATGATAATATCTATGGTCTTATTTATTTCGCCGTCGTCGATGAATTTATTTCCCACTCCATAATATAACCCTTAAATTCGATATAAATATTAAAAGCAAGCGTACCCATGTCGTAAACGGAGGAACATCCTCACATAAAAGGCAAGAACGCCCTGTAAGCCTCATACAAACGAAAGGCCCGACCCTTATGAACCAAAAAAAGCACATCTAATACAAAATGAAGGTCGCCATCGGGGATATCATATAATATTAATTTACATGCATATATATATATATCTTGCCAAATAACTCCTGGTATCTTTCAAAGGGGATATGGTTTAGTGGTATAACGCTTCTTTAGCACCTGATCATCAGATCAAGCACGATTTAGAAGAGGTCCGGCGTTCGATTCGCCGTTTCTCCACATTTTTTGTCATTTTTTTTGGCCTTGCCAAATAAGCGACCTCCAAACCCTACTATAAGATTGGGAGACACGATACTCATGCTACAGCTTTATTTTTTGGGTGTCGGAAGGCCTTTTGCTGGTAGCATTTATGTTATAATATATTTAGTGTCCGTCTTCATTTTCATGGGGTCATTTTCATGGGGTCATTTTCTTTAGACTACTCCCATTGTCGCTGACAGGAAGGAGCGATCGAAACAGCGAACTTCTCGGAAAGGAAGGCACGATGGAAGGGACTCACTTATGAGGGAAGGAAGGAACGAAGAGACCTTACGCCAACTTCTCTCCAAAGGAAAGCACGAATGACGTAAAGAGTATCCCACGAAAGGAAGGCGCGAAGGACGGCACAGAGGAAGGCACATTCAACAAACGTCAATTGAGACTCAAACTACAAAACACAAACAAGAAGATCAAAAAAGAATTAATGACTGTCTAGTAACAGCAGTAAGATCCCCCAAACTCATGGAAGTAACCCATGGAACTCATACAAAAAAATACATTTGCAGAAAAAACTCCAACACACACAACACAATAAGCGGTCCTCATCCCCCCTATTTTGTTTTCATTCCCACATTAAACTCAAAAAATGCCACTCCCAAGTCGAAGGAAACAAAAACGAATACTCCAAACAAAGAGTCAAAAGTCCTCGTACATAAATCAAATCCCAACCCCAAATCCAAATCCAGTGATGAGCTCTTCACACACTAGATCCCCGTACACCAAACCCACCCCATCCCACGAAAGAGACATACATACGCCAGATCAATACGCCCCGTGAACAACATTCTCACAAACCCTCTCACCTGCCCACATACCAATCTACCTCCTCGACTTCGGCATCGCAAGCATCTTAAGCCTACTCAGACTCAACCCGCCCGCCCTCTTCGGCGAGCTCGGAATATTACTCTTCGGCGCCATCTGCTCCTTCACAATCTTCCTCGCCATCGTCTCCGCCCCTCCCACCTCCACATTCCCCCTCCACTTCTTCGGCCAGCGCTCCTCTTGCCCCCCCTCCTCCTCATCACCCGGCTCCGCAGCACGTACACGCTTCCTCTTCATCTCCGGCGCCGTCACCTCCACCTCATCCGGCGACGCAGCGCGCGCACGCTTCTTGTTCGCCAAGCCGTGCGGGATGGGAGGTGCCTCGTTCTCCTTGTCTGCGTTAGGAAATGCGCCCGGCATGGTGGTGGGAGGGAGGATGCTGGGACGTACTTGGCGGATGCTTGTTTGCCCCGGGGAGGTGCCCAGGTTGCGAATTGGTGGCGCGGGGGGGGTGCCGAATTTGATGGTTTGCCCGCTGGTGAAGGTGAAGATACCTGGGACGGCGGGGACGGCGGGGATGGGCTGCAGGGGCGTGCGAGAGAGGGTGGACGAGGAGGGGAGCTGGGGGTAGGTGATTGTGGTCTCGGGTTGCTTTTCGGTTGGGCGGGCGGCGGGTTTTAAGGCCGATGGTAGGGTGGGGTAGGCCACTGAGTTGAGGTTGGCGAAGGACTTTGAGCGCGGGATGTTGGACTTGAGGGGTGTAGGAGAGTGGTGGGGCTCGTTCCTCGTGGTAGTGGTGGGAGTGAAGTTAACATGCTTGGTGCTCTTCGAATGGGCGAGAGTTTTGGTTGTAGGTGTTGCCGGTGCAGATGGAATCCCCTGACGAAGATTGGCCCTGCTAGGGCTCTTCATCAATGATGGAATGGAGCTTGGTGGAGGCGGCATAGTATTGTCCGCTTGAGCAGCTGGGCGACGAAGGATAGACTTCATCTTGTCAGTAAATTTGTGGGTAGATTCCGATCTGGAGAGGCTAGACAGGTTATTCATGGTAGCAGATTTGACGAGTCCGGGTGTCAAAGCAATCTTAGAAGGAGATCGACGCAAAGCACTCTGAGGTGTACCATCCTGCTTAATGCTGACAGCACGTGCAAGCGAGGATTGTGTTGGGGTTGAAAGCGAGTTCAAAAAGTTCGCCGTACGTCCAGTTGTTGGTGTGGATGGTTTGCTCGGTGACTGCATGTTAGCATCCCTCGAGCTTGGTCTGGCAAACGACGTATCGCGAGCACCCATTTGGCGGGCACGCTTTGCTGGAGCCTCATTATCGGGGCAAACCGATGGTCGAACCAGCTTGATGGTTTGTTTGGCAGGGCTGGCATCTCGATCAGCCAGATTGGCCTTGGACTGGGTGCGCTTGAGGGTTTTGGCAAGTGGTGTAATTTGCTTGGCAGGGATGACATCTCGATCAGCCAGGTTGGCCTTGGACTGGGTGCGCTTGAGAGTCTTTGCAACTGGTGTGATGCGTCCAGGCTGCGCTCTGAAAGCAGAAGGGTGGGCAGCAATAGAATCCATCTTCTTAAACTCCGCCATATGGACGTAACTGTATCGGCCAGCCTTGCCCTTTGGCTGCGCAAACTTTCGTCCAGAAAGCACGCCGAGGATGTCACCTCCATTCTCAGCGATCTCCTCCTCTCTCTTCGCAGCCAGCTCTGCTTTGATGCGTCGAGCATCCTCACGGATCTCAGACATCATTTGCTGGGCCTCAGGACCCAGAGAAGGAGCTGGCTTCGCAAATCTGAACTCGAATTCCGACGACGAATTTATGTTGAGCTTCGACGGCGTGGTAAGGATCTCAGGCTTTCTAGCCCCGATATCGGTGAAGCCGTGTCTGATACCCTCATCTTCCTTCTTGGTGCTTTGCTGGGCCTTGCTCGGGTGCATCTCTTCGCGAGGAGGCTTGATGCGTCCCGCCGTCGTCGGGGTGTTGGGAACTTGCGGTGAAGCTTCGACGACGTTGGAGGCCGAGGCAGCAGCACCGCGGCTGGGGGTTCCCTCCTGCTCACCAATTGGTGCAAGGTTATTGAGGGTGGGTTCATTTCTCTGTGTGGCAGCAGCTGGGTCAGCATGGTTGAAGTGGAAACTGTGGTGCGTGGAAGGCCGCAAAGGGATTTGTTTACCTTGTAGGGGGTGTTTTTGCTCCCCCGAATCCTCGACGAGCGGCGTCGAAGAGGGGACATGGCGGATTTTTGGTGATGAGTTTGGAGGTGAAGTTTGGATATTCCGAATAGGAACACTTGCAGTGATGGAAATAGAATTGCCTCCCAGGCTATTCTTGGAAAGTTGGGAGTGGGGTTGATGATGTGCCTGGCGCGTATGGCTTTGGCGAGTGGGCACAGGTTGTCCAGGCGCTTGATTTATAGTCTATAGCTTCCCGTAGCTGGGTATTTTAGTGTTGGAGGAAGTTAATTGGAGAAGTTAACGTGTGGAAGATAAGATTCGTGGGGGGCTTGTTTGTTTACGTGTTGGTCATAGCTCCTAGATCCTAGCGACAAGGGTGTTGGTGATAGCAGCCTCAGGCACGAACGATTTTTTTGAGGCGACGGCTACATTGAGTCTTGTACGACATACAACAAGAGCCATGAGCTTTCGCCAGATGCGTTCTAACTTCATGGGCCTGGCTATATCCCATTTCGGCACTTTCAGGTATCACTATTGTATCCCAGAGCGAACAGCTGTGAACACCTCGCATATTATGCACGATCCCTCGTCCTGGCCAGACCAGCGGGATCATACATGGCGTTGGCAAGTGTGATGGAACACCACCACTGCAGAGACAGACCAGATTCCTCATCCCTCGTCCCTCATGATGCTATGTGCTGGTTCTCCCCATAGCTGTCACAGGATCTGAGTCCGTCGCACCTGAGGACGCTCTAGTCTCTTTCTTTTCTTAGTCGCAATGGGCCTCGAGCTCCTCAGCGCCGACGAGTCGCAACAGGCCGCCAAGCCGCCAGGCCGCCAAGCCGCCAAGCCGCCGTGTTCCCCCCCAGGCCATTGCAAGGACCAGCAGGATCCCTTACATAGAGTACAGTAGGTGGTGCTTTCTGCATGTTCGGTGACGAATCTGGCGGGGATGAATGTTTGGACGGGGAGCGGGATGGCGAATGCAGTGGCATGGCGAGGGAGCGTGAACCTGGATGGTCTGGTTCTGGTCCGCTGATGTGGAGGAGAGGCAGGGAGGCAGGGAGGGTGGGATGGGGTGGGATGGATGGGGGAGTTGGATGGAAAACTCTTCCTTGCTCTCAGGATTTCGAAGAAGAAAGCACGACATTATGGGGTGGGTGGTGGTGTCCGTATCCCTTTTAATACATGCGACCCCCAATGATCTCTAACTTAAGTGCAGAATGCTTCAGATAAGGTTGTAAGGAATAGGGAAAGATAAGGATTACTACCAGACTCTGGTTGCACAGCCGGGCTCCGAGGAGATGGATGAGGAGATGGATGAGATGGATGCTGAACTCTGCCCGCCGTTCTAAGAAACAAGGCGTGGACCCAGCCGAATCAAGCCTGGCGTGTCCAATAATGCCCACCACACAACGTAGCATCGAGTTTTTTTTGTTTTTTTTGTTTTCTTGTTTTTTTGACATTGCCCAGTTGGCGTGAAGCAGGTCTCAAGCTGGACGAAACCTGGAGATCAGACCTTTCGTCCCTGGCCTCACTTGAAGATCAGACCTGTCGTCCCTGGCCTCACTTGAAGATCAGACCTGTCGTCCCTGGCCTCACTTGAAGATCAGACCTGTCGTCCCTGGCCTCAGCTTGAAGATCATACCTGTCGTCCCTGGCCTCAGCTTGAAGATCAGACCTGTCGTCCCTTCAAGCTGAGGATCTTCAAGCTGAGGCCAGGGACGACAGGTCTGAAGATTCCAGAGACACCGGACAGCCGGCATGTCACATCCATGGGATATTCTCCTCCAATAGCCGCCTCGCGCAGTCCGGCTTGCAAAAATCTCTTCGTGTGGAGATTGTGGCCAGGTGACGTCCCGAAGCGGGCAAGTGGCGGTCTTGGCGATTGGGACCCTGGGGGCTCATTGCCCACTGCCAACGTCACTTTTTGGGGCCGGGGGGGCCAGTCCGCAGGCGGGCACCATTCTCTGCTATTTCGCTATTTCGCTATTTCGGGCAGGTCGAAACGAAGGCGAGGGTGGAGGGTTTGGATATATAACGGGATATATAATATATACTGTAGTATAGGTCCATAGCGAATGACGCAGCATCGTGGCCTTCTTTCCCCACGTACGTACATATACAGTACACCCACACACGGCGGTATTACGTCTCTACGTCTGGTCTCTAGTCTCTACGCCTCTACATCTCTACTCTACGCCTCTACATTTCTACTCTACGCCTCTACATCTCTACTCTACGCCTCTACGTCTCTACGTCTGGTCTCTAGTCTCTACCTGTACGTCTCTACCTGTACGTCTACGTCTCTACCTGTACGTCTACGTCTCTACCTGTACGTCTACGTCTCTACCTGTACGTCTACGTCTCTACCTGTACCTACGTCTCTACCTGTACGTCTACGTCTCTACCTCTACGCCTCTACCTCTACGCCTCTACCTCTACGCCATCGTACCACGCTCATCTCTGTCTGTACTCTAACTTGGGCGTCATCCCGCGCATCATCCCGACCACCATGAGCCCCCACTCTTCTAACGTCGTCGGCCGCCAGCATCACCAGCACCTGCACCAGCATCACTTCCCCATCAAGAAAAGAAGAAGCCAGTGCAATGCCCCATCAAGAAAAGAAGAAGAGTGCAGTGCCCCATCAAGAAAAGAAGAAGAGTGCAGTGCCCCACCAAGAAAAGAAGAAGCCAGTTCAGTGCCCTCAGACCCCTGGTCTGGTCCCCTTGTTGCAATTCTTCATCATCCATCATCTCCCAGTGCAGTGGCAGTGGCACCCACCTTACCACTCAACCTACCACAACCCCTCCCCACTCCCCACAACCCTCTCCCACAATCCTCTCCCTCCCAGTCCTCCCTCCACCATCCCTCCTCCCTCCCTCCAGACCCCTGCTCCTTCTATTCTTTCTGTTTGTTCTTTTGCTCCCCCTCCCCCTCCACATATTCCCCCAACTCAATAGCCTTCTGCCACTTTTCCCCTCTTCTTTACTTTCCCCCCCATACAAACACATACAAACACATACAAACACACACTTACCAACCGCTTTACGCTTTCACTACTACCTCGAAAATATCCTCTACTCCCACACACCCATTATATGTTTTCATTACCCAACTCTTTACACACAGCAACACTTCTGCCTCCACACGTTGCTGTTTCGTTACTCGATCCCAGCCCCCCTACTACGCTACACTTATCAAATCTCATCATCGCTACTACCATTGCCGCTGCTACGACCACCACCGCTGCCACTACCGCTTATCCCCCCATATCCGCGTCTAGATCAGGTACTCTGCACCTTGCCTGCAAACCCTTGGAATACTCCCTGTAGTAGACGCGCTCGAACAACCTACCACACACCGCCACTACTATCACTCTACTCTTACCTTCTACCTCCCACGTAGACTCGCCGTCACCCGCTTGGCTATCGCAGCTTTGTCGTCTACCCCTCCAGACTTCAAAGATTTTGCCGTATGGCGGTCGCGCAAAGGAGACTCCCAGTCAATCTTTGAATCCTGCCCCTCCTAGCAATGGACGAGAAGATGTCGATCGACAAGAAAGAAGACATGAGAGAGGCTTCCGTCGACTCCATGGAGTCTACCCCCGAGGCCGATGCCGGACCGCCCAACCAGGAACATACCGAGCAGCCCAAGCGCAAGGGAGGCCGCAAGCCAGTATGTAACACCAGCCAGAGACACTGTGCCTGGCAAACAGTCGCTGACCTTTTCTACTTAGATATACGCCACCTCCGAGGAGCGCAAGCAGCGGAACCGACAGGCCCAGGCGGCTTTCCGTGAGCGCCGCACCGAGTACATCAAGCAGTTGGAGGAGACTATCCGAGTCCATGAGACGAACCTTCACAGCCTCCAGACCGCCCACAGAAGCGCCGCGGATGAGTGCCTCATGCTCAGATACAAGAACTCGCTGCTGGAGCGGATCCTACTGGAGAAGGGTACGTTATACCATTTGATATTATAAGGCAGAGATACTGATGTCTTTTAAGGCATCGACGTTCAGTCCGAATTGCGCGCAAAGACAGGCAGCCCCTCTCTTGGTCCCAGTCATATGCCTCAGGGAATGGCCATGCCTCCAACGGTCCAACGGGCAATCATGAACCGTCACCACCAGGCACGACGTTCAAACTCGAACATCGCACCCAAGCTCGAACCTGTGGTGCCTCTCGGTAACCCGTCACCACAATCTCGGCCAACACCATCGTCCCACCATTCTTCACCAACGTCGACATCTCCCGGGTTTGCGCAAGCAAACGTGTTGACACCCCCAGCTCCAGAAGCTCAGATTCAGCAGCAGCGTGCCCAGCCGCTGAAGCCGCACTTGAACCACGGGCTCGGTGTTTCAGTAGGACCGCAAAATTCTGGACTTGGACCGGCTTTGAAGGGAATACAGGCCGCCGCCGGGGCCGGGGTTTCCGCAGATGCTCCTGCAGCGTACTACCCCTCTTTCCAGAATCACATTGAACAACTAGGTAAGCTAGTTCCCCCCCACCCCCCCCTTTTCCGGCTCGCTGGAGAAAGCCCTGTTAAGTCTGTTTCTAACTCCGTGGCCACAGAACAAGAATACGACGCTCAGACCGACATTGTCTCCGATCAAGACCAACCCGAATCTGCCGGCCCAGGACCATACCCTACGCCATTCGCACTCCCACCGATGATGAACCCCCAACAACAACAACAACAACAACGCCAGCAGCCACGAACAACACAGGCCGGCGAACACGTACCCGGATTCAACTCGATGACCCAGCAGCTGCTGGACCCTTACGACCCGATGCTGGACATGGACCCATTCGGCCTGTCGGCGAGCATGCACTTCCCCACCCAATTTACCTTTGACACGAGTTCGATGCGCTGAGACCGGAAATTTCAATGATACCCTCGGAAATAAAAGTTTTTGTACCTTTTTTGGAGTTCTCACACACAAAATGGCATTGCAGGCGCAATTTGGGAGGGGAATTTGTGCTTGTTTATAGTTGTTATTTTTTATCTCTGGCTTCGGAAAAGGCATCCTGCTCTCGGATATGGCTATTTGGAAGCCCCCCCGGGAGGATAAATACAACGGAATGGTAAATAATAAATCATGAAAAACGATTGGACGACGCAGAGACGGAGTACAGGGCGGCTGGCAAAGGGCGGGGGGACTCGGGCATTGGGGCGGGGGGACACGGGCATTGGGGCGGAACTACTGTAGGGGTAGGGGATCAAATGGGTATCATTATCGAAGGCGACTATGTGTCGCTGGTCTCCGCGATGGCTACACAGTACACGGGAGCCGCTGCATTGCTGTAGATAGGCTGGCTTTCCCGAAGCTTCAAAAACATAACGAAAATGGAAAGAGGAGAAGGGGAGGAGGAGAGGAGGAGGGGGCCCAAGAAGGGTCGTCGTCATGGGGAGGACGGGCGAGCTTGAGCTTTTGAGCTACGTCGAATGATATGTAGGAGGGTGGGGGGAAATGTACCTCTTAAAATAGCAAAAATGCACAGCGGGCGTCGAGAGCAATTGTGTTTGGTTGGAGGCGTCATCGTTTGTAGGGTGTGAGCCAATTGTAGCGGGTGTAATTGAGTTTTAGTTGATTGACGTTGGGGTTTGAAACTGGAATAGGAAGACTCCTCTCGTCTCATCGTGCACTAGAATAATGGAATAATGGGTATTTTTTTAACCTATTAGTTGCCACAGTTACTGTAGTACAACTCTCTTATAACTGTAGTTTTCTATAATAGTAGAGTTAGAGTAACTAGACTATTCCATTAGACTAACTACTGGTCTATAACTCCATACTATATAGTACTACGTAGTTGTTAGTAGTAGAGACAGCACTACTGGTCACTCTTTGCCCTACTTAAGCGAGAATGCAGCAAGGCGGAAATTTGAGGCATCCGAAAGTTCTCGCCCTGCCAAACCGCTTTTGCCGTCTTCCATCGCACTTCAAGCCGAACCCAAGCTTCAGCAGCAACTTCACCATCTCGAGAGACAGGATCCTGATATATAGGATCTGTCCATCTCGAATCCCTCCAACCACCTACTCGAATTGTTTACTCGGTAGCAAGGCCTTCTTCGGAGGCACTTGAGCTAGGCGGACACGATGACTGACACCGTCGTTTCAAAGGTAAAGCGCAAAATCCAATCCCCAAATCCCGTCAATAGCTGTCGCCGCGTCTGCGATTGCGGCGGCTGCGAGACGGGCGAATGCGCGTATCTTTTGAGCTCGCGCAGTAAACATTGACCATGACTCGGATTGGAAGCTAACTCGTGTGATTTGCAGAACCTGTACGAGCTTCTCGGTATGACACCATCACCCGTCGCACCGGACTTGTCGATAGCAAGCTACAAAGATGGGAATGGGAAGACTAACAGATGTGTCGTTTAGGAAACAACCACGATGAGGACTCTGACAAGGAGCCCGAGCCACCTGTGAAGGTCATCGACAGGACTCCCGCTCGCACCGACAAGCGCAGCGCCCCCCGCGAGGCCCCAGGCGCCCCAGCGAACGCCGCCCCCCGTCGCGGACCCGGTGGTAACGAGGGAGGTGCGTACAATTCCCTTTGGCGCGAGTCAATTGAGCTTCTGAGCTTTCCCCAGTCCAAATAGCGCTAAAGGAGCGTGCGACTTTTTTTAGCGCCAAGCAAGCTAACCTCGGTGTCTCGTACAGCTTACCGCGACCGCAACGCCGGCAGCGCCAACAACCGCACCAAGCCGACTGAGGACCGCACTGCTGGCACCTACGGTGGCCGTGGCGGCCGTGGTGGACCCCGTGGTGGACGTGGCGGACCACGCCAGAACGACCGTCACTCCCGCGCTGTCGTCGGGTGAGCATCATCTCGTTTCCAATTAATATATACCAAAAGCTAACTTCCTTCGCAGTGATGCCGACAAGCAGGTTGCTCACGGTTGGGGCGGTGAGACCGGTGAGGCCGAGCGCGCCGACGAGGTCGCCGGCGAGGCCCTCGCCAAGGCTGACGGCAAGGTCGCTCTGACCGAGGACGGCGACGCCGCCCCCGTCAACGCCGACGGCCGCACCCCCGAGGAGGAGGAGCAGGACAACTCCGTGTCCTACGCCGACTACCTGATCGCTCAAGCCGAGAAGCTCTCCCTCTCCGCCTCCGCCACCCGCAAGGCCAACGAAGGCATCAAGGAGGACAAGAAGTGGGCCAGCGCCAGCCAGTTCAAGAAGACCGACGACGAGGAGGCCTTCATTGCCGCCGCCACCACCAAGGCCAAGCGCGCCCGCGAGCGCAAGCAGAAGGAGGTCGTTGAGATTGACCAGCGCTTCGTCGAGCAGCCCAGCCGCGACTCCGGACGCGGTGGACGCGGCCGTGGTGATGGACCCCGTCGTGGTGGTGACCGCGGCGAGCGTGGCAACTTCCGTGGCGAGCGCGGTGCTTTCCGCGGACCCCGCGGTGATGGCGCCCCTCGTGGCGGCCGTGGTGGACCACGTGGTGGTGCCCCACGCGCTGGTGGCGCTCCCAGGGGCGGCGCCGCCCCAATCAACACTGAGGACCAGAAGGCGTTCCCCAGCCTGGGCGCTTAAGTGCTGCCTCACTGTTCGCAGTAACGCTGCTACTCTTTCCATCTTCGACTACTTAACCTCTTTTATGGGCTCCTTTTTAATTAATGGATTCTGATTCGGGAGGGGGGATGAGGGGGTGTTTGGTAGCAAGCAAGTTGGTTGCTTCTCTCGCCAAAATAAATGAGGGGGGACAAATGGGTGGAAGGGGGGAAGGATAGATAAACTATAAAATCTTTCTGTGTTGTTGTGGTTGTCTTATACTTTTTTTTTGGCGTCCGTTCTCAACTGCGGATTGCTGGAGGAAAGGTTTTATTAAAGAAATTAGGAAAAAATGTGAATCAGTACTACTAACTACTACCTAATATTTGAACGTGTTGTGAGGATGTGATTTTGATATGGATGTTATGTTGGTGGTGGATATATATATATGATGTTGAACCTGCATAATTTTTTTTTTCGGTTTGGATAATTACTTTTTAGATGCTCCATGTACGATTTCCCCTTTCTTTGCGGGGAATGAACAAATAAGTAAGGAAATGCTCGGTTGGGGGTGGGGTATATTTATTTTTAACTCTGTATGGAGAAACAGTTATGGCTCTGATGGGAGGGAATCAATGGAGGTGTTCATGCGGAATCATCCAGGTCATATTCATAGCATCATTATCAGAAGCACCATCAAATCAAACAAAGCTTTTCTAGAAATTATAGTTCCTTAGAAATCTCTATAATGCAATGCAACCCATGATGCATGTATGTGTATCCGTATGCTTGCTCCCCATCCTTCCCAAACACACTGTACTTCTCCCCTCCCAACCAGTTGTAGTAAACAAAAGCCAAAATGGTAGGTAGCCCATCCCGCCCTTTAAAAATCCCAAAATCCGAGCAGAAACACGCCCACACCATCAACGTACAATCCACATCCTCAAATCCCTCGACACCGCCAACGCAGCCGCCGCCAGCCCCGCGAGCCCCAGCACGACTTCGAGCGGTAAGAACGCCAGCACGCCCAGGAGCACGAAGCCGAACTGGCGGAAGCGCTTTATGCGATTATCGCGCCACGTGCCGTCCATCTGGTCCCTCTCCGGCGCTTCCCAGTGTGAGCGCGTCCGTTTTCCCGCTCTATCGCCTACACCGCCGCCGCCACCGCCGCCGCCGGTGCTCTCATCCTCCGAACTCGACGGTGTTGTTGGAGTAGTAGTAGTTGGTGGCTATCCGAAATGGAAGTGCTGCCCACCACCTCCACCCCCTGAGAACCCACCGCCAGGGAACCCACCACCCCTTCCACCGCCGCCGAATCCGCCACCACCACCACCATTCATCATCTGGAACAAGATCTCTGGATCGATCCCTCCCATTCCGCCGCCGCCACCGAAACCTCCACCCCCGAATCCGCCGCCGCCAAACATATCAGCGGGATCCATGAGGTCCTCGCCGCTATCGTACTTAGCGCGCTTTTGCGGATCGCTGAGCGTCTCGTACGCCTCGCCGATATCCTTAAAGCGGTCCTCTGCGTCCTTATCATCGGGGTTCTTGTCAGGGTGATGCACGATAGCGAGTTTGCGGTACGCCTTCTTGATCTCCGTCTCATTGGCCTCCTTCTCGATTCCAAGGATCTTGTAGTAATCCTTGCGCCTGCTCTTCTTGAGCTCCAGTTCCGCCTTCCGGACCTCCTTGGGCAGGGTGGTGTCGGAAGGGTCAGATTCCGCGAGCACTTTCAGCTCCCGGACGGCTTCTTCCCAGTTGCCCGATTGGCCGAGCGCGATGGCCTTCGTCTTGCGCGCCTTGGTGTAGGAGGAGTCGAGGCGCAGCGCGGACTCGCAGTCGGCGATGGCGCCCTCGTAGTCCGTCAGCTTGATGCGGCACAGCGCGCGGTTCTGGAGGAGCTTGGAGTTGGTGCCCTTGTTGAGCGGGTCCACCTCTAGCGCCTCGGTGTACTTGTCCAGCGCCGTCTGCCAGTGCCCGAGCTTGTAGTCTGCGTTTCCGTCCGACTTCATGCGGTCCAGCTTCTGCACTATGCGCAGGTACTTGACGGCGTCGCGGTAGTCGGGGTCGCAGTTCAGTGCTTGGCGGAAGTGCTGGATGGCCTTCTCGTTGTCGCCTTGTGCGTACAGGGCCCTTCCTCGCAGCACTAATGCCTCGGGGTCGGATTTGTTGCTCCTCAGCAGCGACATGGCAACGTTCTGGGCGTCTCCGAGGGCGTTCACATTGCCCATCTTGAGGTACGCCTCTCCGCGCATCAGCTGCCATTTTCTGGGCTTCTGTGCACCGACACCGAGGAACTTCTCTGCCTGGTCGAGGGCGTGCAAGGCCATCGAGCCGGTTGTGCCGTGCTTCAGCGCATCTTCTGCTACTGAGATGTGCTGCTTCATTGCCTTGGCTGGTGCTACATCCTTTGCTGATGGAGGGGGCTGGATCTGGTCGTATGTGCTTAATGCCTCCTCCGGCCTGCCCAGGTTTGTGTAAATGCGTGCCAACCTCAGTAGGATTTTAGGGCTGTTCGGCTCGAGCTCGTTGGCACGTAGGGCGTCTTCGAGGGCCTTGTCGTAGTTTGCATTGGAGATGTAGGCTGCGGCACGGTTGTTCAGGTATGTTGCGGATGACGGCATTGCCTCGACGGCTATAATATGGTTAATATGATATTTCCAGAGTGCGTGCGTCGGATAATAGTACCTTTGGTATACTCCTCAATTGCCTTCCCGTACTCCTTCGCCTTATAATGCTTGTTTCCAGCATTCTTGAAAGCTTCCGCCTCCTCTGGCGTGGGAGGAGCAGCCGCAACCGGGCTCGTAGGAGGGCTCTTATGCGGTGGAGGCGTGGGCGCCCCGCTATCCACGTCCATGCTGTCCTTGTTCGTTGTGCCGTTCGCGCCATTCGGTGTAGTAGAATTGAAGGCTGCGGGGATTTTTTCTGCGGGTGACGACGGCTGTGCGTGCACGTCAGTGTCGACCTCCATCGGGTCTGAACGCATTTGTTCGGCCATGTTGGACAATGCGGACAGTCGTCGCAGGTCTGGCGGAAGGTTCAGCGGATGTGTATTTGCGTCGAAGGTATGGGCTCTCGAGACTGGGGTGGGGCCTCGTGAGCCGCTGTTGTGGGAAGTTGTGTGACTGTGTCGGCGTTCGTCCCTCGAATCACGACGATTGGATCTCGAGGATGAGCTAGAGGACTTCTTTGGAGAAGGACTCTGGCGAGGACTACTGTTGTTGCGAGGAGTGCGGTCGTGGGTGTTGTCGTCGTCTGGTGGTGGGGTGGTCTTCTTTGATTTTTTGGATAACTTGGGGAAGAAGTTCATTGAGAGGATCAATGAAAGATTTCGGGTGAGGCAAGATAAGGCAAGGGGTTAGGCTCTAGCAGCAGGTTTGTCTGGGCTGTGCTTGGTTCTCTGGTATGGAACTATTCGTTAGGGCCAATTTTTTTTTTGGTTGGGTGTGGGGTGGTACCGTAGAGAAGGAAGACGGTAGAATCGACGGGTTCAGCGGGAGAGTGCAGAGTCCGTCCAGTGAGTGCGTCCAGTGAGAGAGTGCAGAGTCCGTCCAGTGAGTGCGTCCAGTGAGAGAGTGCAAAGTCCGTCCAGTGAGTTCGTCCAGTGAGTTCGTCCAGTGAGTTCGTCCAGTGAGTTCGTCCAGTGAGTTGCGTCCAGTGAGTTCGTCCAGTGAGTTGCGTCCAGTGGAGTTGCAGCGTGTAGATGGGGATGTTTGAATGTTGAATAGGAGCAAATTGAACCCAGGAGGAGCAACTGAGCAACTGAGCAACTGAGCAACTGAGCAACAGAGCACAGAGCAACAGAGCAACAGAGCAACAGAGCAACAGAGCAACAGACCAACAGACCAACAGACCAACAGACCAACAGACCAACAGACCAACAGACCAACAGACCAACAGACCAACAGCACCAAAAAGATGATACACTGAACCACAGCAGTACAGCACAGTCGAATGAATTAAAACAGAAATATATTCTTGACGTCCTTGGGTATAATTTCGGAGAAAAAAGATGTCCTCGTCGAGCTGTCCAAGCCGTGTCCGAGCGTTGTCCGACTTTCGTCCCTGTGGGCTGTGGGGAGAGAGCTTCTTTCACCTTCCAACAGTTACCATTCGAAATACCAGTGATCACCGGCGGCAATTGCTGCAAATATCTCCCGTCTTGTGTAGAATGATGGTGAATCTGAGAGAAAACCCGAAAAAATATATGAAGCTTCAATGCAATCAAGACCAGCTTCCAGCTCCTGAAGGGCTTGGAATGTCGAGCTGGTTTCGTCGTGTTGGTGATTCGACGTGGGGTCTCTCTGTGGCTTCAGCGGATACCAGGAGGAACTCAACACAAAAAGAGCAGATCACGACGGCGACGAGGTCAGCAATGGCGACAGGTAGAGAGAGATATATACAAGAAAATCCAAAGCAATGGACAATATCTATAATCTACAACTACTACTCTATGAACCCCCGCGGCGACGACGACGACGACAACAACAACACGCGCGCGCAACCCGATACACGCAACCACAACCCGCCATCCATCCACTCGTCCCCACGCCACCACCACAGAGATGCCCTCGTAGTTCTGCACCCCCAATTTTCACAAATATGTCCGCCACTACGCTATCACAGCCATTCATTCGTGCAGATCCCCATCATCATCAGTTGCCAGATAATTATCCTGTGATCCTATGATATCACTATCCCATGCATAAGCTGCTCTTTCCCCGCTTCCTTCCATTCCTTCCATAGGGATTGGGCGACTCGTAACTTAATGGATATTCCAGCTTAGATAATCCGTCTCGGACAGTATGATGGGATTTGCTTATTATTAATCCTACGTGTGCGGCTTGTTGGCATTATTGTGCAATGCTTCACGCACAGCCAGCCTTACGCCCCTATGCATCCCGATCTTCACCTATGCCGCCCAAAAGAGAGACTGCATTGGCCGAGCAAGTCATGTTAAGATAATAAATAGCCTGTCACATCATTTTCACAGCCAAATCGCACACACCAGAATCAGTATAAAATCTAATTAGCATTTATAGATTATAACAATCGTAACCGCTCTGCGACGCTTCAAACGCCACCAAAATGCAACTCCAGCAATGAATCCCCCTTTCAAACACCAAAACCACCCCAAATGCACCACCCCTCTACTCGAAATAAACAGGAACACCATACACCACCACCGCCGCCGCAGTAAGGTACTTAAAATGACACGCCTTCTTCCCCTCCGCCACCGCCTTAACCAAGCTCACCCTCTCCCTCTCCACCACCACCGGCTCGACCTTCTTCCTCCCCCTCCCCGGCATCTTCGTCGCCTTCTCCACCGCCACAGCCGCATCCCCACCATACAGCCCCCACGACTCAAACGTGCCCTTCGCAAACCGATCGATATCCTTATCCGTCACATCCCACAGCGTGCCCACCACCGCCGGCGCACCAGCAATCATATAACTCATCGGCGAGCCGTAGGGCATGAATTCACCCACATCAACGAGGGTAGCGCTGCTGCAGCCCATCAGGAACGTCGTCGCGCACGTCTCGAGCTTCTTGATCGTCTTAGAGCGGATGTACTGCGCGCCGCTGCCGTGGCCAAAGTACAGATACAGGTCGCCATTGGCGAGCATGCCTTTCAGTTCAGTCTCCGCGGGCTCGCGCTCGACGACGCTGCTCCAGTCGTCGAGTTTTTGAAGGCCCTTTGCAAAGGTGGCTTGCGTGGTTTTGAGGTCTTGGCCGGGGTTGAGGACATAGCTGCCTTTGCTGCGGTTGATATATGTGCCATCTGGCCGCCCCTCCATTGCCACCTTCTTTTGCTGGCTTAGGATTCGGTCGCGGAGGCAGCCCATGGATGGGAGTCTTGATACGGCCTGGCCTTCCATGCACGGGAGAGACTCCCAGGGGAGAGAATGTAAAGACTTGTCGAGGATCAGGACCGTGTGACTTTGTTCTGCGACGCCAGCGTTAGCTACGGCTTGGTGATAACAACGGAGCGCGTCAAGCGTGTCGAGAACCATAGAGTCAAAGTCTATTTCGTCATATGCATTGCGCTCGCCGTGGAATTGCAGAATGTCCACGACGAAGTAGAGAAGGTCAGTCAATGGCTCGTCTAGATCACAGTCCTCCGAGAATGGGTCTCCGAGCCCGACGAAAAGCTCAAGAATCCGTGGGTCCAAGGTGACTCCAGGGCTTGCCTTCTTCCTCTTGTTCGTCCGCTGTCGAGATGGAAGGTACTTGTCTAGGGTATTTTGGAATGATTTCTGGAATCGTGCCAGCAAGTCGGGTTGTATTGTATGTTGAGAGAAAATCCCCTTGAATCCACCCAGCCAAACCTTCTCAACGTTGTCGAGGAGTTCCTTGAGCCTTACATTTAGCTCATCACGCTCCGCCCACCACGCAATCTTTCCCTCCCGGCCGGAGACATCACGGCCTCCATGGGCACTAGCATTGGCGAGGTCGATAATTTCATGGAGTTCCGCCTTTCCCTGGTCAAAGCCGAAAACTTCTTCATCCGCATCCCGTGAACTATTACGCTCCAGGGGTACTCGCAGGATAAAAGGAGAGTGCCCCGCTTCGAATTTAGCTAGCACAAGCTCATCCCGACTTTCACTAAGCATGACTGATACCACTTTCCAGGCGGATGGGATGATGTCTATATATTCTTTTTGGAATCGAGCTTGCTGCATCGCTAGGCGGCCGTTGCTATCATTTTGATGGCTTTCGGTTTTGATAACTGGCCATCGGAGATCTCCCTCTTTGGTTGTTTCCGCGTCTACGTCCGACATAACGGCATCTCGCTCCCGTTGAACCGCAATTGCTTTTGCTAACTCTGCGTATTGTCAGTTCCATCCCTTAATACTGTAATTATGATAACTTACCTAATGCTGATGCTACAGCGCCCGGCTGGAAAGCCTTGAGTTTGAGCCCGTGGTAAGTTGAGAGAAGTAGGCTCGTTGTATTCAGGAAAGATGCGATTTGAGTTAGTACCCGAGTTGACGAAATTTGCGACGCAGTAGAATAGGCTTCTACCAGGTGATCGTGGGCTTGTTTCAGAGGGTCCACCCAAGACATAGCTGACCCGCGAGGTAATGAAGCATTGCGCGGTGAACTATGGTTTTTCTTTGGAGGCGTAGTGCGAACGGCGGATACCCTCTCCAAAGACGCCGTCTTTGCGCCGACAACGGCCGGGAACGAGATTGTTGAGTCCTGAAGCACAGAATAAACGGAGTCGGCCGGCAGCAATGCCGAGCTCTGTCGGAACAAACACTCTGCTTGAGCAACATGCGTCTCAATAGCATCGAGAGAGCTGAGGCTGTATTCTGCAGCTTCCTCCAAAACCATCGATGAGTCTTCGAAACGGTTCCATCGGGCAAATGACCTGGCCTTTTGACGTAAAATAGCTCCCTTAAGAGACACTAGACCGACACACTGCTCTGCAATCGAGATTGGCGAAGTTGCTCGCTGTTTTGAGACGGCTTCCCTTTTCTTCGCTGGCGCCTTTGCAACCGTTTTGCGTTGTGGCCTCCCCCTTTTCTTGGTATCATCAATTGTTAGCCTTGATATCTCAGCCTGTAGTATAACTGTGACATCAAAGACCCGGTCTAGGTCGCTGATATAGGTTGAATTTGTCAGCGAATTAAGTGTACGTTCCGCCTCACCATAAGCAGCCAGTTCAGCAGTCTTGTCGCCATGTACGCTGTGAAGGCTTCCGAGGTTGCCACTTAGAACCACCAAAGTCTGTGCCTCCTTCTGCACCGAAGCCAGGTCCTTAGCTTTCGTAAGAAACTCAGTCGCCTTTTCAGTATTTCCCGCTTTCAACCAAGCACCGCCTACCAATGCCAGAGCCTCCACTATGTAGTTTGTCGAATCTATGCTGACGGCAATTTTGTGGGCTTGCTCGGCATAATAAATGGTGTCCTGGAACATGCCGTGGTGGGTATACACCTGTGATAAATGTACGAAGCATCGAAACATTGGTCGCGCCAGCATCCACGCCGAAGGCCCAATATCAGTGTTTTGTGCTTGAGGTAATGCAGGCGAGGTTGTCGATAAGTTTAGATTAGAGCTTTCTTCCACCAGCTTTTCCATCGCAGCATCATCAGCCGATTGGTTCCTCTTGACTCGCGACACCTGGTTCCTCTCTGCTCTCTTCCACGCCCTGGCTATTATTCTTAAGCTTCGCTTCGCATGGATTAAAGCTTCCTGTGGTTTGCCTTGCTGGAGGGCGAGATCCGAATAAACAATGGAAGCATCCGCTATAATGCGGTCATTCCCATCCCTGTCCGAATAACTTGTCGCATTGCTACCATTTGTAGTCTCGTTTTCGTGCTCCGCAACTTGATGGGCGCGAGATAGTGTTTCGTCACATTTTTCTAGGTTCCCTACCCTGAGCAAGTAATCGGCGTAACCAACCAGGTGCCGTATCGATGCACTCGGGGTTACTCCATGAGAAGAGGCAAAGCACTGAGCTTTGTCCAAGGCAAGCCCAGCTTTCCCGGAGTATCCAAGTTCCAAGTATTGGCTAGCCAAAAAACAGTAATCAAGAACGATATCATCCGGGTTTGACCCGCGCGGTATTTCGTCGATGTTGGTAATCATTCGAAGAACAGCAACCCTCATTTTGCCGTACCCCTTCATATCTAAGAAATCGGCAACAGACTGTAGATGGCCCTGCAAGATGTCTACATTATCAATATTCCGAGATAATGCTTCTTGGTCTTTACATTTGTCGATAATACTGGACCAGGTTGCCAGATGTGGCTCGATGAGGTCTATTCTTGGATGATCATCCATGAGCTCCAACGTGCTTGTCAATAAAGACCGAATATGCATCGTATATTGGTTGAGGCCAGAATCATTGCTGCTTGCAACAACTGAATCAACGCTTGCCAAAGTTGTCGTACTGCGCGCTTCCTCGATAATGTCACGGCGCTGGTCGGGATTCGTTTGGGCAAAATTGCATAGAACCCGGAGCCGTCGGATAGGAAACGCTCTGGCATCATATATGGTGGTAAGTTCCTTGTACACAGCTTTCTGGAGTTCGGATGAGGTTTCGGGTTGTCGAGACAGGATATCCTGGATGTGTTCAAAGACAACCCCTTTTTCCTCAGGGGCCCAAGTTTCATCGTCGAGTGAGAGATCATGAAGCGTGCTAGGAGCTTTTTTCTTGAGCTTCACTAAAAGGTAAAATGCTCGGGCAAGCAGCAAGGTACTCTCAGTTTGGTCCCATGCAGCCCGTATGGGAAGGGTCGAGGCCGCTGATGCTACAAGAGCCAAAGCACCGTCGGCGATGAGTTCGTCTCGAAGAAGCAGAATAATATCCCTGGCTTCATCTAGACGTCCAGCAAATCGAAGCAAGTCCCCCATGCGTTCAAGTTTTGCTGTAAATGCGGCTACCTTTTTCTCCGTTACGGGCCTCGAACGGATCGAGTCAATCGATCGACGTAGGGGCCGCAAATTCTGGACATCCTTAGGGCTGGAGGCATCTCGGCGCATATCAAGATGTTGTGAATAATATAAATTCGAAATCCGAGCAAAGTATGAGGTGCGGGTTAAGTCCGAATCGTTATTGCTGTCAGGCATGGAAATGTCGGCGGCCTCTAGTAGTGCTAGGCAGTCCTGAAGAAGAGAGTCCATAATCTCCCAAGTCAATCGACCTTGGGTTCGAAGGGCCTTAGCCAAATATAACGCAGAGTCCACAGTGCCGGGGACACTTCTAGCAAGGTGGTGGCGTCGCTGTTCGAAGCGAACTATGACTTTTGTTGATGCTTCATTGCCTGGAGCTTTGCCCAGATATCTGAGTGAAAATCGGGGGCATTGGAGAACCAAAGACTCGCATAACTGTCGCGGGTCTTCGTTTATCGCTGCAGGCGCATCATCATTTGCTCCCAGCTTTTTTGACACCAGCATTATTGCAGCTCTTCTTGCTCTGGAAACCTCAGTCATTAATTCGTCAAGCTCTGTGCCATCTCCCTTTATAGATGACTCCAGGCCCTGCACTACTGTCATAAGCAGCTCTTCTATGATAGGATCCTGCGGATCAGTCCGTAGCTTCAACGCTACCAGTTTCGCCGCGATGGCGCACTTTTGAGCTTCGGATGAACTTTCGCAGCCTTGAAGCTTTTCAACCCATCGGATGGCTTCATCGTCGCATCCGAAATCTTGTGCCAGCGACGCTAGAAGCTTATGGATCCCATATAGTGGCGAGCCAGTTGCAATATTCAGGCCTTTCTTTTGGGCAGACGTAAAATCTACAAGAGCGTTGTATGATTGCAGGGCAAATTCGTATGCAGACGCTGCTAGGCCTCGGCTTCGTCTGGTAAAGGCTGCCATGCATCGAGAATACGGCTCGAAAATGTCGTTGTCGATATCACCCTTATAGCCGGCGATTGACCACCATGTGTACCTGGTGGAAAATGCAATTGTTTGAAGTTGAAGTGCTGCGTCTGGGCCGACGTGCAATTTTGGCGAAACTGCAGCCGTATCCTCAGAGGATGAGATTGATGGGCTCAAGGAAAGTATAATCTGGGCCAATGACTCTAACTGTCGTGCCGATTTTGTGGCAAGAGAGGATGAAATCTTGGAAGATTGGACCAGAAGTTGAGTCGGCGAGCAGTGATATTCCGGTTGTAGTTTGGGCATAGCAGCTATAATTGCTGACGGTTTCTTTGATGTCGTAAGTAGTTTGAGCGCCTGAAGCTGGGTAGTAAAGGCGATGCTTAACAAAGGCCCTTCGATAGGCACAGTTTCGAATTCAAGCAACTCGTCAAACCTAAGCGGCGACAAACTTGGAACCAAAGGGGATATATCTTTGGCTGTCTCTTTCTTCGCGCGGGGCTTCTCGGATGGCTTGAATGCAGCATCCAATCGCCTTTTTAAGATCCGTAGCTCCTTTAACGCAAGGTCGTCCAATCCCAGCAATATTAATTTTCCCACCAACGCAGACATCCCGTTTTCTATTTGCATAGGAGGCAAGTCGATAGTTGGTGTTTTCGAAGATTGCAGCATCCGCAGGCACGCGAATGCAATGCGCGAGCATTCGGCGACGGCTCTGGGACCAGAACCAATCGATGATGTTGACGTTGAGGACGAGGATGGAGAGCGTATCAGCCGGTTTGCGACATTTGGGGAACTGGCAACTCTATTCAATGACCGCGGGTGGAGCGGTGATTGAGGAAGAGAGTTGGACCTTCGTAGAGCTTTGCGAACAGGCGTCTCGAGGTCTCCACGCAATTGTGGCTGCTTTCGTACTTGGTTTGATGGTGTTGCAGCAGCGCTCAGTGTCTTGAGAGTTATATTGATAACTTCGGTGGCTAGGATTGCCTTTTCTTTGGCAGATAATTCTTCTGCTTCATGGCTATCGGACTTTTGGGATTCTAGCAGTGTTTTCTTGGTTGCCGGCCTTGTCGTCCTCCCTGGCTTTATCTGAGCAGTCTGGGTAGCCGCCCTTTTCCGTCCGACTCCTGCAGCAGGAATTGCATCTTTCTGGCCATTCGGCGCGGTTTTCGGAGCCAAAAGGTCGCTGAGGGTAGACACCGTCGCCGGGGTGCTTGTTGATGTCGAGCTAAGTGCACTTTTGACCAATTCGAGTTTGTCGTGTAAAGAGGCCATTCTGGAAGCTGAAAAGGTGCATTTAGTATTATCCAAGTCTAATCATTACAAAAAACTCCATGAGGGTATGTAACCACAGCAAGCCGCAAAATTCAACATGATATATTGATCAATTCGATGTGGATCGGAGAGTTGGTCATGGAGTCGTGACTTTGACCAGCTGCAGGGTCGTTACCACAGCAACGTTGGCGGTGGGGTTGGCAGAATATCAGATATTTGAAGGAACGCAGGAAAATCTGAGTCGCACCCTTATGGAACTACCAAACTGAACAGGGACAGCATCCAAACTCAAGCTTACCGATCCTATGTCCACCCAACTTATTTCCTTTTTACGATAAGATAATATTTAGATCATTATGATCGAAAAGACTGTGGTTCGACGACTATTTCTCGCTGGTCGAGCTCCTCTTCAAAGCACAGTTTTCGCAACTGCTGCACGTTACGGGCGACCGCAACAACTCCAACGATATTATTCATCGTTACCAAGTGTTACCCAGGTCTCTTTCTGGGAGTCTATGATCCCAAAACCTCTGCGCCGCAGTAGTAGGCTCAAAACCAAGAAGCCGAAGTCGACCGAGTGGAACCCAGCGACATTCTTCATCGCCATTCTATTGCTCATCGGGTCTATGTCCATTCAAATGATAGCACTACGAAATGAGTTTGCAACGTTTATAAGACGAGCAGACGCTAGAATCAACTTGCTTCGGGAAGTTATTGAGAAGGTTCAAAACGGCGAAGAGGCTGATGTGGAAGGCCTTCTTGGCGCGGGCAATATAGAGAAGGAACAAGAATGGGAAGAAGTCTTGAAAGAGATTGAGAAGGAAGATGAGCTCTGGACGGAGGCGCGCAGAACGAAGCCAAGGCGACGTTCCGCACAACCAATCGAGAGTGCTAAAATAGAGACCGCCGGCGCTTCCGATGACTCTCCAAGGCCAAAGCAAACATCTAATGCACCTCGTGGATTCTATTGAGGAATCTTGAGGCTAGACCTCATCCTCCGGTTCAATCTACTACGACCTACTCAACACAACTTAGTTGAAGGCAAACATCCAAGGTAAGAACTTTCATACTACTTCCCAATTCTTGAGATGACGAAAAATTCCGGATGTAAACCATTACTATACTCCGAGAGCGCAAAACCCATGTGGAGATTTCCGTTGCCTTCCTTCTGATCAAACTACCTACGTCTTATGTGTTACAAGCCTTCTGATGGGAAAGATGCATTGCTAACAACATATAACAGGGTCAACACAGCCAATTGAAACCAATTGTCTATGGTAAGAGTTTTCATATTATCCCTCCCCTGTTACTTGAGATGACGAAAAATTCCGGATGTAAACCATTACTATCTCCGAGAGCGCAAAACCATGTGGAGATTTCCGTTGCCTTCCTTCTGATCAAACCTACCTACTTCTTATGTGTCACAAGCCTTCTAATGGAAAAGATTTGTTACTGACAAGATATAACAGGGAACATTGTCTCTACCGACGGTAGCATGTGTAAATATATGCTACATGTTGATATGACTATGAGAGCATGTCCTTGAAGGGACTGTTATTTCTTGTCAAACCTTTCGCCGCAGCCTGCGATGGCCTATCAGATGTGCCCGCTCCAAGTGCGTGGAGGTGATCAAGGAGGGTCGGAAGTAGCTTATCCGAAGACATCTCAGCTCTTACGCCCAATTCCCCTCTCTGGCCCTCATCTAAATTCTCAAAGAAAAGCTCTTCCCCCCGTACGCCACCAAGATTGACGATTGCAATGGGCATGCCTTGGTCTTTAGCCCGCCTGGCTAACCGCCAAGCGGAATATGTCGCCAGAGACGTCCCAATAACAAGAAGTCGTCCTGCAGAGTCAATGGCACGCTCTGCAGCCTCTTTCACAGAGGATGCTATGCTCTCGCCGAACATTAACACAGCTGGCTTTAATATGCCAGCTGTACTAGAAGGCTCGAAGGCTCCATCCTTGTCCACCTTGACGGTGGATTTGGTGCCCCCTGGAGTAATTGGCGGTCTAAAAGTAGTACATGGTGCCCCTGGATCCACGTCTCCATCCGGGTTTAGCTTCATGCCTTTTTACCGACGACTTTCTGGATCTTCGGAGTCAAGCGCTCCAGATGCAAGAGCTTCCTTGAGTAGCTCTGCCCAGGCTGGATTGAGACGCCCCAGTTCTTTTTGGAATATATCTCGAGGTAGCTCGTTGTGGCAAGATATACATCTTAAAGACCTTAAATAGCCATGGAGTTCCAGAGCTGGGAGCTCCGGATGAGCAATTAGATGAAATGAATCAACGTTCTGAGTCACCACATTCTTAATAAATCCCATATGTCCCCAAACCCCTAATTGCGCGTGTGTTGCATTTGGTTCCGCCCTGTCCAAGTTTGGCCATCCTAGAAAACTGCGAGCCCAGTATCTCTTCCGTGCTTCGTGATTCTGTACGAACTCGTGGTAATAGATAGGTCTGTACATCTTGTTCACCCTGTATGTGCCATTGTTGCCCCCTGTAATCCGCCAGACCTGACGCGACTGATATTCCGGCGCCGGTCAATATAACAGTTGAATTGGGGCCATCTAGAGTGGGTGCTGGGGTGGCACGTTCAAAAAGTTTGACAGTGCTGCAACAGCTTCAACTGCGGTATTGGCGTTGCGGGGTAGGATCTTGGGTTTATTGTAACAGGGTTCCGCCGTTATAGGGTATCCTCATAAGTGGCTTCCGCATTTGATGACCATCAATGCCACTTTACACCGGCAGCCGCAGTGTTTCAGTAGACGTGGCCGGAATGTTATGCGGTTAGGATGATCCGTAAAGCTTAAAATCCATGTTGAAGCTTGGTAGTTATGGTCCGCGTCATTCCGAGCCACCGATGACCCAGTAAATACTCGCGTCGGCCAAAATGCCAAGGAAGGACAGTGCATGATTGCTCGGCTTGTTTTGACAGGAACTATTCATAAAAAGTAGACTCTCAGTAACTCAGAGGCCATTTAAGCTTTTTAGTAAGCCAGTTATCTAAAAATTAGTCCAAATGGAAAATCTCTAAGACCTTGAATTATACTGTATCAATTCCGTTCAGACTTTTTTGGCAGCCGATTAGCATCAAAACAGTCAGCCTCATTATTAGTGGGGCCTTTCCACCGAAAACCAGGAAACCTTACGACAGTCTGGATACTGAATAGTATTCCTAGAATAATCAACTCCTGGCCGCGCAATGTCGTTGGGTAGTCTTTTCGTATGCGCCATTACAGATATATTCCTCCATGTTGATAGCCTGACGGCTTGAGGAATGTCGTTGATACGCTGTGGCCAGTTTCGAGTACTACACTGTCCACTCAGCACTCCAGTGTTGGCACGGCGGCTGAACGCACCCCCTGGCGCTTTCCCATCAAGGACAGATCCGCGACTTTCATACAGGCGAAGTTGGTCGCGTGTGATCAGGACAGCTGCCGCCACCCCTCTACATAAACACGATCCTTTACTATCATCGACACGCAATCACTCTCCAGACTCTCCTTCGATAATTGGTAACAGACCAAGATACCAAGCCGCAATGGCGACAGAACAAACGCAGAAGCGCGGGCACGCGGGCCACCACCACCATCATCACGACAATACCTACCTCGTCTCGACAAATAAGAACGATGCTGGAGTACGGATCACAAGGATTGGATTATGGTCGAACTTGGGCATGGCCATTGGTAAAGGCATCGGTGGGTACCTCTTCAATTCGCAAGCAATGGTCGCAGATGCGTGGCATTCGGTGACGGATCTGGGCAGTGATATTCTCACTTTGGCAACCGTATCATGGAGTCTGAAGCCACCAACTACGCTGTTCCCAACTGGATTTGGCAAAGTTGAGAGTTTGGGAAGCTTGGGTGTTAGTGGGATGCTACTCGGCGGCGGCTTGTTCATGTGCTATAGCAGCTCACTGATCCTGTACGCCCATTTCATGTCCGATCCACATGCGGCAGCGGAGCTACTCGCCCATACGCATTCACACGGACACAGCCATGGCGGCCATGGCCATGATGCTATTATGCCGAGTTTGCACGCGGCGTGGCTGGCTGCAGGAACTATTGCGATCAAGGAGTGGTTGTATCAAGCCAGTGAGTTCTCATTAAACTTACAATTTCTACCGAAGGGCACATAGCTAACCTGCCTCTCTCAGCCATGAAAGTAGCACGCGAACGCAAATCCTCCGTCCTGGCTTCAAACGCTGTCCACCACCGCGTCGACTCTCTTACTGGTATCGTGACACTCTTCGCCATCCTCGGCGCCAACTTCCTCAACAACGCGGCCTGGTTAGATCCTGTCGGTGGCCTTCTCATCTCGGTCCTCGTCATCCACGCCGGCTTTGGAAACTTTGTTTCTGCATTATACGAACTCGCCGATAAGGGTATCGATGAGGAGGTCCAGGCATCAGTAAGGAAAGCTGCACTTCAAGGTATTGCCGCATTCCCAGACGGACTCGAGATTGAGCTCCGTGATGTTCAGGGTGTCAAGTCGGGCCCGAACTTCTTCGTGGACCTGGAGCTGGCGGTACCAAACGATTGGACCGTGCAGCAAACAATGACAATTGAAGACGCAATCCGCACGACGGTCGGGTCTAAGGTCCGTAGCGTTCGAAGATTGAAGATGCGCTTCATTTCAAATGACGCCAAGACAACCCTGTTCGATGAATTCATTCCAGGAGACGTCAGCCCAAGGGAGTCGCCGGAGCCAGAAAACCATAACCACGATGAGGACAAGAAGTCGCAGTAGGTGGAGGGCATATCAGTACCTGTAGTTGCATGGCGTTTCGGGTGAAAGTCTGTTTTCACTTCACAGAAAGGGTGGCGCACGAGGGTTGGATGATCAAAACTGCAGCAGATGACTTCGTGATTAGACGTGGTATATCTCATACAGCAATTTAAATAATTATAAATATCCAATTTTACCAGGGGTAAGGAGGTTTCCTCATTTGATGTGATACTACAAGTGGTGGTTCATGTGGACTCGTTCGTGCCTTCCCTTTGTAAAATGTTGACACGAGCCTCCTCCGGGCCTTCCGTTGCGTCCTCTGTCCTCTGTGCCTTCCATCGTGCCTTCGTCACTCGTCGTGCCTTCCTCTCTCTCATCATGCCTTCCTTCCATCGGGACTTCCATTGTGCCTTGGTTCCTGCCCTCCTTTCGCGAGAAGTGGACCGCGTTGCCCCTTCTGCACCTGCCTCTCCAACAGACTGCGAAATCGGGGATTATGTACTCCGTCGCCATGACAGTCGCCTGTAATAATTCGATGCTCTACAGCACTTCACTCATTTGGTACACCAGTACAGCCCTGATTAGCTGCTACCACGCTCGTTATTATTGGATATTAGTATGATTAATTTTTAGGTATTTTTACCTGTTAATCGTTTAAGTAGGAGACTGATACGAACCCGTTGTGGAATCCGTCGTTGATTCATCTTTGAAACCCCCTTTTTCGCTGGTCCTCGACCACTACTTACTCCTATTTCAACGGAAAGGCTTTCAATTTTTGAAAGTCTGCTACAGTATCTCAGTCTCCCTCCTCCAGCGGCTGAACCATCGTGATCCATCCACCCAACTGCGCTTCTCAATCACCCAAACCCCACCATGCCCCCTGCCTCAAGCTTCCTCTGCACCTTCTGCTGGCTTCCCCAACACCCCCCCACCCCCCTCAAAACCCTCGGCATCGAATCCCGCATCTGCTGTCCCTCCTGCTATGAGCAAATCCTGAACCTGGCGATATGTTGGGTCTGCGGCGAGGTGGTGGTTAGGGCGGAGGAGGCGGTTAGTTTGGGCTGGTGCTTTTGGCATCGGCATTGTTTTGGGTGTTTGATTTGTGGCGAGAGGTTGAGGATTGGGGAGGGGGAGGAAGAGTTGGATGTGGTGCCTGTTTGTGGGGGGTGTGCAGAGGGAGGGTTGGAGGGAGACGGGGTTGGAAGGGAAATTGATAGGAGGGATGGAGGACTGGGGAAAGCGAGGTGGGAGCGTCTTATGGAGTCTAACCATGGCTGTGTTTCGAATGAGACGCTCTCTGGTGTATCTCAGGCGCAGAAGGAAGTTGAGGCAGAGTCTCGCTCGCAGACTAGTGCAGCTGCAGGATCTATCAGTTATAACGGGGAACATGGATCTCCAGCTTCACCACCACCAGTTTATATCACAATCACAGATCCCATAAACGGGCCATCCTTCCAGCCGAGTCCCACCAAACCGATCCCGCGATGGATGAGGCAGCTTCCCAACGGAAGGGAACGCGAGCAAGTTCATCTTTCGACAACAACATCATCCGCCGCCGCGGAGTCTGAGGTTGATATGCTGCCTATTAAAAATGCCAGACACCTGCTCGTTCCATCCTCACAACAATCGGTACCGGAAGAGCAAAAGCTACCGTCACAACTAACACATGTTTGTGCTTCAATTTCTGCTATCCCAGAGGCTATTCTGGCGTATAATGACCGTCGAATGACAATGAGCACTCCGCCAAAAATGCACCACCAGCGCCTGGAATCTGACGTAAGGGCTCCCACGCCACTCTACACTGGCGGAGAAATGGGCGTGGAGTACTTGAAGAGGTATCACCTGCGGGCTCTGGAGGAACGCGAGAGAGGGTTGCAGGAGAGTAAGACGGGCAACATTGCGCCGGAGATAGTTAGGGAGTTTGAATCTGTAAAGCAGGTTGTGGGCCGCGTGAAAAGCATGCAGATGGAGGTTTGGAACGAGGAGGAGGTGGAAGGGGAGAGACAGCGGTGGGGGGGAAAGGAGATGTTGAGGAAAGAACTCAATGGGTTGTTTAGACAAGGATAGAGTTGAGCTCGATGGGGGATTGATCGATTGCTTTTCTAGACTGAACAATAGCATTGATTCATTGATTCATTGGAGATAACAGGCGCCCACTAATTAAACGATCGGTAACAAAAAAACAGCAAGTCCTTTTCACCCCCATCTAGAGTATCTCGGCGAGAGATAGAATCTCAAAAACTGTAAGCATCCGAATTCCAGCGTCGCTTTTAAAAAATCTTCGATCTAGTCTACTACCGTTCTACCCACTCTTTCGTATCAACACGCTCCCTTTTTTTATCTCTTCAAGCCGACTCCTTCAACACCTTCTCAAGCTCCTTCGCGACGGCGTCACCGACCTCGGTCGTGCTGTTCGAGCCACCAATGTCCTTCGTGCGGACGCCAGCGTCGATGGTGCGGCGGACGGCCTCCTCGATGGCGCGTGCCTCGGCGGGGAGATTGAGGGAGTAGAGGAGCATGAGGGCGACTGAGAGGATCGTGCCGATGGGGTTCACGATGCCCTTTCCGGAGATGTCGGGGGCGGACCCTGGGGATGGGATGTTAGTTCCTACTTCTCGGGGTCCACGATAAAACAAATGGGGGTGCAGGGGTGCATACCGTGAATAGGCTCGTAGATACCATTGCAGCGCGAGCCATCTGGGATACCGCTCAACGACGCAGAAGGGAGAAGGCCGATGGAACCGGGAATGACGGACGCCTCATCGGAGATGATGTCACCGAAGAGGTTGCTGGTCACAACAATACCGTTCAGCGCGCGCGGGTTCTTAACCATCAACATAGCCGCCGAGTCGATGAGGTGGTGTCCGAGCTTGAGCTGCGGGAACTCCTTCTCCATCACCTCCGTCACTACCTTACGCCACAACCGCGACGACGCAAGCACATTCGCCTTGTCGAGCGACCACACCGGCAAAGGTGGGTTAGACTGCATAGCCAGATGTCCCGCGAGGCGAGTAACACGCTCAACCTCCGCGCGCGAGTAAACCTCCGTATCCCACGCAATTCCATCCCCCGTATCCTCCTTCCTCTCCCCAAAGTACAAACCCCCCGTCAGCTCACGGATGATGTTGAAGTCGGTGCCCCGGCACACATCGGCCTTGAGAGGGGAGATCTCGACGAGAGTGTCGGAGGCGAAGTTGCAGGGGCGCAGGTTGCCGTAGGTTTGCATCTCTTTGCGGAGTTGGAGGATGCCTTGCTCGGGGCGGACGGTGCCGGTGCCCCATTTGGGGCCGCCGATGGCGCCGAGGAGGACGGCGTCGGCGGCTTTGGCGGCGGAGAGGGCTTCGGCTGTGAGGGCGGTGCCGTGGGCGTCGATGGAGCACTAGGGAGGGGGGTTAGTGGGTAGCTGGATATGGGGGGTGGTGAGGAAGGGGCGTGGGATGCTTACGCCGCCGAGGAGGTGCTCTTGGAAGTTGAAGTGGCCGACGCTTGGGCGAACTGCCTCAACTACCTTGAGGATCTGTGGGGATTTAGTTAGAAGGCGTTCGTGTTAGATTGAGCTTCGTCAGTGTTCACCTTGATTCCTTCGGCGACAACCTATAAATATTAGCATTAGACCTCACAAGCGGGGTCGTGGCCTGTCGGCCAGCTGAAAACTCACATCTGGACCGCAGTGGTCACCTCCGAAAACGACGATATTGTGCGTAGCCATTGTGATTATAGGCAGACTGTGGGAGAGAAGAAAGAAAGTGCTGGAGCTGTTGAACGGGGATGTGGGCGTGGTTTTTGTTAAGGAGGGCTCATAATTCACAATATCCGAAATGTCAGGCGCTTTCGCTGATGTGCTTCGCTTCCCCGCGCTCCGGTGTCGGATCGGGGAAAGCTTGACTCGGCACTAGTGACTGAGATGGCTTAGTGCCATCTCGGGACCGGAACGCTTGGTACTAAGCTCCGAAGAACGGTCATATGGGTCACGTGCAAGTAACATTTGTGAGGGGATACATTGTGGTTTTTAAATAAACACTATATGGCTCTATTAAACTGTCGGAATCCCCCCTTACTGTTTTTGTTTTATTACACAGGAAGCAAGGTGACATTTTGAAAATGTGACCGTCATAAAATATTTTGCCCGTTGCCGTAATAAAAATCTGAATTTTGTGAATCGTATGGGGGAATAGCACCATGTATGTGGGCCCAACGACGCAGGTACGAGAAAATCAACGAGCAGCCTAAGACTTGTGACGGCAACGGCGGTACAGGAAAGAAACAGTTCGGTGTATAACTCGCACTGCGTTACGGTAATAATTTTGTTATTGTGACAAAGCAGGCAAGACATTTAAACTGACGGACAGCTGTCTCCACGCCCTCATACGACTCGTTCTCGACCTGGGTTTTCTGGTAGAAGAAGCAACGTCGTCCATAGTCCCGGAGTTAAATGGAAGATAAGAATACAAGCGATATGCGTTCGGGGAAGCGATGTGCGTTCGCGATCACCAAAATTTACAGGTACTTTTATATAAGTGAAGTAAATTATTTGTAAAGTGACTAAAGGTAATAAAAAAGATGGAAATGTAGTGGAATTTTTCTAATAAAACCTATATAAACTACCTTAAATGCTCTATTAGCGTTCCTAAAATTTAATAGATAATATATATGTATATAATGCTACTTATATTAGAAGCATTTAACTTTTGTAGGAGTTATAAAGTTGTTAATTACTAAAAAGGACGTAAAATAGTAGCTATAGAACTCCCGAACGCACATCGCTTACCACCACGATTAGCCCATGGGCTGAGGCAGGCCATTCATAACCTCTTTTGCCCAGTTAGTCGCTCCCGCTAGGCTGGTGGCTTGGCTAGAGCGATGACTTGGTCCTATCAACCCAGTCTGTCGTCGCTCGCCAATCCCAAGATAATCATCATTTCAGGCACACAACCACTCTTTGTCCTGTCCTGTCCTGTCCTGTCCTGTCCTGTCCTGTCCTGTCCTGTCCGGTCCTGTCCTGTCCTGTCTTGTCTTGTCCTGTCTTGTCCTGTCTTGTTCCTGTCTTATCTATAGGACCTGTCGCTAACCCTCGGGCCCGACCACAACTCCTAGATGTTCTCCTGGGATCGAGGCTTGCTAGTTTTATCGCCCGGCTTCCTGACTTCCTGACTTCCTGACTTCCTGACTTCCTACTTCCTGACTTCCTACTTCCTGACCTTTCTAATCACCAACCCCAGCAGGCATCCGCTCCACTTTCTCCATCGGCCAAGGATTACGGACTTATTGTACACATGAGCTTACTTGCAGCTGCTTAGCACCTCGACGCCATTTGTTGGATATCTTCAGCCTGGACGTCCTCTTCCTGTGCCTGCCTTGAATTGTTCATTTGTGTCGAGTATCACCGCAATTGAACGAGCTTGATCATCGAGGGGACTCTGTTGCCGCTGAGTATATGTGTGCATAATTTGTACGGCTTATACTTCCAAGCCCACCTCTCTCCCTGCTCGTGCCTAGGCTAACCATAAGACTATCCACAGCACGGCACTTTCTCCAATTCTCTCCGTCCCACTCCCAGCCGGCGATGCTGCCTAGGAACCGACTTGCCATATAAAACCGAACCTCTCTTGCTGTATCAACAGTCAAGTTGCTGCCACAGCTCACACTGCTCAACTCTTTATATACTTGGTCCTCGAGGGATAGCTCTGGGCAGTGTGAAGCGTTGTCAGGGCGGGGTGCACTGTGAATGTGGAGATAAGCAGAGGTGTAGCCTGTACCGCTCTATATGGTCAGCAGTAGTCCCACTGCTATGAATTGGGGACCACAAACGCAGACGTTGGTGGCTCTGATGCCCACGAGACTTCCAGCGAGGACTTGATGGCTAACCAATAATAGCTTTGGCGACCCGAATGCCCAGACCCCGACCCCTCAACAGACCCCGACTTCAGCTGCCTTTCGAGAGAGTGCTTTGGGAACACCACAGGGAAATATAAACGCATTTGACACCCAGTCTGGTTGGACACCAACATTTGCCGAGGACTATACAGTCTTCAATGCAACTCCTGGCCGCCTCACAAATACACAGAGCACATTTGAGCCTTTCTCACCTGGTAACCCCACACTGGGGTCCTCAGCTCATGAGGGAGTGTTTGAGAATTCAGACACGAAGACGCCAAACAGACCAAACCAGCGTCTCCCGGAACCACTCAGTGGCCAGACAGCAACGCCGCCCCAGTCTACTGCGAAGGACTTGAAGAAGGAGAGACTTAGGCTGGAGAAGTCAAATATGCAACATGATGAGCCCTTTCTCCAATCGGGGATTATGGGCCAGGATGACTTTCTCGACTTTACTCAATCCTCAGGTAATATGTTTTCTTATCCCATGACTGCTCCTGTACCAGTCCCTGCGTACCTGAATGACGACAAGTCGTTCTGGGACCCTGATAGCAGTATGGCAGATGTCTCAATGGACTTTATGGCTGAAGAATCATTCTATGGAACATCGCAACGAGTAGGCTCTTCGGAAGACTGGCCTCAAAGTCACCAAGCGTCCCAAGACTCCTTAGGAACTGTCCCTCTTCAACAACACGGATCACAACCCCTTAGGCGGCACCGGCCATTAATGGCCAAACCCCCTGCCGCAAGCAGCGCAGTGCAAAGCTTGTCTAATACTGCTTTCGACTTCAGCATATCGTCCATGCCACGGGACCCCTTTGCGGCCGATGTTTCCAGTGGTGTTGTCAACCCAGGACTTATTTTCGGCTTCCCAGAAGTAACATCGCCACTTCATATCAACCGGAGCAATAGCAGACCTGCCCCCCAACGGTCCCGGTCGGCTGCTGGACTAACTATGCAAGAACCATATGAACACCAATACCGAGAGTCACTACGAGAAAAACCAGAGCCAAGGAGATCGCGATCTTTGAAGGAAAACATACCCGATCTATCACATGGCGGAGCTCGCTTTGGCTCTCCTGTAGAAGGCAACCGCCCAGGTCCTCGTCATGTGACTTCTCACGAGAACCAGCCACCACCGAATTTTGCAGGAAAAGGTGTGTATAGTTCTGGAAGACAGTCACCCACAAAACAAGCCAGCCGGATGAACCTTGCATCTATACCAGAAGCAGCTGGGCTCAACCCCCGGACTGCTGTGACTTTCAGTATTGACGCACATGGCCGAGCAAGGACCGAAACAACCATAGTAGTGGATGATAGCAGGGCTTTTCGAAGAATATATTCGCGGGCCTCGAGTGATGGCTGGGAGTCCCCTCAATCCGGATCATCAACGGATGAAGATCCCATCACGATACCGAGCAGGAACGCTTCGTTCAGTATCCCTAACAAGCGGAGCATGCCTAAGATGGCCCAATTCGAGACGTCGAGACAGCATCGGTCGCGAAAGTCCGGATCAGCCAATTCGTCCTCTCATGGAGATTCGGATAGCGAATTTGAGACAGTAATAGACGGCGGCAAATCTGGAGATGCCGCCAGTGCTCTCCGAAAAGCCATGGGAAGTCGCCGAAGGAGCGTTAGCAACATGGCAGGCACACAACTACATGCAGCGTCCCGCACTTCAACACGTCAAATTTTGGGGTCACAAGGCCAGTATCAGCGCCAATCATATGCTTACCAGCCATCGTCGTCTAATGCTTCACCGACAACCATCAGCGATCCAGATGGAGAGACCCCTGCTACTGACCCGGGAAGCACCGGGAGCGATAGCACCAGATGTGTGTGCAGCAGTCGCGATGGCGATGAATATATGATCCAATGGTAAGGGACTAATCTGATATAATCCCAACTGCGTAACTAACTCTCCGCAGCGAGTCTTGCGAGAAATGGCTCCACTGCAACTGTGTCAATGTTCACCCACAGCGCCTCCCCAAGGTCTATATTTGTGCATTCTGCGTGCAGACTCCCAACATGCGTGGCTCCCGTGTTCGAGGCGCCGTTAGGGCCAGTACTATTCAGCTGGCTGCCTCACCGCTTGCGCATAAATCGTTTGAATCTTGGCGGTGATTCGATTTTCTGTATTGCGAGCGAAGTAGCGAGCAAAGCATATGTGTATGTGCTAAGACGTTTTTTTTTATCAGCGTACGATACCCTTCCCACGACTTATTTATTATCTTGTAGAAAGCATAGCAAAGCATTGTTCAGTTTTAGTATGATGGGCCGAAAAGGAAGAATTTATACGAGTATTTAAGCGGCTTTTTGGACCTTTTGGACTTTTTGGAGAGAACATAGCGAGATATCATGTGGAAGGACGGACAATGTCATCTACATCTAGGAATAGGATAGACATATGAAATTTATAAATAAGATTGGAATCTATAACACGGTTTGAATTATTGCGCTATTACTATTTGTCTATCAGTGCTTCAATGGAGACGGCCCTCTGATTTCGTATAGAGAGGCAGAGATATATGGTTTTACAGACGGCGGATATATTCTAATAGAAAGTAATGTTTATGTACAGATAAGTAAAATATTTAATCCTGAACTTGACAGTGGTATATGTACCTCTGAATCTAACCCACTCCCACTCAAGAAGAATAATATCCCACATAGCACCCTTCCATTTCTCAGTAGTCGTAGTGGTAAACTTAATTGAGTTGGATCCCTTCTTGAGCGTGCCCGGCTTAATAGTATACTCTAGGAAACGCCAAACCCCAGCCACAGTAGAAGAGCGATATAGGGCACTATCAGATGCCACGCTCTGGATATGGCCAATCACAACATCATTGGCTGTGATATCCATACGGGTATTTGTTGACCGGCGCCGTAGGCGCCGTGAAGCCGCGTAAGCACGTGATTGGGCATTGTTCATGACCCATGACGCGTAAACTCTAGAATATTTCCACAACCCCGCTAAACTCACCTTCCTAGTGTTACGGCTCTCGGGAGAACCATTGGCCGAGTGAGTCACGCCACAGGACCCCACGTGATCCTTAGAATGGAACTGTAAGAACTGTTAGACTTAGGGAGGAACTATAGGAACTGTTAGAACTCGTACAGTTCCTATAGTTCCTCACAGTCCCTTTTGGCACGACGCCACTATATAAGTAGATAGTATTCCCTTAGATAGGAGCTTCGTGCTCAACTTAATATAGTATTTTTTACAATACTGTAACATGTTACTTAGAAAGCCTTTGTGTTTAATCCCCTGCCTCCTCTGTCAAGCCAACCTTACGTAAGAAATCTCTGTGTCTTCTATCGTTTAGAAGTCAGCCGTTACATCATACTGCTTATCCTACGTCGCCTCCTCCACCTAGTGTAGTGCAGTGCAATAGATTTGCTTGCATTTATCCTTCAACAAATATATATATCACGTGATTATGACGTAGGCAGCCAATGAGGCTGAGTTCAGAAAGCTGATAGGTCAATCGTGGCTTCACTGTCTTGGGTAACATACACGTTTCAACATCCATATATTCCGTCTGAACACTTTTACCAGAATTATTGAAGTCATACTCAAGTTGTAGGCACGCTTTGATACTCATTGCACGAAAACAGATAAGCAGTCGAAATCCCGAGCTTCATCATCTCACGGCTGATGCACCGCCTCAATAAATTTACACAACACACGCCACCCGCGACTCTACACGATGTCTGGAATCCCAGTATACACGCAGAGCCCTATTACCGCAGCGAAGGCAAATGCACCTACACCCCAGACCGCTGGCCCAAAAACCTCTACCAGAGCTTCAGCACCATCTAACAACCCCGCCACAACCACAGCCGTCCCCACTACAACATCGCCATACGCCCCCCAACCCGGGCAACCTGCCGTCCCAGCTCCCACAGGCTCTTTAGGTCCCCCAACTGGAGCAGCAAATAATTACACGCCCTCGCCCACTACTCCTTCTAAGACAGTCGACCAAGGCCCACCCCCGCCGCAGCCAGGAGCTGTACCAACGCCTCCGGGACGAGCGAAGAGCCCGCTTCCGCCGCCACCAAAGGTGGGAGAGAAGTATACACCGCCCGAGCCGGCACCCCAAACTACGAGCCCGCCCTACCCTTCTCAGATGGGATTTGCGCCGCCGTCGAATCAGTATCAGCCTACGGCGACAGCATCATCGCGGCCGACAGGAAACTACCCCACCATGTTGCCGGTGCAGGGTCAGGGGGTTGGGGGGGGGCAAGCGGAGAGAAGGAGCTTTGAGCATCCGCCTGGTAAGTACTCGTGAATTCTTGGGTTTGGAGGAATAAATTCTGACACTTTTGTAGGATACCAACAGAATCCATATGGAGGAGGCATGTCAGGAGACCAGTATGATGGTGCGCCGCAGCCAAGTCACGGCGGACAGAGCGGGCAGAGTGGGCAGTGGCATCGTGCAGGGGATATGGATGATAATGCCGGGGGGGAGAGTATCTGGGAGACGGCGAAGAAGTGGGCTACAACCGCAGGGGGGAAGCTGGTAGAGACGGAGGTAGAGATTTGGAAGAGAGTTAATGGAGAGAAGTGAGGGGTAGTATGACTGACTCAGAGTGGTCGGTAAGGGCGGGGATGAATGGGATGGGATGGGATGGGATGGGATTCTGGAGTCATGGCGGAAGGGGGAAAGTCTGTTGTAGCACGTGGGATTTATCCAGAAGTCCAGGAAAGGCATGTGCGATGGGAGGGAGCCTAGGGATGCGAGGAAGAATGTTTCCTCGGACCGCGGGCGCTCATTCATGCGCACATCGACTCCAAAAGCGGTCCTGAGGGACACGAATCAGGCATGCGCCAAAGAAACGCAGAGAACCGCCGGGAGGCGACGGTGTTGTTACCGGGCAACACGAGGGGAACGATTGCGTAGGCGTCGTTCTCACCCCTGCTACTAGCTTGTGCAAAGTTATCTGTACTGTACCTTACGTACCTGCGTTTACTTGCCCTGTCCTTGAACAGCATCGATGTTATAAATGGATCGTCATATTTAACATGCTCTCGCGATCATGCGTCCCTATACCCGCGGGCGGTTTGCGATTTGTACTTTCATGCGTTTCTCAGCCGCCAGGCCGCTTTGGGGATGGAAAACATTGGGAGCCAATGGGCGATTGCGTTTTGGGCTGACGATATTGTTGGTTCTGGGAGAGGGCCTGGATCCTTGGGGAAGGCGGGATGGAAGAAGTGTGTTGCGATTAGGTTCCTGTTCCTGAGGGTGCCTGGGGTTTGCCTGGGTGTGTACCTGAAGAGTCAGACGGTATTGTGCTCGAGTGTGTGTATGTGGCTTTCCAGCTGGCAGGAATAATGTGTATCCAGGGCATACCAACCGGCAGGAACAATGTGCGTCCATCTGCTCACCTGACACGTTCTGTGTTGTCGCAAGGGAGGCCAGCAGCCTTGTAATCAGGTGAACGATGATCGGCTCGGGAAGAGTCTATCCAGCAACTGGCATTATGTCAGTCTGGAGTTTTATAATAGTATCATAGCCGGCATAGGCCTGTCATCCGGGGGCTCCGGCGTTTTGACTCCAGGGAGATCTTACATCCGAACCCCATACGTAGGGCGCAGCGAGAGCAAGGACCAAGCAGGGCGCGGACGCCTACAAGAATTTTGGTGGGTTATATGGAACGAAGTTATCGTTTCTAATAGCGAGGCTCTGCCGAAAGGTTTGATCTAAGGCGATGGCGCACCGCTGATGGTGCGCGGTTTCAGATAGTTCGATTCTGAAACATCAGACTAGTGACTGGGTGTGCGAGCACGATGTGTGTTCTTTCTGTTCTGCACCTTTTACAATTGGGGCCAGATCCTCCTGGACGGACCATCCACAGCACGGCAGATGCCTGTTCATCATTGTCCTGTGCGCTCTTGTCGATTCCTGGGCGGAAGGCGGCATCGTTCATCTCGATTCCCAGTGATCGCCCAACCAAGCTATATGCATGGAATGGAAGCATTTAAAGATCGTAGAAATCAAGCGGAGCCCCGCAGACAATATTGCGATGTTCTCTGCTCGGATCACCACCTGGAGTTGTCGTGGGAGTGGCTGACGCGCCACGGGGTAGAATCGTGGTGCCTTCAGTTGAACTTCAAACGACAGGAGGAGCCACACGGCTACGATGCCGCATTTGGGGGAATGATGGTCTGAATCACCTCTAGTTACCATGGCGAACAATTGGACCTTGTTACAGTCGTATGACAAGCGGTACTGGAGGCCCAGGACGAAATACCAGGAACGAGCCGTCTCATTGATGTCGACGACGCTCAATCATCGTCGAAAGGTGGCGAAGGCGCGCCCATTTGATATGATAAGATGCATATTAATACTATACCCAAGACCAATGAATACTCAGCCTGTCGACTTACGTGTTGTTGGTGTCGATGACGGTTGATGTTGTCCTTGTCGCCTAGACGAGTTAGAAGTTCCAAGATACTCCACAACTGGCCCTGGTGGATTTTGCTGGTGGGTTCCTGGCGAGGCTTTGAATTTGGATGTGGGCCGCCTCGAGTTGGGTTGTCCCACCCCCCCTCCTTCCGCCGCCTGGAGTCTTAATTGCAGGTATCACAAGTATTATACAGGGACGCTGGTGACTTGGCATCAAACCTGCTACTCCACCACGCACTCACGACTTACCCCATCAAACGCGTACAGTACAGTATGTAGGATGTGTATTTCTGGAACCACTCCGGCTCCACGGGCTCAAATCGACAGGAACGGCCTCTTTCGGCAACCCTTCGTATCAATGCGTGGTTCTCTACCACACAGTCCACCACCGCCCACCACTGCAATCTGCTCCTTACATGCTAAAGCTGGGCCGACGTTTTATCACTTTCGCTCTTCGCCACGCTGGTTACTTCAGTATACCCCGGCTGTTACTAACCCCACTCACCTCTCCCATACCCCTCTCTTCAAACCTATCTTCCTCGAACGAGGCTTGGGCAGGTTTAGAGTTCCAAAAGCACTCTAGAGTGAAGTATCTTTCTAGGCCACTCTACCTCATGTCAGGAGATCCAGGAATGGGTAACCTTGACGTTCCCGATCCTAGCCAGGGATTTGATGACCCGAAGAGGTGGTATTTTAACTTAACATCTTTCTCTTATTATCGGGGATATGGCCAGCAGCCCTTTACCACTTTTACCATTGCTCGCCGCGTCGTTCGTTCCACACAAAATTTTCTTGCTCATCCTCCAATTGCACAGTCGCTCCTTTTCGGGTCTCCTAATTTCTTTCTCATAATTGACGTACTGGTCTATCTACACTCTTTACTCAACTTTATCTAAATCACCGCTGGGAGCTGGCTCCGACTTTACGTGCCGCCTGCGCAGACCCACAACCGAGCTGTTTCTATACTATATCGTATAGCCGTCCTCAAACGCTCCCTACTGATCCACCGACTCATATATACCAAATACCGGCTCATATCGGTACCTTTCTTTACAAAGCATACTTGTCAAGATTGCTTTCTAACAATATCGCCAACGAGACACTGCAAGATTAATACCGAGTACTGACTCGTCATTTAATCCAATCCATCCAAGAACGGCACCAGGATATCTGATACCTCTTCTATCACAAGAGGCGCTCAAAAAACGCACCCTATATCACCGACGCAGCGTCTGAAGGACTGCCACTTTATACCATTCCACATCGCTGGCGCTTTCCACAATGGACTCCGAGCAGGCGAGTGTATATGTGGTCCCCGGCCCATATAAAGACGCCGATTCTCGTCCACTACATAGTCGCCAGCAATACCATACACCAAACTTCACCTTCAATTCGAACAATAAGTTTCGGAGAGACCAAACCCCGCGCTCCTATCCCACTACCACCGCCGTCAGCTCGAGTGAGGCAGCAAAGCAAGTGGAATCCGAGGTTACAGCCTTGTGGTCGACGCGACAAGTGCCAAATATATCACGGCCGCGCCCTGCCCAGATGGCGGAAACCAACCTGAACGGCGGCTTCAGCTATTGCATTCCAAAGCAGCCTACGGCGCTACCTGCTTGGGATTCGGCGACCATGACACTATCTTCTAGCCATGAAGTGATGCCGCAGACATATGCCATCGTCCAGGACTTCTGCCAGCCATCTGAAAGTGCCGATAGCAGGCCTTCTGCGATGTACATGAACCAGAGGTACGCGCAACTTTCTGAGGATTGGGGTAATAAGGCATGTGGAGATGTACTCCAATTACAGCACTTCGACTCTGAAGCAAATATCGGCCAAGCTTATACCACAGATGAATGCGTTCCCATTCTGGATCTGAGATACAACACTGGGATGGACAATGATCATCCGAGCCTCGACAATCCATACAATTCACGGCGCATGTCAGGCTCATCATTCACTATGTCAACAAGTGGTGGTTTATCAGACATGACTTCATATGATGATTTCTCAGCGACCCTCTCAGAGGCTCCATCCTTCATTTCGGACTACCTGCCGCCATCTAATAGAAATTCTCTTATGTCTTCTACTCAGTTATCACCAGTCGCTTCTCCACGAATGACACCTCAAAATAGGTCTGAACTCGTCCGGACACAAAGCCGTGGGCGAGCGTCCCCTTCTCCGAGGCCAAGCATGCGATCCGCGCCGTATTCAATAGACAACCGCAGCAAACGATGGTCTACAGGCTCGTATGCTTCGGGCCCAAGAAGACCGTCGCCTTTCGTCTATCACTCCACTCCAGAAGGATTTGTGCAGCCGCAAAGAATGTCCTCTCGGCATTCCTCGCCAACGTTACCGAATACTTCTCTTCCTTTAAACATGGCCAATCTTCAAAGTCAGCAAAATCCGTATCTCATGCCACACAGCAACCCAGCATACCATCGCAATAGCATGAATCTTCCGTCGAACGCTTACCACGAACCTCGCCACTTCGAGACACCGTCTCCTCTATTTTCGCATGGGCTATTCAGAATGTTACAAAGCAACGCGAACCCTCATTCAATGCACTCGCACTACGCCGATCTGAGCGACCCCCCAGATCTCTATGCCTCCCTCAATGATGAGCAGATACCACCCCCTCCTGAGGACATGAACCCGAGCGACCCAGATCTAGTACCACACGAACAAGAGCTTCGGTTTGATGGCGACCTCTACACGCCTCGTTGGGTCCGCGGTCACGGCAACAAACGAGAAGGCTGGTGCGGCATATGCAAACCTGGTCGCTGGTTGGTTCTTAAAAATAGCGCATTCTGGTATGACAAGAGCTTTACGCACGGAATTAGTGCGGCTACTGGGAACCCATTCCAGGAGCCACAGGAGACAAGGCGTATGGATGGAAACCCAGATGTTTGGGAGGGCTTGTGTGGAAGCTGTAATGGATGGGTTGCGTTGGTCAGTAGCAAGAAGAAAGGCACGACCTGGTTTAGGCATGCTTATAAGGTATGTGATTCAAAGCAGCACACTGTTGCGGTATATTGTCACATGGAAACTAACATAAAATAGTGTCACACGCACCCAAAGATTAAAGACGCACCGAAGCGAAGGAGGGAAAGCAATAGCACTAGAGCGCTTGCTGCATCGACGATGGCGAAGCCTCAAACCGAGCTGCCCCAGATAGAGGCGCCACTTGCGCCGCAGATGACACCCCGTCCCGTCACTTCTGACAATACAATGCCAGCGCCGACAAGAAGAATAGCGACCCCGCTACCGAATATGGCAAATATGATATAGTGGCTCTCTGATCCGATTTAACCTATCATTCTTTTATATGTTAATAGTTTGCTATATACGTTTGTTTGCCCTAATACATATTGGGACTTTTTCGAGCCCCAACAAGAGACTGGTTAGACGGTTGGCCGGGTTAGGGCATTTTCGAGAGACTGGAAGCGAATACGTGGTCATATCTCTCTACTCCTGGGATGGTTGGGATAGGAGGGTCTGTCATGACTACGAGACATGATTTTATGAAAAAACATGGGATGGGATTCGTTGATGCGGGCTTCATAGTCACAACACCGCCACAAACATAATTTTTTAAAGTCAAGCATAATTGCTACTGATGGAAACGCTAGAGACCCGATTTGCTGTCTGTTGGCTGCAACGGGGATTAGTTTGGACGCGCAAGTACATAGCACATAGTAGAAATAAAGCCACCTCAGAACGACTCCTGTGCCTCGGTGTTTTCCAAGAGCTGCTCCGATCATCGGGCTATGGGTGAAACTTGCAAAACGCACGCAGAATATAAACTCATCGCGAGTCTTACTAATCTCTAAGAGTTGAGAGGTACAGTGTGCAACCTGCAACACCCCTGAAACGAGCTGAGCTCTCGGTTTTGAAGTCGAGCAAGTATATACTCACCTTGTAACTTTGCCACGCGTTGACATCGGCCGAGGTCAGCCGCGCGATCGGGAAGTTGGGTAGCCGGCTTGGTAGAGGGCCTCAGGGATTTGTAAATATTAGGTGAGAGAGTCAGACATGGAGATGTTTAACAGGGGTTTTGAAAGGGGGTTAATCTACAACACGTGATCACTGACAATATTATTGCCTGATGCGCAAGGCGGCGACAACGAACATTTATTGATGGTAAGCTGCCAACGAAGCTCCCAGGGTAGAGGAACTGTTCTTTGCAGCGCAAGTATTGGGAATAGGAGGGCCGTAAACATGGCGCCAGATCGGATTGATCAGAATGTCTACGAAGGTAAGCTTTCATCTCCTACCAGTGACTTTGAGAGTCAACGTGCTCCTGCCCGAAGTTGACCATGGGCACAAGCTAACGTGTCGTTCAGATCAGCTTAAAGATATCATCCAAGACCTCTATGAGTTGATGGTACAGACAACCTCATATGGAAACGTAGGACAGGGAGTCAGCTCCAAGGACGTGCTTCAGAATACAGTGTTCGTCACCAGTCTCTTCACCCAGAATCACCCCTTCCACCCAACACAGGGCCAGCTAACACTCTCCAGCGCCCATCTCCACGCATCCCTGACCCAGCTCCATGCCTCCGCTTCGTCACCATCCGCAGCACCTATCCGCGTCCCACCCGAACTGATCCAATACGTCGACGCGGGTCGCAACCCCGACATCTATACTCGAGAGTTCGTGGAGCTAGCACGGCGGGGAAACCAGTTGATGAAAGGGAAGAAGCAGGCATTTGGCAGTTTCAGAGACATCCTGGCGAGGGAAATGGCAAGTGCACTGCCTGAAGTGAAGGGCGATGTGGAGAACGTTGTGAGGGAAACGGGGGGAGAGGTGGGGAAGCTTTATGAACCTGCAGCTGGAGAGGCTGGTGAGGCGTGAGCGATTTCCAGAGTTTGCGGGAATAAGTTGTTATCAGCGGACGCATTGAATGGTTGGGCATTACTGCTGGGTTGCATTGGGAATGGGAGGGAAGGCGTTATGGACTAGCGAGGCACATGGGCAGTATTGGGAGATCCCAATTTCTACAGCTTATAGAAGATTAATAGCTTTGAAAATTCACTGACGAAGCTGCGGATCATTCTTCGCAGTACGAAATAGTGTTTTCCATTCTTGGCAGTTATCAGAACTGCCCCTCGTATGGCGAACCACGTACATGTCATAAGCGCGGTAGCTAACTCACGCGATCACTTAAGCGCGGTGGGGTGAAGTTGTCTTGGCGATAAATCGCACTTTACTCCACAATAGAAACGCAAATACAAAGAATACTTTGTCCCACATATCTACGGCGACTTTAGGCAGTAAACTTGTCTTATATCATTTCAGGCCAATATCTGGCGCTCCGTATATCGAATACCTGTTTACTTCAACAAAGCGGAACTATGTCTCTGTAGCCGGATATCCCACAAACAATGCTGGATACTGAAGATCGACAGCTGCATTTCACATAGCAGCCACAACCCCGTCTATACCTAGACATACAACTTTTATTCAGCTGACCTACGGAAGCCTGCTGCCATATGGATACACAGGTATACCCTCCTCCTCGTTTTGGGGTCTTGTTGCGTTATTTTATTATCTTTGGATCCCAATTACCCGACCCCCACTATGAACTACCTTCATGACCTTTTAACGTTCGCTAACATGCTCTCACAACAAGGTCGAAAACGCGATTCAAATCGCCTGGGACCCGACATCAAGCCAAGCACTCAAGGGCCAGGCTTTCGAATTTCTCAATCAGCTCCGTGGGGATGTCTCCGGCTGGCAAATATGCCTCACACTTTTTACCCGCACACCACAGGCATCAGAGGTTGTGCGCCTCGTTTCTATTGAGATAGTTAATAATGCTGTTGCACACCAACATCTGGATCAGGCGTCTTTGACCTTTCTGAAGGGTAGCTTGCTCGAATATTCTCGCCGTGTATATGGTGGATCAGGCGGCCAGGAACAGGCCGACTCTGCGAGTTTACAAAACAAGCTGACGCAAACCTTAACATCTGTGTTTGCCTTCTCATACCAACGGGGATGGGAAAGTTTCTTTTCCGACTTCCTGTCCATGACATGTCTTCCGAATAGCACCTCGTGCGACAACCTAGTTGGCACTGCGTTATACCTCCGCATCCTTGGTTCTGTCCACGATGAAATCGCCGATGTATTCTTTTCCCGGGCCGGCAAAGACCAAAAACGTAACAACGACTTGAAGGACCTACTCAGAGAGCGTGACATTCCAAAGATAGCTACGTCGTGGCAGGAGATTCTCACATATTGGCAGGGCAAGGACGATACATTGGTTGAGATGTGCCTCAAGGTTATTGGGCGTTGGGTTAACTGGATCGATATCTCTCTAGTTGTCAACCAAAACTTCCTTACCATCCTCCTCCAGTTCATTGGAAGAGTTACCCCGAACAATGGCGAGGACAAGGTTAGAGATTCTGCTATAGGGTGTTTGACGGAAACCGTGGGCAAGAAAATGAAGCCGGGAGACAAGATGGATATGATTGAATTCCTAAACTTGGGCGACATTGTTTCTCAACTTGTTGCCAGCCCAGCATTGGCAAACCGCTTTGGATCTGACTACGATGTCGACTTTGCAGAGGCTGTAGCCAAGCTTGTTAATGGTGCCGTATTCGATATTGTCAAGGCCTTGGAAGAAAGCGCAGACGGCTCTCCAACACGTGTTAAGGCTGATCAACAACTTGTGATTTTCCTCCCTCACCTTCTACGATTCTTTTCAGATGAGTACGACGAGCCATGCTCAACTGTTATCCCATCTCTCACAGACCTCCTCACCCTTTTCCGCCGCGCACAGCCTCTACCTGCGCAGTACTCCTCTATGCTCTCGCCCATTCTTAGCGCTATCATTACAAAGATGAGATACGACGATACGGCGTCTTGGGATGATCAAGTTACAGAGACAGATGGGGCAGAATTTATGGAACTGAGGAAGAGACTTGAAGTTCTCCAGAAAATTGTCGCTGCAGTTGATCAGACTTTGTATATTGACGTCCTGAGCAATGTTGTCGGAAATACTTTCCAGTCGATCGAGCAGCGTGGATCTGGGGTCAACTGGAGGGACATCGACCTCGCTTTGCACGAGATGTACCTCTTTGGTGAGCTTGCTGTTCCAAACAGCGGCTTATATGCGAAGAGCCAGCCTTCAAGTATCGCATCAGAACGCTTGATTGCGATGATGCAAAAGATGATCGAATCTGGTAAGAGTTCAAATTATCAAATCCGTTAAGCTACCGCTAACATTGTCCAGGTATCGCATCTTATAACCACCCAGCTATTCAGCTACAATACATGGAGATTTGTGTACGATACTGCTCTTTCTTTGAGAATCAGTCAGCATTCATCCCTCAAGTTCTGGAGCACTTTGTAGCGCTGGTTCACCACAATCACGTCCGCGTCAGAACGCGTTCATGGTACCTCTTCGGTCGATTTGTAAAGCACCTAAGAGCTATACTCGGAAATGTCGCTGAGACAGTCATTACCTCGATCAGTGATCTTCTTGTCATCAAGGCAGAAGTCCCCAAACCTGATGACGAGGATGATATGTCCTCTGATGAGAGCGACCACTCAGCGGGCGCCGTCTTCACCAGCCAGCTATATCTATTCGAAGCAGTTGGAACTATTGCGTCCACGTCAACAACCCCAGTCGACAAGAAGGTTCTATATGCCAGAATGGTACTGGAGCCCCTCTTCGCGAACATGGAGCAAGCGCTCCCTGCGGCCAGAAATGGAAATGCTCAGGCTAACTTGCAAATCCACCATATCATCATGGCGCTCGGGACACTCGCCCATGGATTTTCGGACTGGACACCAGGAATAAGCAGCGCTGGAAGCAAGGCCCCGGCAGATGAAATTTCACAGGAGTTTGATCGCGCTGCTGAAGCCATTCTCGTTGCTTTAGAATCCTTGAAGTCTCCACCTGAAATCCGAACGGCTGCTAGGTCTGCTTTCACACGCCTCGTCGGAGCGGTTGGCGCCAGACTTCTACCACAACTTCCTCGTTGGATCAGCGGCCTGCTTTCAACGGAATCTTCTAAAGACGAAATGGCTATGTTCTTGAGAGTCCTTGACCAAGTAGTCTTTGGCTTCAAAACGGAAATAATTGGGGTGCTTGATTCGCTCCTATCGCCATTGCTCATGAGAATTTTTAACAGCTTGGGAGAGGCAGTTTCGGGAACTGATGACGAGATCCAGCTTGGGGAGCTCCGACGCGAGTACCTGACTTTCCTCCAGGTCATTCTCAATAATGATCTGGCGTCTGTGCTTGTTAGCGAGACCAATCAAGGTTTGTTCGATGTTCTCTTAATCTCTGTCGAGACACTGGCAAAGAATGTGAACAATGGGACAGGCCACCTTGCCGCGAGCCGCATGGCATTTTCAATTCTTGCCAAGATGGCGCAGCTGTGGGGAGGACCGGACGTGGCTACTCCATCCCATTACCCGGAGACAGCTACACCAGCTCCTACTCCAGCCTTCCCGGGCTTCGATCAATTTCTCATCAACCGCTTCAACCCTGTCTGCTGGGAAGTTCTCCGTAATCCCGATTTCCGACCATACCAGGACGCACAAGCTAAATCGGTACTTACTGAGATTGCCGGTTTACAGCAAATCATCTATAGCAAAACAGGAATGCTCTTCATTGAGCATCTGCAGCAATCTTTTTTCCCATCCATGGGCTTTGACGGATCCGACATCATCCGTTCGATGACGACCTCCAATGACCGAAAAGTCTTTGCAAACTTTCTCGTTGCATACTTGAAGCAGCGCGCATAGGAACTCAGTTGGTAAATATAAAGAAATGAGACCCGTAAGCGCAGTGGGCATTCAGCATAGGCGTATCTCTGGTTTGTTAGGTTGCATTTTGCATCTTTGTTTTGCACTTTGCATTTGGGTGGGAGTTGGTCCTGGGCTTTATACCATGTCAATGAGGCATGTTTACATGATGCGAATGGGGGTTGGGAAGGGTTAGGTAGGCGGACAGGACCGGACGAATATGGATGGAAGTCAGCGGCGGATATAGATAGATAGACATACATATATCAGAAATGGTTTCTATATTCAATTGCCGACATTTCACAAATGTACGAGACCCTTAATATTTGTGGCTGGTTGGGGGTGATGTTCATAAGGGTTACGAGAACGAGATCCCTCGGCATCCACAGTAAGCGCCATCACACCCAGCAACCAACCAACATCCTTTGTGCTGCTCAGCCTCGCGCATTAGCTCTCCCGCCACCAACGGTCGAGAGCTGCGATTGATCCCAGAGTGGGGGAAGACATGGGGTAGCTTCAGATGGTAGAATCTGCGCAATTGCTCCATGCTCTGTTTCCTCACCCCGTACAATACGATGTTGTCGCCTTTCTCTACGCAGTGGTGACGAGCGATATCGTTAACTGTTGTTACTGCTTTATCGGCAAGGCTGTCTATTTGGCCAACACACGGCAAGGCAAGATGGACGATTATATGTTCAGAGAGTATGTCAGCCAGTCGAAACCTGTGGCCGAAGAGACGAGCTACCTGGAGATATTTTCCTACTCGGTGAGCTTAACCAATTCCCAGTCGCTTCTGCCAACAGAAACTAACATGCAACCCGCCAGGACCCGACTCTTAACACTGTCAAAGAAGAACCTCTGCCCGCCAACGAACTTGAAAACTTCCTCCACCAGCAAGGTGTCTTCCAGCCTCCAATCCTGCCAGTAGGTGTTACTCGGGTTGCCGGCCTGCGCATGATCCTGCAGCAGAATGCTAGCCACCCCGAAACATTCTCACCACAGTACATCAGTCTGAAGCAGCGAGCCTATGTATCCATGGTCGAGACGATGCGACTTCCCTACCGCGGAATTGAGAGCACATCCGCCGTTGGCCCGTTTTTCTGGGCCGCCTTCGACCAGGATGAGGAGAGGCCGCACTTGCAGATCCTATTCCGCAAGAGCGATGTTAGGAAGAAGGGGCTCACGAGAGGATGGGAGTTGATGCTGTCCCATGATATGCGGGGAGGCATGACGATGGGATACTGTAAGGGGACATCGAGCAGTGATATAGTTGCGTGCGTGCGCCATCTCAAGGCGTGCGCGCTGCAAATTGGTCACCCAATGTTGCTCCCCACGATCATCTTTAGCCACGACATGAGTTCAAAAACGGATATGAAGCAACGCGAGGCGCGAGATTGGCTGAGAAAGCTCGAGCACGCCGTTAGTATGCGCCAAGAGATTGATGACAAGGAGAGTTATGTCGACCAAGACGGCCTGGTGGATTTCGACCTCATCAATCGACACCTTGTCGAGTGCCACAGTCAAGTACTGTGGAAGCGGCCAAAGGCGTACATGCAGATCCTCGAAAGTTTTGATGAAGCGATGGAGCTATTCAAGTCATCTGCAGAAAGCGGCGAGCGATGGCAGGGCGAGTTGAAGAAGCTGGATGCCAGTATGCTCTCACGGCACGAGTTCTACCGCAAGAAGCTGCAGGGGATCGATAGCTATGCCTACACCACGCTGCAGCGACTTGCCATCCAACGCAGCGCCTTGTACAACATCATCGCGCAGCGAGAGAGCAAGCTGAACTTCCAGATGGCAGGCGAGCAGCGCAAGCTCGCGCACGCATCGAAGCGTGACTCAGGCGCACAGAAGACGATTGCGCTTCTCGGAGCCCTGTTCCTGCCTGGCGCATTCCTGGCGTCTATGTTCTCCATGTCGTTTTTCAACTTCCAGAATGGCGTGGTAGACGTCAAACCAGAGGCACCTATCGTGTCGGAATCGTTTTGGATATATTGGGTGGTGACCGTCCCATTGACACTACTTATTGTTGGTTTGTGGCACTACTGGGAGAGGCGGAAGGAGATGCGGTATCAAGAAGAGGATCTCTTGCTTGAGAAGGGCGTTGAGTCGATGGAAATCCAGATTCAGGCGCAGATGAGAAGAAGGACTATGAGCAAGGTTGGTACATGGGACACCAAGGCATCTTAGAGGTGGTGGCAGGTGGCGCCGCCCGATGCATTATGATGATGAGATTTATGATATACGGCCTAGTTGCATTGAGCGATTGGATAGCAAAATTTACTATTCTCCTTGTTTCACGAGAGAAAGTTCAGATATACGACACTTCATGTAGCAAGCAACGATTTATGAGAAATGAAGATTTATGATCAAAGAAGTTTCGTAATGACTATGCCTTGTTGACTCTGGAACCCTGTGGAGAACAGAATTACATTGGTGGCATATAAGATTATCTACTCTACTCAAGGCGGTTTCATGTCGAATGGGCATGCAACAACACAGGAGAAATATCACTAATCTGGCAGATGCCCGAAGATGCCAACAGGTTAGACGTCAAGCAACACGGCGGGAATCAATGGTCTTGGAAAGTATCTTAGTTTGTTAATAAGTCGCAGCACCCCGCACTGTTATCCTAGCCTTTATACAAGATATAACCCGCAAACGCCACTCGGTATCGTATACCATTCCAATTTCCATCCGAGTCCCATTGTATTTCGTTACATAGCCTTTCAATCGTCCCGGCCCTCTTTGTTGTCCTTACTATTCCCACCCGAAACCGATGACACAAAATCCTGGTACTTAAACACCTCGCCTCTCTTGCCCGCCACCATCGTCTTCCCAAACGCTCTCCTTCCGCTGAACCCACTCATGACCCTATCTACCTCCCTTGCCGTCAACATCTCCTCGCCTGCTTCCGGCGCCGTATGTAGCAGCGCATCCTTTATCTCTGCTAGATCGACCTGGCCGCTATCATCATCGTCAAATGCCGCAAATGCGTTCAGCAACTCGTCCGACGGGCTGAGGTTTGCCAACATGGTTGAGATCTGGGTTAAGAAAGTCGCCATCATCATCGTCTGCGACTGGCTTGGAGGGAAGAAACTCGACAGGTCGGACGCAGACGCCGGGAGCCCAAGCTGTGTCAGCATATCAGCAACGTCTTCGCGGTTGACGATTCCGTCGCTATCGCGGTCTAGGATCTGGAATCCTTCGCGGAGCTCGCGAACCTGGCCAGGTTGCAGTTTTGAGAGGGCGTTGGCATCAGGCATGTTGCGGGAGGTATGAGCAGAGCGGCTGATCTGAGGGCTTGATTCGGTCTTGAGCGGGCTAGAGCGGATCTGTGATTCGAATCGGTCCGTGAGCATAGCCCCGGATCGGGGGTTGGACTCTGCACCGCGCGTGGGCGAGCGTTCTGGCTCACGGCGCGGGGTGGTCACAGGTGCGAGGCCGCGGGGCGTCCAGGTATCTGTGCTTGGTGTGGATATACTGGAGTGTAGCTTGGAGGGGGTGTTTATTTGCTTCGAGGGCGACGACGCCGGGCCATTCAAAGGTGCGTTGGTTGAGTTCCGTAACGGCGATGGTGAGGCCGGAGATTCTGGGCGGCGGAAGGGAGATGTGCGAGGAGAGTTGAAGTAGAGTGGAGATGGTTTGTAGGAGGCCTGGGCAGCCTGATGTGGGGATTAGTACTTGGATTTGAGTTCGGTGCTTTGGGTAGGAGCGATCCTGGTTGCAAACTGGGGGAGGGCAGTTGCGGTTGCTCACCATCTTGGTAGTCGCTTCTCAATAACAAATCGATATGTAAAGTTCGGTTCACTGGTTATAATATAAGCCTGTCGTCGGAGGCGTAAAAGGGCGTAGTTGATAAGATGTATGAATCGTCGCAATGGCGCGTCTCGTCGTCGTCGCCGTGTTGTCCCTCAGACAAGCGCATTCCTATTCCAATTGGCTAGACCGAGTCGAGGTAAACAGAGCTAAAGCACGTGTAAACTTCAGCCTTATACCCCCCTGCTGCTCATTGGTGGGGAGTTGGCGCGAGGCTCCAGGCACGGACACAATGACTCCATTTCAGGGGCCAAATACGCACTGCATGATTTGGAAAACTGATTGCGAAGGAACTCAAGACAGTTAATAAGACTTATTCAACATTCAGGATTGATTAAATATTGTATACATTTGTTTACAACAGTCGCACTGTCCAGGTGGGACTCGTCGATTGCATTCGTTTATCGTCACCGCGCATCAACTTCCCTGCCAATGCGCCTCACACATCTTTAATACAAATTGGCTGGAAGCGAATATAGGTTCGCACTCAGGCCCCCATACTAGCTATGGCGACTACATCGACTAGCAGCGGTATTCTTTATCGCCCTTCTACAAATGGCACTACAAGCTCCCATGGCAGTGCCGCAAACAGACGAACTTCACTCTCATCGTTTCCCTCGTCTCGCGCCGCATCGCAAGTCTCCGAACATTCGCACATATCCAAGTCCCCTGCGCATGACGATAGTCAGCAATCCCAATGGAACTCTACCCAAAGAGCAAAGACACCATCGAGCGACATTTCACCACATGCGTCACAGTCTCTAGTGAAGTTCAACCCCAATGCGCATTCCCAGAGGAAGTTGCGTTCACAATACCCACGCGGAGACACTGAGAACCATGTCGAGTACATCCTTGTCGCGTCATTTGATATCGATCGGGGACCTGTCATGGAACATCAATATCCAGTAGCCATAACTGGAGACGAACACATGCTGGCAGAACTTATGTTACCCGACCAGGCGCATGTGCGGAACCAAGATTGGACAATATTTTTCCTGCATAAAGATACGAGCCAGGAAGAGGAAGAGGCGGAACTTAAGGCCGAAAAGCGCCGGAGAAGGAAGAGGAGGAAGGATATTGCGGAAGGCTTAGTCGAGGCGGACGAAGAGGACGAAGTGGACCTGGAAAATCACCCCTCAGATGATGATAGCGACAGCTCAGAAGAGAGTGAAGACGAGGGAGGCGAAGGGCCTCCGCTTATTTACGTTTTAAACTTGGTGAATACCAAGCAAGATAAAACAGCCAAGAGAGGAGCTGTCGTGAAGGCTATGGCGATATGCACAAGGCATCCATTCTTACATATTTATAAGGTTGGTATCTGTCACGATTCATACTGTTCAGCTACTAACTGTTTAGCCCCTTTTATTATTAGCATTAGAGGAGTACTTTAAGGCTCCCCGCCCAACCACTCTGTCTGTTTTATACGACGCAGTAAATACCATGGATCTTTCGCTCATGCCAAGGTTGTCACTCCTTGAGAAATCTTTACTACAAACGAGCGAGAATAAAGATCTCTTCTTGGAGAAGTTCGAGCAGATGATTCAGATAAGGATGGCTGAAGACCGAGGAGAAACGATTAAAACTGCAGCAATTGGACATAGCAGCCCGGAGAAGAAGTCGGATCTCACCAGAAATGGTACGAGAGCGCATGTCCAGCAAGGGCATTCCGAATACTCTGTGCCTCGAGATACTCACGAATTCGAGACAAGGGTCATCTACAACGGGATTCCGATACCAATCAAAGTCCCGGTTGCGATCGCGCCAGAAACAGTTGGCGACTTCTCAATGATTAAACTCATACAGACCTTTGGGGATCTTCACGCTAAAAACCCACAGCCGTTCACTCTACACTCACACCTTACCACTGGTGGGGCATATACTCATCCTATCATCGTCCTTGTAAATGCTATTCTTACTCAGAAGCGGGTTATATTCTTAGGCCACAACAGACCTTCTGGTGAAGTTGCTGAAGCAGTTCTCGCTGCTTGTGCATTAGCATCAGGAGGTATCCTTCGCGGCTTCACACGCCATGCCTTCCCATATACAGATTTGAGCAAGATCGATGACCTCCTCAAAGTTCCAGGTTTCATTGCCGGTGTGACGAACCCGACGTTTGAGAACCACCCAGAATGGTGGGATGTCCTATGCGATCTTCCGACTGGACGGATGAAAATAAGCGCTCGGATTGAGCAAGCCCCTGTAACTGAAGGGTTGGTCTTTTTCCAACAACAGAACCCACAGTTTTCAACTCATACCATTGCGGCTACATCTACTACGCCAACGTCTGCTGATCCAACCGGTGATGCTGCGTTTATGGCTGATGTTCTCAAAAGCATAGCTGCTCGACACGGTGAAAATTCTGTACGATCAAAGTGGAGAGCTTGGGTTGAGAAGTTCGCTCGAATTTCAGCAGCCTTTGAGGAAACAGTGTATGGTGCTAGTGCTCTGTATATAGGCAGTGAAGAAATCTCCAAACACACTGATGGCACTGGTGGACACGGCTACGTCTGGAGCGATGAAGGGGCAAGGCAAAAATCACTTGCTGGAAATGCAAGCAGGATTGAAGGATGGCGTAATACTAGAAGCTATTATAGCTTTATCAAGGTAAGACTACCGTCACTCCCAATATTTACTCCCACTGATATTCTTAGGATCTTGCTCGATATTTCACCGTTCAGCCTCAGAAATATATAGATTTGCATCACCTTCATGACCGCCTGAAAGCTCAGAAGTTGACTCAAGCCGCCTCGGGAGAGATATACATTGCATTCTCAAAAGCAGCAGTTACGTATGACGAGATCTGCCAGCTTCTTACCGTCTGTCCTGCGAATCAAGCTGGTGTGTTTTATATAGCTTTAGGGTTATTCCATAAGGACATCGAGGTGCGGAAATCGGTTGTTTACCTTCTGGAACGGATCAGCGATCATGAAGCTGGGCGACATTGGTGGAAAGGCCTCAGTCGCTTCGAGAAGTTGGCATATATTAGGATTAAGAGGGGGATAGAGGCGGGTGAAGGGGCCGCTGGCAAGCAGGCCAAGCGTTCTCCATTCGAGGGTCTACGGGATAGTTGATTGGGTTATATTTGTTTTGGATGGCGTGTTTTTTAGCCTACAACTATCACATGATTTCGAAGATGGCTTCATCGCGAGGAAGGAGCCATGGACACTCCTCTAATATACAAATATGCAACCAAAAATAACGACAAAGATGAATCAAGGTCGCAAACTCAAGCATTTGGATGGGCATCGAGTCACTACAAAATCAGCAGCTGAAACATTAATCGTCGTGACCAACTTTTCGCTTCGCTCAAGGTTGGAGTAAGCAATGTAAAACGCGCCCGAAGCGACAGGAAGCAATGTGCGCTCCGTCTGTTCACCGCCACTCCATAATAAAACTTCTACAATAGCTACACATACTATTTTATATAGTAAATCTATGTAATTCATTTAATGGAAGGGACTCCTCTATCAAATGCCTATGAATGGCTAGCAGAGAACCCCTCTGAAACTGCAACTACTACAAGTCGGATTTTCAAGGTTCCTACATCAACTATACGCTCACGCATCCACCGCCAACTAGGCTAGCAGCTACCCTAAGGGGGTAAGAATAATGTGCTCTCTACTGCCTAGACAGAAGCTATTAGGAAATGGATTCTAGAGCAATATCACCTAGGGCTTGGAGCTACGAGAGCTATGATATTTACTGCTGTCTGTAAGCTCCGGAGCTGTAACGATGTACGGTTACGCTCGCGCTACATCCCACTGAGCCAAAAAGACTACAATATTCTGGCTCGCCCCGGAATACGTGTAACACGCTATATATACTGTAACGGTCGGTCATCACCACCCCGTTACAGGAGCCCGGAGCCACCACCCTCACAGAGCTGGCTTACAAAATATATATGGAATGAGCTTTAAGACTTCCACTTTATTACTACAAAGCCAATTACGCAGCTACGTACAAAAGCTCAAGATGGGTCTAGTATTACAAATTGGTTTCGAGACTACCTTGAGTTTATACTACGGTGTAATAATATAAAGCCGGAGTCAATCTGGAATATGGATGAAACCTAGAGGTGAGAGGGTTATTGTGCCACGAGTAGCAAATGAGCTCTATACTCCAAGCCCTGAAAACCGTACGTCTATTACTATCCTCGAGGCTGTGTCTGCAGTAGGAAAAGTCATTCCAGGCAAAATACATATGGATTCTTGGTACTACATCAATCAACCTTGAAGGCACAGAGCTAGTACTACTCTCCGACTCTGGATTTTCAAACAGCCAGCTTGCTCTTCGTGGCTAGAGCATTTTGCTAAGCATACACCCTTAGAGAATACAAGGGTTCTATTACTATGACATCAGCCATACAAGCCATGACTTCGTCATTACAGCAGAAGAACACAACATCATTATATACACCTTCCCCTCACACCTCGCACACGTTTACAGCCATTACATATCGGGGTATTCCAGCCTTATAAGCACTGGCATAGGGTAGCTGTGCTCGCAGCTATACGGGATATAGACGTTACCTACGACCTACAATCCTTCATGAGAGATCTCACACACATTCGGAAGCAGACTTTTAAGGGTCTACTATAATACCAGCTTTCTAGAAAGCTGGTATTTGGCCTATAAGCTGTAATACAGCCCTTACAAAACTACACACCTACTCCAGCCTACGCCTACAGTACGCCTACGCCTACTACCCTACCAATCTGGGTTTCTACCCCAAAACCCTCAAATTTTCGGGGGGTAGAAGAGGGGCTACAGCACTGGAAAAATCGGGTTCCGGAGGGCTTTAGTAGCCCCTCAAAAGAGAGCTATGGGAACTGGCTTACCGGAATAGAAGAGGCCATAGCCTCAGGCCAGCTTATAGAGCTTGACCTACAGACTGCCCGGCGGCAGGTTGAGGAGTCGAAGAAGCGGGCAAGCCGAAGCCGGGCCCGCCTTCAGTTTGGAGGTGAGCACCAAGCTGCTCACGCTCACAAGCTTCGGGCCCAGAAAGCCGAGCGTCAAGCCCAAAAGCTCGCAGCTAAAGAAGCCCGGGTAGCCCGCCAGGCCTTAAACCAGGCCCGGAATCGGCTTCTTAGGGCAGGAATTAAGGCCCGGAAGGAAGAGCGTGCCCGGAAGAAGATGATTACCCGGTTCCACAAAAAGGGATCCCAATTCCTCCGGAGCTCGAGGAGCCAATTCCTGACCCAGAAGCCCCCCAAATTGAGAGCGAGTATGAGAGCCTTGAGCGAAGCGAAAAGTTGGTCACGACGATTAACTTTCAAAAGCTAGCAGATCGGTACCATGATGAAATCATTTATTTCTCGCTCGTGAAATCTCGACCTCCTGTTTTTTGAGGAACCCAGGGATGTATAAGACTGTCAGCGCTTTCGCGCCAATCTCCAACCCGAAGAACTGTCCTTGGGGAAAGAAGGCTTTTGGGGGGTACTTGAGGAGTGAGGAGGAGTATGATTAGTGGGATGCAACGGAGCTGATTAAGAAATGGGGGGGGGCTTTGAGGCTCTGATTGATGTGGTGAGTGCTCATTCTTGGTGGCTCCTAAGAAGGTAACATATGGTGTTGATACTTGACAGGGCGATGCCAATAACTTTTACAACCATGGCCAGTTGCTGCCTGAGAACTTCATCGAGACTGCAAAGTCCAAGGTAAGAGCCAGTGTGGCAGCTCAATAAGCATAAGACCACAAGCTGACAGGAATAACAGGGCTATGATCACAACTACTTCTTCATGCACGTTCTTCGAAGACCACATCAACTACCATAAAAAGCCTATTGTAAAAGGTGTTCATTTGTATTCAGATTACTCATTCCCCGTCTCTCAAAGTAGTGAATAGGGCCAATGTGAATGACTAGAGCTTAGCACTAGGACCAGTATGAACCATGCAAATACAAAATATGTGTACGATCAAGCCTCCTGTGTTTTCATTGTGATGTACAGACCAGACTTCAGTCGTGTCCAGAACGCCATTTTTTTCTCCATCCAGAACCCATTATCATATGCATCGCTAAAAAATCAGAAAGTATTGAAGAAAGGACCCATCCGAGCCAAATCTTAAGTGAGAAGTTCTTCACAGGTCCAGTCCTCATACCTAAAAGAGATAGGTTAGCACTTATACAGAACAAATCGAGGCGTAAAATCTTACCACCCATCCGGCATGTACCTCCTGACAATCAGAGGGATCTTCTTTTCCCTCAGTTCCTTGATGGCGATCTGAAGTGGGTCCGTCTCGCCCTCCAAATCGACCAAAACCGGTGCGTTCATGCTGATTTGCAGCGCCCTTGTGCCCAAGATTCTCGCCCTCTCATACTTCGTCATGTACGGAGTGGTTGTCCTCTGATCATTCGCGATCTTCTTATCCTTCGGGGCCTTGTCCTTTCCTTTAGCGGCACCTGCTGATGGGTCGCCGGAGATCACAACGCCGTGCTCACCAGTCGCAAGAAGCTGGTCGGGGTTCTGTGCAGCTTGGAGGTCATCAATCTGGGCAACTTCGTCTTCGCCGTTGTATGGCTCTGGCTCTTCTGGGTCATATTCGGGCTCCTCATCCTCGTATGCTGGGGAGTTTCTGTGCCATTGTGTTAGTAATGAAGGGTCAATCGCGATCGCGCTGCCGGTGGCTGGCAGAACGCGACCTCATTAGTCCCCCATGTGCACTTACCCTCCTCCGCCGTAATCATCTCCAGCGTCAGACATATTGCAACAGTTTGAGCGCTTTTGATTTGAGAGGATGTAATTGTAGAGTTCGGAGAGCAGTCGTGGAGAGTGGCAGTTGTTGATGGGGCTCTTCCGCACTCAAAGAATTTACGCTCCTCAGCAAGATACCTTAGCTTGGCGCCAAAATTTAAGGTTTGCGACAAGAACTTGGCTCACCGCCTTCCTTCATTGTCCCAAAATATTCTGTCACCTCCACAACCACTCGGTGCCAACCGCAAAATTATGTCAACTTTGTCGGACAGAGTTTTGGTCATGACAACAACACTTTTGCTGTAGACCAAATTTATGGAGGGCAGCATAATGGAAGTCAGCGGTGCTAAACGAAAGGCCACCCGCACTCTACGTGGCACGTCAAAAAGAGCAAAGATCGAGTCGTCTGCTATTGGTAAGTTGCGAAGTGGTTAACCCCATTGCTATTCTGCCAGATGCTAATATGTAATAGATCCTGCATTTTTCAGTTCTGATAGCGACGGCGATGACAATTATTCGGACCATGGCGAATCCGATGACTCTCATGATGAGGATCCCGAGCCTACAGAGACTCCACAGACTCCGTTCTCCCCACGGCGACGAAAATTCCCATCAGAACTAAAGACCATAAAATGCACCTATGAAGGTTGCACAAAGACGTTCAACAGGCCCGTTCGCCTGGCATCTCATCTCCGATCACATACGAATGAACGTCCATTTGCATGCACATATCCAGACTGCGATAAAGCGTATATCGAAGAAAAACACTTGAAGCAGCATATCAAGGGATCTCACACGCACGAAAGGAACCACCACTGTGACTGGGAAGGCTGCACAAAAAGTTTTTTAACGGCTACACGACTTCGAAGACACCAGGCGGCTCACGGAGGACACGAACGCTTTCGCTGCACGGAATATCCGCCGTGCACCAAGACTTTCCGGAAGCATCAAACCTTACAACGTCATATTCGATCAGACCACCTAAAACTGACCCCATTCCCATGCACATTTATCGATCCAACCACGAATCTCCAATGCACGGCAGGATACGATTCAGCCGGAGCTCTAAGAAAACACGAAGACCGCCTCCACGGTGCTCTCCGATTCTGGTGCGACGTCTGCACCTCAGAAGGTGCATCGCAGCCAGCCGGCTTCCCCACAAACACCCAACTAGCCAACCACATCCGCAACGAGCACGCAAACTGTATTTTCTGCGACCTGCGATGCTCCTCTGAGCGCGAACTACAACGCCACATCGAGACCTTCCACGCCGCAATCTCCTCCTCTCCCGCACGGAAACAGATCCCATGCACCTACCCCGGCTGCGACAAATCGTTCACCAAGAAATACAACCTCGACGTCCACGTGCGCACCTCGCACGAAGGGCAGCGTTTCATCTGCGGGCAAACGGATTTCAGCAAGTCCGCTAAGCTTCGAGCGTGGGATGGCTCGGACGCCTGTGGGAAGGATTTCGTCTCCAAGGTCAACCTCGAAGACCACATTCGCACCCAGCATCTCGGTCTGCCAAGCACAGTCAACGCGCGCCGCGTCAAGAAAAATAGCATTGGTGCCAAGCCACGGAAAGCGAAAGCCGTCATGGACGACGCAGTCAATGCCCTAACCGGAACGAACTACGCGCAAGACCCCGTCCGCAACATCCCCTGCGACGTTGGGGGGTGCGACTGGATGTTCTCCCGGGATTACGATCTCATCCAGCACAAACGGGTGAAACACGGCGTAGTTCCCGTTTTCGAGACGAAGCCCGAGATGCTGCAGCCGCATTACGGGGGTATGATGGAGGCGCCGGTGCCGGTGTATAATGGGCCTCCGCATATTAGCGATGATAGGGGGCATTGTGAGCGCCTTAGCTGCCCGCATTGGGATCATGTGGTCTTATATGATGATCATTATGGCCTTGATGGATTTATGGGGGAGGAGGGAGAAGCTGATATGGGGCTTCAGGGGAGGTTGGAGTATCCAGAGCCGCCGGACTATATGAGTGGCAAGGCGTATGATCTAGAGATTTAGATGGGGGCGCGTAAAAGTTTATGTGGGGGGATTCGCAAGTGCTGCGTCTCTCATCATTTCTGAACTTTGATTTCAATCACTTCGAGCAACGTACTATTACAACCCGTGCTGCTCAGCCGAGCAAGTCCGCCCCTATATCAGTGGCCAAGGCATACTTTGTACACTACCTGATCCCATATATGCAACCCCCCTAAACTTCAAAGAAGACACCAAAACACCATCCCCTTCCCACCTCCTCCCGAACCCGCACAGCAAGCCAGCCGTGACGTATATGCAGCCCTAACCCAAACGACCCCGAGCAACTATCATCAGTGCTGTACAACCCCTCCTCTCGCCACCCAGCCCAGGTAGCTACAACTAGCAGCCACCACCGCCCTCAGAGCACAAGGCACAAGTGCATCTACTCCCTCACCCCCATCAAACTCAACAAGCCATCCGCCGCTCGCCCCTTAACTCCACTACTAGTTAACTCCTCATACCCCCCCGGCATAGCCCCCACCCCCACCTGCATGTGCCTCGGCAGCGGCGTCAGCATCTCCACCTTCTCCAGCGACAGCCCCTCCACATCCAGATCCATCAACTGCCTATGCTTCGGCTTCGGCGTCGCAGACCCTGGCTCCTCCTCTGACTCATCGCCGTGGGGAGGAGAGGAAATCGCGGTGGTGGGGCGCGCTGGGGATGTCCGTTTGGGGAGGGGGGAGAGCAGTTCGAGGCGCGAGAGGGGGATGTCGTGTTGGTTGGTTTTCAGCTTGTACATTGCGAATTTTAGGCGTAGGCGGAGGGCTGAGGCGTTCTTTGGGGGGTTAGTAGATTTTCATATCGTGGGGGTAAGAGGGAACGGACCTGGCGGAGCTCGGAGTCGGTGGTGTTAGCTTGGGCGGTCGGGGTGGGTGATTCTCTTGCGGAGTTGGGGACTGTGTCGGGGGAGGTGAGGGTTGTTGAGTGTGATGTCCCCAGTGGAACCTCTGGAGAAGCTGATGGTGTCCTGGCGCAAACGGATGTTGCTTGAGTTGACTGTATTATCATGAGCAGGTGGTCCTCGCACCGTAGGCATATGATAGGAAAGCATACCTCCAGCCCCTCGTCCCCCTCCATCCCCACCGCGTCCACCCCCCCCAACTCACTTGCCAGACCCAACCCACCCATCTCCCTCCCCTCAATCCTTGCAACCTTAACACGCTCCTCCTCGCGTCCCCCAACATCCGTAGGCGCCTCCTTCCTCTTCTCACTTCTGGGCGAAACCTGAGCCTCAACAACGCGTACCGGCGTCTCCCTCAGCACCGGCACTTCAGTTTCCAGTAACCGCTCTTTCATGCTCCGCGCCACCGGGGCCTGCTCCGCGCCATCATCGGTAAACACAAAATTGTGTTTCTTGACTGGTGACTTCTTGGGGCTGCCAAGCGGGGAATTGAGGTGCTTGTTGACGTCCAAAGCGCCGAGGGCGATGCGGGAAAGGGTTGGTTGGCTGGGAGTCTCCATTTTGTTTGTTTTGGGAGAGAGAGAGGACCGGGGCGAGTTGGGGGGGTTTATTAGGTGGTGGTGGTGGGAAGGCGGATGTTGTGAGCTCTGGGACTGCGTCGCGTTGTGTCTCGTTCCTAATATCCCCCACGCGTTAGCCATGTGTTTTAGAGAAAAGCACAACACCAAATCCTCTCGTGTGTGCCAAATGCCGTAACAATTGGATTGAAAGAATAAGATATACTTACAGGAACTTCCTCTTACACAAACAAGTAAAAGGGAATCTTCAAACGCGGATAATATTGTGAGAAGAACTTTAGTTGTAATGCAGTGATAAATAAGTTACGTATTTCCAGTCGCGTAAGCATGCTAGAAGATGGGGGGAGAACCACACGCTCATTCGGCTGTTACCGAGTAACCCTGCTAGGCCGCTGGGGACGACCCTGATCGACCCAGCCACAGCGATCTGTGGCTGATTCAAAGTCACATGATGTCATATTTAAAGCATGTAGCACAGTCGCAAACCCCTATCTCGCAGGGGAATTTCGAACCTGTCACTTTTTAGAATCATCGTTGCTCAACTCAAAGCCTAAAACCATATATAGATCATTAAGAATATTCATGAGAAATATCGTCACGGCCCGAGAGCTAAAACTAAAATATACACCCCTAGAGTAACCGTACTTTCCTTCCTACAGTCGCGCTCAGCTTCCCTTCCATACAGTAGATCAATCACCCACCGAACGCCGCGCTGTCGCCTCAAAAATTTTAATCCCCCATCCAACTGATACCGCAATTCCCGCGCCCCGTGTAAAATTCTAATCGACCCAAGATATTCCCTCATAAACAAAGTACTCATCAAAATAACTCCCAAAATGAACCCCCCATCCTCTAAATTTCTTTCAATAAAGATGCATCCTCTTACAGATCCTGTTCGTTCATCCCGAACAACGATGTATCAAACGGAAACGGCTTGTCCGGCGCTGAGAAGTCGATGAACTGGTCCCAGGACTGGGAATCATTGTTCGCCAACAGGTCGGAGTCGACCATCACCGAGTCGTCCACGCCGCCGACGGTGATCTCTTCGAATCCGAGAAGGTCGTCCGCGACGCTCGCCCCAAAGGGCATCCAGTTGACGTCAAACTCACTCGACTGAATATCGATATTCAGATCCATGCCCTCCGTGATATCGCTATTAGGCTCAGACAGCCCATCCTTGCTCGACTCTGGCGTGTCGTTCGGCGTAATGGAGCGATAGACGTCCATGTTCGAGATGGCGCCCCCAGCTCCCGTCTCGAATTTCTGGAAATTGTGCAGCAGGTCTTGTGGATTGACAGACGAGTTCGCCCATAGATTCTCTGGCGTCGGCTCAGCCTTGGCTGCAGGCTGACCCTTGGCAGCAGCCTGTTTCGCTGTTGGTGTACCTTGTTTCCCATCGGATGGCTTTGTCGTCTTACTGGACGTGGCGGGGCTAGGCTTTCCGGTCGTGCTAGCCTGCGCTTTCATAGGCACTACAGAAGCGGCTGCACCCTTGCTGTCGACATCAGCGGCCCCATCTGCTGTCTCGCTCTTCTTCGTCGTTCCATCCTCCTCCAGGCCAACCATCCGCGACAATTGATTTAGCATAAACGTTACAGGTTCCTTCAAAGGCTTAAGATGTTCTTCTTCCTTGTGTTTCTCCAGCTCCTCTTCAGTCGCAAATTGATCGTTGAAGAAATGGTCACAGTCGGTCTCCGGGCATGCCCACATCTTTGGCCCTTGCTTAACTTCGCCCATCTGTTCTTGTTGATCTTGACGCATATCCGGCGCACCAGTAGCTTGCGGGGTAAGGATCTTCTGGGTGGCAGCTTGTGGAGAGCTGTTGCTGTTCTTCCTCTTCTTCTTGGGCGGGATATGGAGTTGGGTAGAGTCGATCTGCGGCGGTCCATACATGACAGGCACACCATGCGGCGAGTTGAGGGCAAATGGCGGTTGCGAAGTAGTCGGTGCCGCCGGTGTCTGGGATTTACTGACGGAGCGGTTGCGAGCCTTGTTTTGCTGCTGCTGCTTCGCCAAGGCCTGCTGTTGTTGCTGAAGATTGGCCGCATTGAGTGGCACTGATGGCTGTGGTATAGAGCCAGTGGCTGGAGGCTGGCCAGTAGCTGGACCTGCAGCACCTTGCGATCTTGACAGGCCAGGGTACTTGACAAGCACATCCGCAATCATGTTTTGGGCAATGTTCAAAGCTTCGTCGACATCTTTCATCACCATAGAAAAGGTCTGTTTTGGGGTCTGCATTGACGGATCCTCGAACTGTTGGGCGACTTTGATTTGCTAGGATGGGTTAGTCATGGTTTATTAGGGGGAAATATAGGCTAAAACTTACAGTGCGGAAGAAGGTTCTCAATCGGTTCTCATCATGCGTAATAGCGAACCAGCGTGGCGCCACTTTGGAGACATTTGAGAGCTTCGGTGCTGTGTTAACCAACTTATTCGCCACAGCTTGCCTCGTGATTTGATCCATCGGCAAATCCTCAGGGGCCTTGAATTTCGAGATTTCTTCTTGTCTAATGGACTGGAATAGCGTCATGTCTTCTGGCGTAGGAAGAGGGCCAACTTGGGGTTTGTTCTGTTGGAATCGCTGCATGCTCTGGATATACTGCTTTCTCTGGTCGGGAGTAAGAGAGGCCACCTGCTCTGCCGTGAGATTGAACCGGGGCGGTTGTGACTGTCCGGGTTTCTGTTGCTGTTTCGCCTGCTGCTGCTGAGTCTGCCTGGCAGCTTGCTGAGCATTTGGATTCGGAACCTCAACAACATCATCACTACTAGCTCGCTTCAAGTTCTTGCCTTGTTGAGGCTGAGGTGGAGATGACGCTGGCTGCTTAGCCTTTGCGGCACGCGCTTGCGCAGCTGTAGGCTGCTTCACATCAACTGACGGCTGAGCTTGTGGTGGGCGTGTCGGCTGCACAGCTGGTTGTCCACCCTGAGGCCTTGCCATCTTCTGTCCTTGCGCTGCCTGCCCTTGCTGAGCCTGGGGCTGTTGTGCTCCACCAGGATGCTGCGCAGCAGCCATAGGGCCAGTCTGTCCAGTCGCTTGGGGCATTAATCCCTGGTGCATCTGTTGTTGCTGTTGTTGTATCTGCGCCAGCTGCCGTTGTCGGTTCAGCAATTGATTTTTGACTAACGTTTCCCTGATTTGATCGTCACTCATGCCTGCCAATCTTCCGCTTGGATGCGCTCTAGCTTTTTGGATGTCCTCTATGGACACGGTCGCTGCGCTGGCCATGTTCTGTGCTATTTGGTGATTCTGTTGCGGCTGTGGCTGGCCCATCTGGGCAACAGGAGCTCCCATCGCAGGGTTTACGCCCATTTGTGGCTGGCCGCCTGCTTGGTTCATGTTCCTGCCGGCCTGTTGCTGAAAACGCTGCTGCTGTGGTGTCATTCTGGCGCGGACGAGGCCTTGGTAGTGCATCCTTTGAAGCTGCCTCACTTGCTCCAATAACTGGGGCATGTTTCCAAAGTTTTGAGCAACCCAGGTTTTCAACTGGCCCCATCTCTTGATCTCCGGTGGTACCTGTCGTGGAATATTTTGAACCGCTTGTGGTGGGAACTCCATGTGGTCAATTTGGTTAATGGCAGCCACATCTCCCATTGGGGTCTGTGGCACATTGCGGCCCTGCGCTTGTTGCTGAGACATTCTGTTCGCCATCTGCTGCTGCATGAGCATCTGCTGCTGCGGGTTCATTCCGGCCATCATTTGCTGGTTAAGACGTTGAATTGGTTGGCCATTTGGCAAAAACTGAGCCCCCATCTGGTTCGCTACATTTTGTTGTTTCATCCCAGCCTGCGGCATTCCCTGGTTGGGTCGGACCATTTGGCCATTCCCTGGCATTGGCCCCATTGGCCTACCATGTTGCCCAGGCGGCACGACCCGCTCATTCCACTTTCCAATAACCTCATTTAGCTTATCTGCAGGTAATTCTGAAAGCTTTTCGCGTTGCTCTTGCGTCATGTTTGCTGGGAACATAATGCCGGCGTTCTGTCCATTACCTCCGGCCCGCTGGTTCATTGCCGCGGCGAATCGAGGGTCGATAGGCTGTCCAAAGTGTGCTTGGCTAGATTGGATCAACTGATTCTCTGCTCCAGGATTCTGCTGGGGCGCTCTGACGAGAGGGGCATTTAACGTGTTCATCGCTGGGCTCTGCGCTGGAGGCATAGGTCCCATGCCACCAGGTTGACCGTGAAGCCCCATTTGCTGAGCTTTGGCACGAGCCTGAGCCTGAACTTGTGCCTGTACATTAGCGGCTTGGTTTATGCGCTCCTGTTGAGCTTGTTGGGCGTTGAACTGCTGCTGCGCCCTCACATTGGGGTTCTGCGCAACACGCTGGTTTGGTGTTACACCCTGACCCGGCAGTCCGGCGATCGGTTGGGGTGTGGTATTCCCCTGTTGGGCATTTTGCGGAATTCCGATTTGCCCCGCCTCTTGAACAAGATTTGCGTTCTGGTGTTGAGGGTCGACTCCCCCTAAAAAGCCAAAATCGGCATTACCAATTACCTGCTGCTGTGATTCCTGAGTTTGGCCTCCAACGGCATTAGGATTTCCCGATCGTTGCTGTTGCATTGGAACCGCAGATTGGGGCCTGTTGGCTGCCATGCCTTGGCCCGACTGCTGGTTGGCAAGTTGTTGTTGCCGTAGCTTTTCCTGTCGTAGGCGACTCACTACCTGGTTGCGATAGTACAAAAGCAAAGGATCTATTCCTTGAGACTGATAGCGGAGTAATGTCGCCGGATCCATTCTTCCCTGCATGCTCATGCGTATATTATTTTTGTCCTCCTCCGAGGCAGCGGCCATATGCCTATTTGTCATCTCGAGTACCACTGCTTGCTCCGCCGGTGTCAATGCTTGCGCGCCTTGCGGGCGATTATTCATACCAGGCTGAGGTTGCTGCTGCGACTGTTGAGATTGTTGCTGTTGCATGGGTACATGGAATTGTGGTTGAGCCTGAGACATGTTTTGAGGCTGCATATTGTTAGCCATCCCCATAGTTCCCTGTTGCGGTTGGGGTTGTTGTTGTGGGAGTGGCGATGCCTGCATCTGATGTTGTAGATGCTGATAGGTTTGCTGGGCCTCCGGTTGACCCATATTAGGCCTGGCCATCTGCCCCGGCATGCCTCCTTGGTTCATCATCCCCATCTGCTGTGCTTGAGCCTGAGCTTGCGCTTGGGCCTGGGCTTGTGCTTGCGCTTGGAGTACTGCTTGTGCGTTCATTGATATTTGATTTCGTGCCGTCGTTAATTGCCCGAGTTTGTCGCGAAGCTGAGCCAAATATGCATCCTAAATTTCCAGTCAGCAAGTTACTCGGCGCAAATAATCATTGTGGTAGCTCACTCTGTCCGCAGCACTTTCGAAGGCTCCCTTCTCAAAATTCAACGCCAACCCGCACATCTTTTGTATGTCGTGTGTCACATTATTGGGATTGGTTAAGCGTAACTGGGTGACACTATTATTTGTTAGTCGTGATGTTCAAGCGTCGGTACGCTCCATCGAATAATGAGAATCGGGGATGAATGCGAGTTCCCGAGACGCTTACATATGCCACACTTGACCCAAGCGCTCTGTGATCGGAATGTTGGCGCGCCATCCTGATAAGGTGGCCGTCTGTGTCTGTTGCTGGATGTTCTGAAGGAGCACATTTTGTATCGCCCTCTGCTGCGCCTGAAACTGTACTTGTGATTGTTGCATCATCACTGGATTACCTCCAGCATTCCCCATCTGCTGGAAGTTGCCTGCCATCATTTCGACCGATCATATGGCAACCGCCGTGTGTCAAGGCCGTCGGCCAAGGCCCCGCGTCGTTCGACTTATTGTTTTTCACAGCCGTGGTCGTGAAGAGCGATTGCAAATATCGTGATTCGAGGTCAGGCCAAAAAGCTTGTCAAGGCGAAGATCCGAGATGTTGTAGGTGTAGAAGTCGGGGTTCCTGAAATCGTCCCCTGTCAGCGAAAGGCTCTCCACGGAACAACAATAGGCGGCAAACCGTATAGTGCCATGCAAGCTGCCTATATGACCTCCAGCTTATCTCCACATAAGATGACCCAGAGTTTGCTTTCGCGCGAGAGGCAACCGTCGCTAGGTAGGCGAAAGGTAGGAGCGTTTGGGTATGTGTATGTCTGCGTTGTGTGCAGTCGTGGGTTTCAGGGTCGTAATGGTGAGGTGGACGATGTCGCCAGAGTAACTGCGAGTTCTGGGATGTATTGATCGCACCAGTTGTGACGGGTGACGAGTGTGTACGGGGACGCTTCGAATCGAAGGATGCGTTTCGTGGTAGGGCGTATGTGACGGTAACAAGACCGTGACAGCGGCAGAGCGAGCGAGGTCGTCGGCACCGGTACAGATGGATGTGTAGGGGAAGGAGCGATGATTGAAGATGATCTTGGATATGGGTAGTAAGGCGGTGCGGCAGAGGTGACAAGGTGGAGTGGGTGTGGGTAGGGACCTCAACAGGCTTAGTTCGATTTAGTCTCATTCAGGTAGGTTAATGTGGTGTAGTGGGTGTTGAAAGTTGGAAGTACAAGGGCGAAAGGGTGCAAATGCTCAGGATTGGGTGATACGCAGATTGGCTAGAGTACACATACAAAGTGCACTACTGAAAGTACCTACACTACGACAGTACATACACTTCCACATACAGAAGAGTAGAGGAGATACTTACTTGGTACTATATTGCACTACTACTCTGCTACTCCGTTACTACTCTACTACTCTACTACTCTACTACTCTACTACTCTACTACTCTACTACTCTACTACCACTACTCTACTACTACTCTACTACTACTCTACTACCACTACTCTACTACTACTCTACTACCACTACTCTACTATACTGCACTTCTACAACTCACTTAATACTAAAGTAACTATATAGAGGACGAGGCTAACGAATCGAGTGGATAGAAGCTTCCATTGTTATACTCACCTACGAGTACTATACAGTATGTACGTACAATCCCTGGGTATACTCTCACCAGTACCACACCACAGCAGTGCACATGCTTACCTTCACAAGTACGGCGTCTACTAGAATATACATGCACACAACTCACAATGTTATTCCAGAGTGTCTCGACCCCTTCCATCCATCTCCCTTCTCCATCTGCCAATTCCTCTTGCTGTCCCGCTGTCTGTGTTATCAAGGTTGGTTGGTTTGAGTGTGAGACCTGGGTTTACTTACTCTAACAGATCCCATTTCCTTTGCATTGGCATATCTCAAAGGTCCATCCCAATCTCAAGCGTGAGGCCGCTGCCCTTGTATTCTCCACGATGCAAGTTCATTCGGGCCCCTCCCAGCGCAGATCCACTGGGTCATGTTGACTACGGACGATCAGACGGCAATCATAGAGCGAGGGGGGTATCGCTACACTGAACTCCATATGAGAGGGGAATAGAGCAAGATGTATTCCGAACGGCTTCATCTTTCTTTCCGCAGTGTAGCAGGGCTGAACCATGGTATCTCCTCGTCATACCATATCTAACCGACCATCCATCGCAGGCCGAGTCGCACAAAACATTCCCAGCCGACCAAGGCGTTCGCTGAAAGAGGACTTCCTTCTTTAACGACACTGGGCATGGCGCGCAGGCAACGACGATGGTGTTGCTCACTTTGGGGCTCCAACCCAGACGAGCCACGATACCGGCCAGACACCAATCACCCGCATCAGATCGGCTGCCTAAGCCCTCGACATGAAAAAAAAACCATTCATTCAGATTCAGTGATGCTGACTGTAAGTCAACAGCTCCTGTAGGAGGGACTTCGACTGTACTTCAGTTCAGTGCAGTACGGCGTAGTGGTGGTGGAGAGTCGTGACACGACAATCACTCGGTTGCAAGGGTTGGGAGTACTTGGAGTGGAAGCCGCTCCAATTGCGCGTTAGTTGGATCTGGTGGTGTTCTCGTGCTGCAGGAATAGAATAGCCATGGGGTACTACGCTCTTCCCTGCCACCCCCCTGCCTTGCGCTCCCTGTCTCTGCAGAAAGGGTCAGTGGATGAGGCAGGTCAAATAACAGGGCATGAATTACGGCCGAGAGACAATGATCACAAAAAGTCCAAGTTCAAATAATTAACCCAATTCGAATACTTGCGACGAAGGACGAGGGACGGTGGTTGGGCTGGGTGGTGGTGACCAGGTCAGCGACGGGGAAGAACAGACGAGGAAAATATTCATCTCTGGGCTGGCGGGGGGGCGGGGGGGGTGGTGGGGGGTTGGTAGGTGACAGTGAGTGGGTGACAGTGGGTGACAGTGGGTGACAGTGGGTGACAGTGGGTGACAGTGGGTGACAGTGGGTGACAGCGCATGCGATGCGCCCTCGACATACTCGAGTACTGGGGTCAGTCCCAATCGAGGCAAAGACACAGTAATAAATAGATGGGGACATGGATGCCGCGGCGGCAACGAAGGCTCAACTGTACTCAGCCGTACATTCACAAAGAGAGGAGACAGTTAATTACTCTCCCATCTCTCCTTTCTACACGCGGAAGTCGTCGTCGACACACACAATACCAAAAGCCAATACTACTCCACCCGCTAGCGTGACGGTCAGGACTAAGGGTACCAGAAAAGAGGTTGGCGCGACGGCAGTCGGGTGCAGTTTAGTGGACGAGGCAGCCAACCAGCGGCGGGCGAATGACGTTTTGACGAGATTGGGTAAGGCAAGGGACAAGGGGGATGGTTTTAGACTGTACCATAGATCTGAGCTGCTGTTCTCTCACAACTAGAAAATAAAGAGTACGAGGTTTTGAGATGTATGTATATCAGCATCAATTAGAGCAGCAACACATGATTTACATGATTTACATGATTTACATGATTTACATGATTTACATGATTTACATGATTTACATGATTTAGAAGGGAGGAAGGGATGGGGGCTGATGGACCCACCAATAATACCGCCAGATTACTTTCGTACCTGGGCCCTCACGTGGCGGGTAGGGAATATCAAATGCGGGGAGGGAATCCTCCCCCGTCGTTGTTGCTTCAATTGAGGGCGCGACGACATTGGCAATTTAGTACGCGTAGCCGGACTATATGGCAATTGACATTCCCCCCCTACCTCAGGATCCAGCGAGGACTGCACGGCCAACGCATGCATGCCACGGAAGTTGTATGCGGCGATCAATTCCCCCAGATCATGAAAATCCTAGGTGAGAGTAAGTATTGAACCTCCTGGGAAGAAAGGAATTACACCCGGCCGCGCGTTAAAATTCTCACGATTGATTTCCCATTACCACACATTATGCGACGCTCTAATGCACCATCCATAGCAACATGTTCATATTTATTTCTCGTCACATCTCTGAACCCCCCCCCCCAACCAGCCTAGCGCCGTAGCCGCCCTAGCGCCCTAGCCACCCCTTTCGGTTCGATCGCCAAAGTGTGGACGGCGCTGCTCAACGAGAGGCTCGTCCACAGCCTTGCCCCAACTTCCCCCCACCGCTCACCATCCGGCTTTAGAACCTCGTGATCTAAATGCCCCTCCACACGTCCAAAACCACATCTTCACTCCTCCTCAGCTTCAGGACTCCCAGTCTCGCGCTCAGGGCTGCTAGAGTCGCTACTATCAGAGCTTTTTCAACCACACTTCTTGCTCCCCAAAAACAACACGCCATGGCTGCTAGGGTCAATGACTTCCTCGACTTCCTCGGGTCGTCTCCAACACGTTAGTTGTAAGCACCAACTACTAAACCACCTCACTGCTAACACACTCCCAGCATTCCACGCCGTCCAATCCGCCATCAAGCGCCTCGAAGCCTCAGCCTTCAAACCAATCCAAGAGCGTGAATCCTGGTCCTCCACCCTGCAACCAGGCGGAAAGTACTACCTAACCCGCAACGGCTCCTCCATCGTCGCCTTCGCCATCGGCAAGAAATGGAAATCCGGCAACCCCATCGCCATGATCGGGGCACACACCGACTCCCCCACCCTGCGCCTCAAGCCCGTCAGCAAGAAGACCAACTCGGGCTTCCTCCAGATCGGCGTGGAGACGTATGGAGGCGGGATCTGGCACACGTGGTTTGATCGCGATCTGAGCATTGCGGGACGTGTGATGGCAAAGGATAAGGGGGGGAATTTTGTCCAGACGCTGGTTAAAGTTGATCGGCCCATCGTGCGGGTTCCCACGCTAGCGATCCACTTAGACAGGTCGTCGGAGTTCAACCCAAACAAGGAGACGGAACTCTTCCCCATCGCCGGCCTCGTCGCAGCGGAACTCAACAGAACGGGCGCCAAACCCGACGAGAAGTCCGAGCCCGAGGCGGCCGAGGACTCGCACTCCTCCCCCCTCCGTGCCATGACCGAACGCCACCACCCCTACATCATGGAGATCATCGCCGAGCACGCCGGCGTCTCCGTCCAGGATGTAATCGACTTCGAGCTCGTCCTCTATGACACCCAGCCCCCCTGTCGCGGCGGCCTCAACAACGAATTTATCTACTCCGCGCGCCTCGACAACCTCGAGATGACCTACTGTGCCGTCCTCGGGCTGATCGAGTCGCTCTCCGCCCCTGACGCGCTGGATGATGAATCCTCCATCCGTCTGGTCGCCTGCTTCGACCACGAGGAGATCGGGAGCACGACTGCGCAGGGCGCGGCGTCAAATTTACTCCCCGCTGTGCTGCGGAGGCTTAGTGTGTTGCCGGCGAACGAGGGGAGCGAGGTCTCGTATGAGAAGGTGCGGAGGGAGTCAGATGCTGATATCTCGACGGCGTATGAGCAGACCCTCGCGTCGTCGTTTTTGATCTCGGCGGATATGGCACATTCAGTTAATCCGAACTATGCGCAGAAATACGAGTCGGATCATAGGCCGGAGATGAATAAGGGGACTGTGATCAAGATTAATGCGAATGCCCGCTACGCTACCAGCTCCCCGGGCATTGTGCTGCTGCAGGAGATAGCACGCAAGGCGAAGTCGGGCAAGGAGACGGGGGAGGGGGTCCCGCTGCAGCTTTTTGTGGTGAGGAATGATTCGTCGTGTGGAAGCACGATTGGACCTATGCTGTCTGCGGCGCTGGGGATGAGGACGCTGGATCTGGGGAATGCACAGTTGAGTATGCATAGTGTGAGGGAGTGTGGTGGGGCGGAGGATGTAGAGCATGCGGTGAGGTTGTTTGAGAGTTTCTTTGAGCACTTCTCGGCGCTGGAGGGGAAGATTTTGGTTGATTAGGGGATTAGAGGGAGGGCTTAGGGAGGGGGGGGGGTGCTGGGCATCTACCGCAATTTGGAAAGATATGTAGTTTGGTCGAACGTATAGTATGTGACGGAGATTGGGGGGGGGTGATAGGAGAGGAGGCGCGAGGCAGGAAGTCCCGATGGTGACTAATCGGTAAGTTTTGACGGGAAACGATGCTTGCCGTCCAAACCTATCGATTAATCACCGTCGGAACTTGCTGCCTCTGTCATCATATTCCATCATCACGGCTATCTAGGGGCATCCAATATCCGAGTAGCCCAAGCTTCTCTCGCCAAACAAACAAAATTAACCATTTTTCTACCCTCGTATCACAGAAAGTCTTCTCATTTCCAGTGCAGGAAGTACTCCATTTTCTACCCTCGTATCACAGAAAGTCTTCTCATTTCCAGTGCAGGAAGTACTCCATTCCATAATACCTCTCTCCCTCCACCATTCCCCCCTTACGTAAACCCAAACCCCCTTACATCCCTTACATCCAGCCACCACCCCCCCCAACCTCCCCAAACCCCCTCCTCCATCAGTCCACCTCCCATCACCCCTTCACCTCCAAAAACTTTACCCGGACCTCGCGGTACCCGTGAAACGGGGAAGGCACGACCTATTAAAGGGAAGGAACGACTAACTTCAGACGGAGGGGACGACCCATTAAATAAGGAAAAAACGACCGACTCTAAGGGGAAAGAACTACCCATTAAATAAGGAAAGAACGACCGATTCTCAAGGGAAAGAGCGACCCTTGAAATGTTTACATATGGAAAGAGCTATGGACTCTAGACGGAAGGATCGACTGACGCTAGACGGAAGGAACGACTGAGTTTAGGAGGAAGGAACGACCCATTAACTAGGGAAGGAACGAACTGCAAAAGGCAGGAAAGAGCGACTGACTCTACAGGGAAGGAACGACCCTTGAAATATTTAAATAGGGAAAGGGCGATCGGCTCTGGATGGAAGGAACGACTGATTGCACAGGGAAATAGCGACTGACTCGAGAGGGATGGGACGACCCATTAACTAAGGAAGGAACGACCGACGACCGGCTCTAAAGGAACAGAGCGACCGGCTTCAGAAGGAAGGAACGACTGGCTTTAGGAGGAAGGAACGACCCTTGAAATATTCAAATAGGGAAAGAACGACCGACTCCAGACGGAAGTAACGACCCATTAACTAAGGAAGGAGCGACCGACTTCATAAAGGGGGAAGGAAAGACCGACTTCATATAGAGGAAAGGAACGCGCATACCTCTTCGTTCGTTAAACCTATCTCATAATCTAAAATTCCTTGTTTAGGAACATCGGTGTATGTCAAATCGGCCTCGTTCCGGTACCTTATTTTTAGGTTTCGGCAATTATCACAGTGCCGCTGCTAGCAAAGGGGCCGCACCTTCGATGACTTCATGTTTGTAACGTTAGGAGTAAGTGCTTACTATTCGATAATATTGCTCCTTCCTAGTGTCGTGTGTCTACAGTTCCTTCATTTTTTGTTTTTATTATTTTCCGTTGAATATTTCTGTAATGTTTTTATAGCGTCAACCATCACCTACTCTTCCGAAAGACACAACATGAAGCAATGCAGATCACCCATGGGCCTTGAGCATTACCATCGAACCAATGGCCATTTCATTTCGACCTCTGACTCTATTCGACCCTTTCCCAACCCTTCTTATGTAACTTAAACCTCATAAATGGGTTGGACTCGCTTGGGGCGGCTATTAGCCCAAGTCCAAAGACCCCTGGCAATGCTTCTTCAAAGACACAGCGTCACCCATCAACCACAACTCCCAGCGCCTTCATCCTCTCTTCCTCAGCACCGAAATAACAAGCCAGCGCTTCCTCTCCGTCACATCTTCAACCCCCCTATCAGTGACCCATTCCCTCTCGCGCCCTTCCGGGTCCCTCTCAACTATCGACTCCACCTCCAAACCATGCTCAGTGAGCAATTCAGCGTTATAAAACCCCCTCATCTTCACCCTACCAGTGTGAAAACCGGAGACTACCCAAGCCTTTCCGCCAGGGCCCAGAAACCAGGCTATGCTCTTCATCAACTCCTTATGCTGCCATGGCATCCACAGACAATCAGCGACTAGGATAACGTCGAAGCTACCCTTATGGTTCTGCACGAAATCGTCATCCTCAGACAATTTCCCCCACTCATGACCTTCTACAAGACAGGTTGCTGGGTTCCCTTCCCTCCCTATCCTCAACTCTTCCGGCAAGTTCACCTCCACATTCTTCTTGATATTAGCGACGACCTCCGGCGCCGGATAATCCGTGATAATGACACTTTCCGCCCCCGCCCTCGCCGCCACCAGCCCAGAGAGACCCGTTCCCGCGCCCAGCTCCAGCGCCTTCTTCCCCTTCACATCCCAGCCCCCCCCCCCTTCAATAAACTCCGCCAGCTGGAGCCCAGAGTTCCACAGGAAGTGGGAAAAGAGTTTGCGGTTATCGTCGCACTGGGGATTGGCCAGCTCGAGCTTGATCTCGCCGAAGCGGGGTGAGAGGTAGATGACGGCGTGGTAGGGGTCGCCGTGCTGGTTGGTGATGTCGTCGGGGAAGATTACGCCCAGGGATTGCCCGAAGTAGTCTTCTGGGTCTGTGGTTTCGGGGCCGGAGAGGCGGATTTTGTCGGTCAACATTATGGATTTGCCTGCGCACTCAGATATATTCAAATTTGATGCCCACTCAGGTTCGAGATAAGACTCGTGCTTCCCTGCGCGGCACTCGAACTAGATTTTGAAAACGGAGAGTGTGAAGTGCTTGGACTCAAATTCAAGTCGCTATAGTTTCAAATACGATAATATATGAAAAAGTCCTTGTGGAAAAATATAATCTCGCTCACGTTACCACCTGGAAGTAATTTTGCGTCTAATTGTCATCTGCCTCTGGGTGCCGATGACGAACATTGTGCCTGGTTTCACCGCCCTTATATCTCCATATCAGGCTTAGCTTATGCCGGGGCCGCATCATCGAGTCTCTCCCCTTAAGACCGTCATATCCGCAATCGTCCCCCATATCGCAAAACTTGAAATACGATGTGTACTCCGCGGCCCTAAACAGAAACAAACAAATGATATAACAAGCAACGGGACACACGATGCTGTTATCTTCAGCGCCCATCGGCTCCGAGATCTTCGCCGGCATCTGCCTCATCGTCATATCGCTCGCCGTCATCTTGGTACTGCGCTACTACCTGCCCTTACGAACCACACCCGCATACATACTCGTGCCTATCTTCTTCGCCTTAGCATTACCGACGAGCATAGTTTTACTAGTACCCATAGACCTCGCATCGAACGCCGGCACCGACGATGGAACAAGAGGTATCTGGCTGCAGGAGCGCGCCCTCCTCGTCTCCTGGAGGATCACATACTGGCTCACCTTCGGCCTGACCTGGTTCATCCTCCCCATCCTCGCTGAGTTCTCAGATGCCGGACACCGCGACGTCCAGGCGAAGCTGATGTACTCTCTGCGCTCAAACGCCAAATACCAAGCCATGGTTTTCGGATCGGGTATCCTGGGTCTGATCTACGTCTTCATCTCGGCCGGTGTGACGCCGACTTCGTTGAAGGCGCTGATAATGGCATTGGCGTATGTGTGGGGTTTGATTCTGGCTATTTACTTGATGGGACATGGATTGGTGGCGATTCCTCGGTCGTTGTTCCGGAAGGCGGATATTAGTGAGAGTTTGCGACGCATACAAGCTTCGGCTCCGAAGATCCATGAATCTATGGATGATTCGATTGAGAGATTGGAGGTGCTAGAGGCGCAGGTTACGTTGCTGAGCCAGAGGAAATCAGGAACTGCTATGCATTTCCAGGAATGGATTGAAGAACTTGGAGATCTCTGTAACTTACCAGAGTCACGACCGAGGACGACGTCGCGACGGATGTCGATACCAGCAGTGTCCGTGCCGACTGTTATAACAGAAAATTACCTTGCAGATCTTACAAGATCTCTCACCAGAGCCCGTCATAAGCGAATCCGATACATGGATGAATGGGACAGACTGGTCCAAAACTCCGTCGCAACCCAGGCTATCCTGGACTCTGCAGCTTCCAAAAAACTCGAGATTGCGGCATCTTCCCCTCGCGCATCGTTCTTTGAGCGCCTCACTCTCTTCACGCCATATACTCGTTATTTATATTATTATCACATGGTTCCATACATGAGGATCCTTTTCGGCGGCCTCTTGTCCCTGGCTTCAGTATGCATCGTCTGGTCTGAAGTCATCAAGCTGGTCAGCTCGAACCTCTCCGTCATATCACGGACCGTAGTTCACCATCCCAACAGCGACCGCGGCCAAATCGGGTTTCTGGGGCAGATGATCGCAGCAGGGTGGATTTTCTACATGTGCGCCGCAGCTCTAACATCCATGACCGAAGTCAAAGTCTGGCGCGGCCGCGCGCTCGTCAGGCGCAACACAGGCTACGAATCGGCATTCTGGTACGCCATGCAAGTCGCCCGTCTCTCCGTCCCCCTCTCCTACAATTTCATGACCTTCCTCACCCCCGACGTCTACGAGGAGACAGTCTTCTACAAGTTCCTTGGTAAACTCATCAACCTTACACCCCTGGGCATGGGTTTTGATTACCTCTTCCCCATCTTCATTCTTATCCCCGTCTCCGCTACCCTATTCAACCTCTACGGCAAGGCGAAGCGCATGCTGGGGTTCAGCCACGACGACGAAAGCGACGACAATGAAAACGTCACCGGCTACGGCACCGGCGGCGGGTGGCGCGAAGGTCGCGACCTCATCGAGCGCGAAGTCGGCGGGAGCGCTTCGCTCGCGCACTTGCGCAATCCGCGAGTTGGGGCTGGTAATAGTAGCAACGGCCCCGCCATCGCTGCGTCTAACCTTGCGTCACGCTCAACAGCTGCGTCGAGGGTGAATTCGAGTGTCCGGCCGCATGTTAATGAGACTGGGGATGAGGGGTTCTTCGGGTCGTTCGGACATAGAGTGAGGAATACGATTGATACTATTGAGACGCCGGAGTGGATTCAGGGGCTGAGTGAGGGGATTAAGAAACCGAAGTGGATGGGTGGGGATGGGGAGTCGGGACACTCGAGGGGGGAGGGGAGTGTGACTAGGTTGTTTGGGGGCGGGGGTCAGGATGGGAGGGTGAGGTTGTAAGTATGTATTAATTTTAGTTGCTGGAAGGCGACTATGTATGTATGATGATGGGGTGTTTTGATTGGGGGTTGGATTTTTATATAGACGAGCTCGATAACTGAAGTTTGGGGACTGCAGGAGAGATGACGGGTTGTCTCGTTCTTTGCGTACGATAGTATTACATACATTTTTTTGGGTGACCCTGGTCACTCAGTTATTTATTGGTGATATTAACGAGAAAAGCTTGGGGATATGAGTCGGATGCATTTTTTTTATCTCTACCACCCAACACACCTGGGACGAGGCGAAAGCTAGAAGATCGTGGCGGCCCCCGAGCAGTACAGTTTCACACGACAAGGCAACTGGCGCGTACCCTCGCCATGCAGTTGAAACCTGGAACCCTGTACATGGTTCGGGCCCCTTCCATCCCTAGATGGTGGTAGAGGCTACAAGACGAGGAAGGTAACGGGGTAAAGCTGGTGGAGTTGACAAAATAGAGGTGACAGCATAAACTAGCGACGGTGAGAAGAGTTGGCAGAATCAAAAATGGAGTTGCTGTTGGCCAACCACGACCAAGGAACATGTTGTAGGATATAGTGCCGTAAATGATAAAAAACTCGATAATCCATTCGATACCAGCGACTTTGACTGGCAATAGCACATACTGGGTGCCATAAACCTGCGAAGGCGATAAGTATTAGCTGTGGAAATCTGAGGAACGAATTATGTCCTCAATAAGCTCTTCTAGCGATTTGGTTGATCTGTCCACTTCCGCTATCACACGAAATGGGATCAGCTCAACTTCCGATTCCAGTCTTTTTGTAGTTTCAAATATGGCTCGCATCCCCACCGAACACCCTCAAATTCATGAAGGCAGCAAGAGCTGACGAAAAATATGAATTTCTATTCTGCTGTAGCGGCCCTAATGCATCTGCATGCCCTGTTCCCAGCGCGTTCGTGTTAAACAATACGCTCTTGACGCCGCTCATGTCATTCGTACAATATAAACCCAAAGTTATATAAAAGCGGACCCTCCTACCAATCCCTCGCCAACCTAGAATGTTGCCCAGAGACACCTCCTTCGCCACCTCCACCGGCCTGGTTCTCCGATAGCTCCCTCGCTGTAATCCCTTAGCCACTTCCCTCAGGTTGGGACTCCGGTAATTCCCTCAAGGTAATCCCTTCACCACTTGCCTCACCCTGGGCTTTCAGCAGCTCCTCCGCTGTGCTCCGTCCCTCACTCGTCGCCATATCCGATTGCTCAGCGTCCCGGCCGCCATCTTCCTCCTCCGCCCCCTCGCCAGCCACCGCCTGCGCAGCCTCCTGCGCAGCTGTCTCTGCAGCCACTCTCTCCGCTTCAGCAGCCTCCTCCCTCCGTCTCCGCGCTTGATCCTCCTCTTCCCTTGCTGCAACATGCCGCTCTCCAACCCCAGGCCACAGGCTCGCCAAAAACAGCAGCGTCGCGTGCTCTACCCTCCGCACCTGCGACATGAACCACCCCGCATTCTGACGCTGCCGCTGCTCTATCAACCGCTGCGCAACGCGCTGTGGATCCAGTTCCCCAGCCCTACCCTCAGTACCCACCCCGGCCCCAGCTGCTGCAGCTCCACCGGCCGCCGCGCCCTCGGGGTTAACTCCGGGAATGGCGAGAGGGATCAGGTTCTCGAGGTGGCGGCGGATAGGGGCCCAGTCGATGAGGCCCGTGTTGATGAAGAAGAAGACCATGCTGAGGCCTGTGATCATGCACCAGCGCCACCAGCTGGTGTTGCCGGAGGTGAAGAACCAGACAAAGCCGATTAAGCGAACGACGAGCCATATGTGCGGTGCGAGCTGGGCGACGAGGGCGCCTGCAGCGGCGGGGTTGCCCTGGTGGCCCATCATAACGGGTTCTGGTTGCGCTGCATGGTGCTGAGCTTGTAGTTGAGCTTGGCGGCGGGCTTGAGGGTGAGGTCGGGGTTGAGACTGGAAGTTCTGAGGCTGGTAGTGCTGAGGCTGGAAGTGCTGAGGCTGGTAGATTGGTTGTTGTCCAGGGTGATGATGAGGGGTATGAGCGGGGTGGGTGTGTGGCAGGGCAGTAGTAGCAGTCGAGGGCGAAGTGTAGTAAAAGGAGGGATTGCTGAGTAGAAGGGCTTGGGGCCCACTAGGCGTGGAGAGTATGTAGACCGTTGGAGGACTGGCCGGTGCAGGCTGGTGAGCTGCAGTTTCGGTTGGGCCACCTGGGGCAGGTGCGCGCATGGCAGGAAACGTCTGCTGGGGTTGTTGAAACAAGAATGGAGGGTTTTCAGCCCGGAAAGGCGCTGGCTGTGATTGTATTTGACTGTTCTGTTGAGCTGTGCGTGGTTGGGGAGTCGGCATGTAAGGCGGAGGGTCTTGTGGCGGTGGACGTAGGACTAAATGTAACGATTGCGAATCTTCGTTGCTCAGCTATGGACAAGTTAGCACGGAGATATATTTTAAGGTTAAGGTTATGCATACTGTTTCTTTCCCAAATATATCTCCCATAGTTTCTACTTCCGTCAATTGGCGGCCTCTATGGATGAGCCTCTGGTGGTCATCATGCGGCTTCGTCTGGACCCTCTCACGGATCTTGGCCTTCAGTTGCTGGACAGTTGTAGCGATCGGCAGGTTTGGGAAAGAGAATGGGCCATGGGAGCCCAACGACGGCGAGATGATATGAAGAGTAAAGGTTTGCGACGGTGGCGCGTCATTGTTGGCAGCTATCGTGGTCGCCATGTTGATTATGAAGCGGATGATAAAGCGTAGGTCGAAGCTATAGTTCTCATGGGAGACAACAGATTGTTCTGAGAAGTCCCCTCGGGCCTCGCTGGCGCTGGAGCTTTTCGGAAGAGTCGATCCTAAATATGTGACGCAGGGGCGCTCATGATATTCCAAAATGCATTGGATCGAATTTATTCATCCAGGTACCGCCTTCCCTACGTTTGGTTCCACGTAGCCTTCCCATCGGCCGCATCCTCCAGCAAGCGAGTCGCGCGGCTCCGACATCGACAAAATCGTCATAGCTTCCTCTGGCCCTCTTCACAAGCCCCAATGGCATAACCGCGGGCGTCAAATTTAAAATTAATTTATACAACCCCAACGATGCGCGCCCCACGTACACTCAGGGCGCTGCCGTCGCCGTCGACATGTCTCCTGAGAACATCACATCAACGCCCCCAATTTAGATACCAGCATCAATTGAACAGGTTCGTGCAGATGGATCATAATGGGCATAACGGGCGTCGCGGCCACCAGGCTGGGAAGCGACCGTTTTCGACAGGCAAGGGGGGAAGGAGGAAACAGGAGCAGGGCGAACCCTTCCACAGGAGGTTGGGGAGGGCATTGAGGAATACGAAAATTAGATGGTATCCCATACCTGCAGCACTGGGGATTGGGTTCCTTGGTCTCGCCCAGCTGTACAAGGTTAATGAGCGGCAGAAGAAGGCGAGGCGTGAGGAGGAGGAAGGCGAGAAACTATACAGGAGGAAGAGGATACGGCCTACTGGTCCTTGGTACGCAAATCCTGTAGTCTCCCTCGATGGCTTATCCAACAGCTGCTAACGTCTGGCACAGGCAAGTCCAAGTCATGTCGACTCTCCCCCTTAAAGCGATGTCACGCCTCTGGGGCCGCTTCAACGAGCTCGTCATTCCCTACTATCTCCGCGTACCCGGCTTTAAACTATACTCCTGGATCTTCGGCGTTAAGTATGTTCCTCCCTATGGCCTCTCAGTGCCTTTTTCAAACCCAGCTAACCGTTCCAGCCTCTCCGAAGTTTCCGAACCCGACCTACACGCCTATCCCAACCTCGCGGCCTTCTTCTCACGCACCCTCCGCCCCGGCGTACGGCCCCTAGACCCCAACCCCTTCGCCCTTCTCTCACCCGCCGATGGCCGCGTCCTCTCTTTCGGTCTTATCGATGGCGGTGAAGTGGAGCAAGTGAAGGGCATGACCTACTCCCTTGACGCCCTCCTCGGGACCTCGCACCCATCCTCAGCCCCCAACCTATCCTCGCCCTCCCACCTCTTCGCCCGCGAGACCCCTGCGCACCCCCATCACCACGTCGAATCCGAGGCCCTCGTCAAGCGTGACGAGGAATTCGCTATCCTAAACGGCATCCGCTACACCCTCCCCGGCCTCCTCTCTGGCTCCCCATCAAGCCCGCACCCCCCACCAACCGACGCATCGACACCCTCCCTCGCCCCCTCCGAAGAAGAAGTCTCCGACTCCCTCGCTGTCCCGTGGTACAACCCCCCTCGCCGCACCGCTCTCTACTACTGCGTCATCTACCTCGCGCCGGGAGATTATCACAGATTCCACTCCCCCACCGCATGGGTAGCTGAGAAGCGCCGCCATTTCGCGGGAGAGCTCTACTCCGTCTCGCCATATCTCCAGCGCACGCTCCCGGGGTTGTTCACACTCAATGAGCGCGTCGCCCTTCTTGGTCGCTGGCGCCATGGATTCTTCAGCATGACACCCGTTGGCGCCACGAACGTCGGTAGTATCGTCATCAACTTCGACGCCGAACTCCGCACTAACTCCCTGCTATCGGATAAAGCGGCGGACAAATCGCCTAATGGATATGCGGAGGCTACGTACGGGGCTTCCAGTCGCGTACTACATGGGCGCGCGTTAGGGAGGGGAGAGGAGATGGGTGGGTTTAGGTTGGGGAGTACGGTTGTACTAGTTTTTGAGGCGCCAGAGGGCGAGATGGGGGAGAAAGATGGGTGGGATGGAGAGGGGCAGTGGAGAAAGGGAGGTTGGAATTGGGGAGTCAGGAATGGCCAGAGAGTTAAGGTTGGGGAGGCCCTGGGGTGGGTGGACGAGAAGGTATAGATGCATGTATATCGGTAAGACCTATGGGTGGAATTTGTGTACTCATATGTATGGCCTGGTACCACCAGCCCGGTTCTCCTGTTATCATTTACGGAGTTTTGGAAAATAGACAGGTTGCCTATTCATGCGGCTCGCAAGGCTAAGGAAGGACTACGCATACCAGTCTGCTAGAGCATTTAGTATAACTTATTGCCGCTTAATTGTTTATAGCAAATATAAATAATATCAAGACTCCTAACTAGCCAATACTGTGATGATCACATTAGGGCCTTCTAACAAGCCAGTTACTCGGAATACAAAACAAAGGAGGAACCTCATTGCCTTCAATTTCATTTCAATCTGCATCTGTGCACGAATCCTCCTAACCTACTCACCAATCGTTGTTGCCAATAACCACGTATGGGACGCCCTACCAAAATAGGTGGTTATCCCACCCTGGCTCACCGGTGTCCAACTCGTGTTCCTTGCCGATCACGACGATGGCGGCGGCAATGTCACGCCCCCGGCCTATCTATGTCATATACTCCGTAGTAATTGGCTCTGCTGTATTGATTAGATTTGAAGGATCTCTAGCCTAATTAGGGCCGCCGTCGTTACTGTTTTTGTGGGGTCGTCGTGGCCTTCGTCTATTACTGTTTTTGAGGCTTCATCGTCTATTACCGTTTTGATATGGTCTTCGTCTGCTACTGTTTTCGTAGGATCTTAAGTCTCTCAGTGGTTTTATGAGAACTTCGTCAGTTACTGGTTTCGTCAAGCCTATTGCTGATCCTTTGGCTAGGGCTGACTTTGAGCTAGGGATCACTTTAGCTAGGGCTGACATAGACTAGCATTATGGGGCCTACTAGTCTTCCCGTATAGAAGGTTCACAGTTGATGGGCTCTTTATTTAGACTTCTCGGGCCTTATTTGTCTAATCGGAGCGCTCGTATATATCCGAGAGCCGGCAATCCCTTGATATATGCCCATTGCCACGGAATTTAAGCATGGAACGGATAAACCTTCTCCGCCGCTATCAACGAACCCCCTACCTATCACTCAGTTGGCTCGCAAGGCGTCGGCTTCCGAACCATCTGTATTGTTTACGGGCCTCATTTATTGCATCTTCTCTGCTGAAGTCGTCACTATCTTGGCACCATCGTCGGCATGTATTAGAAATTTAGTGGGATAAGGTGTGCTACTGTCTCTTGTTCACATAAGAGATAATAGGGGGGAGGGAGCTTCTTCTTTTAAATGACCAAGCTCTTCCTTCTCCCACCTTTTAGCAGTTTGTTAATATATCGTTATTTTGTAGGAAAGTGTTATCATATACAAAAAGAAACCTTGAATTGAAATCGAACGCCTACTTTCGAGCTACGTAACGCAAACACAAAATGACAATCCAATCGCATGAGGGAGGGGTTATCCTCCTGGCCGAAAAATGCCTCTTTCCCATCCGCAACGATGGCAACTCATCGGAAGACGCACCGAAAAAGAGATGGGGAGTTACAAAGTTGTCTTCCTGCACCCTGAGAAAAGCAGGAATTCTCAGGTCATGTTCTTGCTCCGCCTGTGAGAACCAGACAAGCAGCCTAGAACAGAAAGACCTCCTGTACTTTTTGGCCACTGTCTGGGCTCTTCTCCTCTGGGAATTTGCTGAGGTAGATACGGTGCAGATTGGCGTACACAATATATTCTCTTCGTCAGCCGGGAGCGTGAAGAAGCAACATATGAGATTATTAGCGACCTCGCGAAGTCAGACTAAAACAGTTAATGAACTGTTCAAGGCTGAGGGGTGGTCTGTCTATAATATGGACGAGCGCCATTACCCATATTTAATACGGGGATTGTACTTCAACATGGTGAGAAAAATGCGGTTGAACGGTCTTCCTAAAGGAGAACAAGGCGAAGAGGTATGCCTCCATCTCTCGCTTCCCAATATGAGCCTTGTGAAGAAGAATGACCGAATGAAAAACTCATTTTTACAGATCTGTGATATAACTTTGGTTCTCGATATTGACCAGAATGAATGTTTTCTTGTGTACAAAACAACAGTCACCTAGTATCATTTCTGGAAGAAGCCGATTGGTAATCACCAGCGTAGCCCAGAACAAATAGTCAAAGGTTGGAATAGCCAGACACTAATTCAGCCATTCGTTCCAACAACCCACCAAATCATCCACAAAATTTCCGTGGCCGAACCCAGCCACCTCGCTCTGCTGGCAGGCGATGGCACACTCACTTACACCGAACTGGACGCAATTTCGTCTCGGCTGGCCAGTCATCTGCAGACGCTGGGAGTGCGGCCAGGCATGTTTATTCCTGTATGTTTTAACAAAACATTATGGGCAATTGTGGCCATGCTCGCCATTAATAAAGCCGGCGCAGCCTTTGTGCCGTTGGATGCAGCACAACCGCTGAGTCGATTGAGGTTGATTGCGAAGCAACTGAATGCTCCTCCCATAGGACTAGCCTCGCCCGGAAATCAGACTCCACTGAATGAAGTTATCACTCCCACACTGGCAGTTTCAGAATCGACCGTGCCTGAGCTACCTGAGAATGTACCGCTCGGCGGATGGCCGATAGATGCAACAGCCCCTTCCTACTGTTTCTTCACATCGGGCAGTACTAGAAGCCTAAGGGGTGCCTGGTTGACCACGCAGCACTGACAAGCGTGGCATCCCACTGACGTGCTTTGCACCTCGACTCTAGCAGTCGAGTGCACCAATTTGCCTCGTTTAGCTTTGGGGTTTCTCTAATCGAAATTTGGTATACGCTCGCTGCAGGCGGCACTGTGTGTATTCCATCCGATTCGGACCGTGTGAGTCGTCTGGGAGATACCATCGAAGCAATGGGGATTAATTGGGCTTTCGTCACACCGACTGTATTAGGAACAATCCACCCCGACGCAGTCCCCGGCTTACGTTGCATCCTGGTGGCAGGAGAGCCGTTGAAGAAGGCCCAAATCTCCCTATGGGCGGAGCGCACCCACTTGTTCCAAGCGTATGGCTTTACGGAATGGGCTGGTGTGTGTTGTGTATCGCCACAGATCCACTCTATCGCAGACATCGGCAGCAATGCAGGCTCAGGACTTGTTTATACAGCGAGAAACTTTCCATTCGTACAATTGGACCATTAAGGACAGTTCCCTAGACATTGGTCGCATTCGCGCCGCGCGTCAAACCCTCGATCGGTATAGCATCCTCCGCACCTGCTTCGTGTAGCATGAGCGGCGTCCTCTTCAGATGATACTCGGAAACTTTACCGCCGAAATCCTTGAATTCTCCCGTTCTCAGGATGAAGATCCCTTGGACTTTAGCGAATCATTGTGGGATAGAACAGATTCGCCCAAGCTAGACGGTTTGGGAGTTATCTTGCCGTTTAGGTTCACTCTTGTATCTCGTCCATGGCAGCAGCATGTCGTTCTCACGCTTCATACTTCGCACGTCCAGTGGGATGGAATTTCTATCCCCCGGCTGTTCAGCGACTTCGCCTCCATCTTTAACCAAACACCTCTGCCGCCGACTACGGACTTTGCTCAATACTCGTACTACCGCGCGCACAAGTACAAAAAGAAAAGCATCCCGATTTCCAGTTTTGGCGCGAGTATCTTGACTGCGCGGAGATGGCGGTCTCATTCCCACCAAATGCAGAACCAGCAGCAGCAGAGCAATCAGATGAGTCCCTATGGACGGTCAAAGGAATCTCTCTGCCTCCCCAACTACCAGCAGGGGTAGCCATGGCCACATTAGTCAAATCAGCAAGTGCCTTCTTCCTCTCCCACCACCTTCGTCAACGAGATCTAGTCTTCGGACACACGACCAACGGCTGAAATCTAGCCATGGATAACATGGAATCGATGTTAGGATGCCGTCTCAATTTTATCCCTCTGCGAATCACCTTCCCTAAATCCCGTGCTGTGTGGACGGTCCGGGATCTTATGAACCACGTACAAAATCAATACATTCGCGCCCTACCGCATGAACATGTTGAGCTTCGCGAGATCTTTGAGCACAGCACAGATTGGCCTGCTGAGGCGCCGTTGAATTTTATTGTGCAGCATCAGAATATCGAGTTCAGTTACAAGCTCCCATTACGCAAATCCGTCGGCGTTAGAAACGGGGGTGAGAGTGATGATGATCTTCTTGATGTCGAGTTTTCCAGATTTGCTCGCTTTAAATCATTGAATGAGGTCTGGGTATTCACTGGGCCACATCCGGATAGACTGGAGGTCCAAATCTGTGGTAACTCTCGAGTTCTACCACAATACAAGGCTACAGACATGTCGGACAAGCTTTGCAGGATTATTGAGGCGATTGCTGCGAGCCCAGAGATGAAGTTGGAGGATATCATATTGTAGGTAGGATGTCTTGGATAAGGATAACAGCTTTTTGCATTTATTGGCGTTAGCAAAATTACTTATTTAGAGATATTATATAGCGATAGAAGATTCTAGAAATATACGGCCTCTGTTGAGGAAGGTTAGAATTAAGCTCCACCCACAAATCTGATTGGCTACCACACCGCCGCCACGCTAAAATCCCCTGATATTCCCGTGACCCACAACTTTATAATTTTGTTTTTTCACATCCACAATAGCCTGATACATATGAAATAATACTCCTCTAGAGTTCAATCAAATAGGCCGGGTGGTGTAGTTGGTTATCACGTTTCGTTAACATTTCAATATGTCCCGAAAAGGTCCTGGGATCGAACCCCAGCCTGGTCATTATTTTTTGGTGATTTTTTACATTCCTATATATAATTTTTATAGGAATTGGCTGTGTAGATGTCGCCGTTGAGGTTGGGAAGCTGCCAGTGTTGCCCGAGTACTAATCGGGGGGGAAGCGGTTTGTGCCACCTCAACTTGCATACGTTCACCGCTACTCCTTACCAAACAAAACCTTCGGCATTCCCCCCCATAGTAATTTATATAGTAATTAAATGTAATTCATTTAATGGAAGGGACTTCTCTATCAGATGCCTGTGAATGGCTTGCAGCAAATCCCTCTGAATCTGTAGCTGTTGCAAGTCGGATTTTTAAGATCCCAAGGTCGACTATACGGTCAAAAATCAGCCGCACAAGAACCACTAGAACCACCAGAACTACCCAAAATGGGGGTCAGAATAGGGTGCTTTCTACAGCTCAAACAGAAGCCCTAAAGGCCTGGATTCTAGAGCAGTATCACCTAGGATTAGGGGCTAATAGGCATATGGTTTACGGGGCAGTATGCCACCTACGTGTAATGGTGGGTGCACCAGATATGAGAATCTTGTAATGGTGGGTGCACCAGATATGAGAATCTAGCCACCCAAGGAAGGGATGAATTTACTAAGACAACACACTGTCTTAGGAAACAGAGCCAAAGGGTTGTAGCTTAGACTATTCCACAACGCAGCAATCAGGTGTATGATGTGGTGAAGTGGTTTAGACAAGTTGCAACAAATGTTGAGTCTGAGAACTCAGGGGTAAGTCAGAGGTTAGCACCTCACTGACTTTTCAAAAACAGAGAATAACAAGATCAATGCTTGGAAGCTTGGAAAAGACGTAGAAGTATGTGCTAGTCGATTTACTGTATTGCCTGCTTGCCCTTTCTTAAGGAAAGGGCAATCCTATTTATGCCAAAGGAGTGTAGTTCTCTCATTTTCCATGACTTTCCATGACTAACCAGGCTTGGTAAATGTATTAGAAATCAAGTGCAACCCACAACTAGCTTGCTAATCATGTAGTGAACGTAAGAGAATCCCATAGAACCATCTCTTGGGTTCCTAGCCTATAGGAAGTGAAAAGGAGGTCCAAGGTCAGAGTACCTATAGACAAATTATGTCATAACTTAACCAATCTTGTGGGTAACTAAGGAGCGATGACGTGTAATGAATCATAGAGGGTTGTAGAAGCTTCTAGAGCTATCGTTCATGTTCCTAGGCCTCTAGTTGGTAGAGATATGCCATGTGGTAGTATTGGCCCACCCCCTTAAGGAGGAGATTTTCTTAATAACTTGTTCAATGAGTGTCCAAATGATATGCCGTGATGTATGTAGCATAAACAGATGTAGTAGAAGGGTTTGCAGCAATCGTTGAGTAGTATTGCTTCTGTTATTGGTGTGATAAGCCAAGATATGTATGGTGACTTGTAGGTTTGAGGAGGAGATTTCTAAGTTTGCTCTTGAGTTTGATAGCAAACTGAGTGCAACGAATGTCAGTATGACACACTCGAGAGGAGCACACTTCTCTCACAGTTATACCCTTGTTGAGGGAGCGTTGTAAAAGGTCTGACTTGCAAAGGTGGTGTGTGTGTGTCGAGCTGACTGTCGAAAGCCAACTTTGAGGGGTTGCCTCGAGATCGTCCTGGAATCGACTTCAGGATAAGGTTTCTGGTTCTGGGGTTTCCAAAGAGTGGATTTCGATTTCGATTTCAGAAGAGGGTTCAGCTCAAAGAGCAGGAAAAGAGGTATAAGAGAGATTGAGTTTTATGTCACGGTTCACCAAGGCATAGGGCGCCAGTTGGGTATTATGAATTAAACTCAATCTAGAGAAGAAAGGAAAGAGAAGAGGAGCACTCGAGCAGTGGCTCGATCTATATACAGCTATGTTGTTGTGGAGTGAATTCTCTTTAGCGAGACCAGTTCTGAGAATTCACTCCACAACTGAAAACTTCACTCCAACTCCGGAAAGCTCCCCACACCCCTGAACCCTCACTCAAGCTGCAAGGCGCACTTGATATTGTAACAACGGGTATCTCGTCCGGATAATATAGAACATATGGTTCGGGAGCAGATAAAGCCTGGAGTGCTTCAAGGACTCTGGTATCCGGAAGCCCCTTGCTCTCAGTTTCAGTGCGGAAGAATACCTCTGCAATATGCTCTCTTGCAGTATCCGGCAGCAACACCTCTGCTAGAGTGGTGTAGATCGGAAAAGCTGTCAGAAATAGAGGTCTCTTTCACTTCCCTCCATGGCTTGAATCTGGCGTTGGACTTCTCTTGGTCCCACTTCTTGAAAAAAATCTGATCTGTACTTCCGATAGGCTTTCTCGTAAGCCCGCCTATAGTAGTTCTTGCGTTTGCTTATAGCACCTGCTAAACGCTTCTGCAGCACTGACCCCACACACTCCTTGTTTGCCACATTTTGAGAAATCTCACCCAAGACTTCTGACTCAATCGCTTCCAGGCATTTGTATTCTGGGTCGTTGATGATCTTCTGGTTCTCCGAATGTTGAAGGCAGCTTGGAGCGTGCGATTGTTTGTAGAAATTCATGCCCCGCAGTTTATGTAGACGCCCCATCTCTTGAGCTGCTTGTAAGAAGTGGTTCTGCGAGTCCACTTGGACTTCATCCGAGGCATAATATTCAGCAGATGTCTTAGTGGTGTGGTTTAACAACTTTGTGTACTCCTCGGCGGTGACTTCGCCAGCTATGGCGTTGGCTGTACCGCGCCGAAAGTTATATGGCCGAAGGACCGCTTGATAGCCAAGACGCTGGCCTAGCTGATTTGCTTGGTTTCGAAGGACATTGTATGTTATGGCTTTGGATGGGCTTATTGCACCTTTCGAGTACACACGGCAAACTGGAACTTCGAGCATGCTGTCCTTGATCTTGAGAGGCAAATGGCTAGTAAGCTCATCAATCTTTAGATAACCAAGTTGCCTTGGGTTTATGTCCTCAAAAGCGTGGTCCGCAAAGGCCAAACCGAGGAACATAGTGACAGGGCACTGCGCTCGACACTTGCGGTCCTTGTGGAGGGTCACAACAGTACATCTACCCTCTGTTAATCAGTGGCATAGAATAAGGGCTAATAAGGTACCTTTGTCCGTCCCTTCGCAAGCCGGAGCTTGACTGCTCCGGCTTGCGAAGGAAGTTCTGGACCGTCAGACCCATGAATTAAGAGCACTTCAAAATCCTTTGATGATACTTAGCATAGTTCAATGACTTGGAGATATTCTTACCTTGTATTTTAAGGAATCATTGTCATTGGCATAGGACGGGGGACCTACCCCGGCGCGAATGCGAGAGGGGCTGACCAGGAACACGACCGAGCAAGAGCAGTCGAAACAATCAACATATCCCTCATATCTACCGGAGTAAGGAAAAGATAAGCTTCGATGGACAAGCCGGACAAGCCGAAACCCTCGTTGATTCAGTGGGAAGTGTGCAAGCGAGGCACAGCGCGCAACACAAGCATTGATTGATCACGTTGGTGGGGGAGGCTAGTGCCTGTTTTGCAGGGTTTTGCAGGGTTTTGCAGGGGTTTTCAGGGTTTTGCAGGGTTTTGAAAGGGTTTTGCAGGGTTTTGCAGGGTTTTGAAAGGGTTTTCGAAGGTAGACAGGCGATGATCGGGAATCCCGTTCCTGACGCCGAACGGATGGTTGCGTCTGGTGCGGCCGATTGTGGCGCTCGTGGCGATCGTCTTTCAAATGAGGCATACCATCTCCATCAAAGCCATCAAAGCCATCAAGACCATCAAGGCCGTCAAGGCCATCACACCCGTCTGTCTCTCATCGAGTAGAGCCAAGCCCGGCGATAGCGTCGTGATGCACCGTTCTTGCGCCGCAATGCTGCAGCGCGCCTCGGCTGTTCTGGGCAAGTTGCGCTGGCGGACCGTGGCGCTCACCCTCGCCGTGCTGTCGGTCGGCCACTTTATCTTCATCGACGACACGCTGCGGAATGCATACTCGACGCACGTCGGGAAGCTGGGCGCGATCACCCCCACGACAACACCTTACATCTCAATACCCACCTCCGTCGCGCCCTTCTCCGCCGGCGACACCGCCGAGGACATCGCCATCTGCCTCTCCGTGAAAGACCAATACGCCGACCTAACGGAGTGGCTCACGCATCACTACCACCACCTCTCGATCCGCCGCTTCTACGTCATGGACGACGGCTCCTCGCCCGCGCTCGCAACCTACAACTACAGCGCCTTCGTCGACCCGAAGGCCATCACGCACCGTTACTACCACCCCGCGCTGCACCACCCCTACCAGCAGCTCGCCAGCTACTCTGACTGCTTGAAGCTGTTCGGCGACCGACACAAATGGATGGCCTTCATTGATGCCGACGAGTACCTCGAGGTGCAAGGCAACGAGACCCTGCACTCCATCCTCGCGCCCTACGATGACGACGACTCCGTCGGCGCCTTCGCTGTCAACTGGCAGATCCACACCAGCGGCGGCCTGCTCACCCGCCCCCAGAGTGCGCGGAAGGGTTTCAGGCGCTGCATCGAGGACCAGGACCCCAACCACAGCCCCGACGTCGGCACGGAGAACGAGCACATCAAAGTCATCGTCAAGCCGCTCCGCGCCGCGAAACCGGAGGTGCATAAGTTTGAACTGAAAAAGGGGGCTAGGACAGTGGGGGAGGATGGCGATACGGTGGATCGCTTGGCGTGGCGGGTGCCGATTACAAGAAGGAGGGTGGCGCTGCATCATTATGCGACGAGGAGCCGCGAGGAGTATGTGGCGAAGATGGAGAGAGGGAATGGGATGGGATCGCCGAAGGGGTGGGATTGGTGGGATTGGGTCGAAGCGATTCCGACGGTGGAGTGTGGTGAGATGGCTATGCTTGAGCCGTAGGAGTTCTATACGCCACTCGTTTAGGGGGCATTGTAGTAAACAAGCTGGCTCAAGGGGTTACAAGCGTGATGGGAACGTTCCTGACTGGATAATTTGCATAGCACAAAGGAATTCGTGGGAAATAAAACCAAAACAATTAACAAACAATCCTATTTGTCATCAGATCTAGAGTGCCTGCCCTTCAACTCGTTGCAATAGCGTACTTGAAGCGACCCGATGCTCCTCTCCCTCCCCGGGAAAGCATTGTTAAAAGCGAGGTGTATGTCTTTCCACCGTAAAGCCTTTGCTCTTCAGGCACATCAGCTTATCGTCTTCTTGCTCCTCATATCCCACGCTTTCTCTGCTTCTGCGGTCTGCGACCTCTTTGCATGAGATGCGCAAAGCCGTGGAGGAGCTGATCTTCCAAGAGGTTCCCTGCCAGACGTGGAATTTGATATGTGGAGACCGACTGATGGTCTGAACGAATCTGGAACATCTAGCAGCCTGACTCTAGGTTGTAAGTCGCCTCTCGTCCGATCCTCACGCACTTGAGAAAGCCCTGCAATGGATATTCTTGGTAATCCGTGCCTAGAATTGACTCCGCATCGGCTGGTGAACTCCGAGAAACTGTAGAACCTCGAGTAGTGCAGGTCTGTTCTTGGGCTACAGTGGATGAGCATTATCCTCATTATCCTCACTGTCCTTATGGTATGGATTGACGCGTCAGACTCTATGCGGCGCCGCTTTCGTTGTCTTGGAGGTCGCACATCCTCGTCCTCGTCATCTTCATTATCCTCATTATCCTCACTGTCCTTATGATATGGATTGACGTTGTGTGAGAGAGGGGCCACAACCGCGGTCTCGTCTTCCAACCCTTGGTGCTGAAGGCTGTCCTTTATTTGCTGGCAGTGGCTGGTTGGGCCTCATACCTGAGAGTATACCTTATGAAACCGCCTGACATGTTGCTAACTCTATCCGAATGGAATGTGGAAAGGGGGCTTAGGCTAAGTATCATCGATCCTATCCTGCAAACTGCGTATGTTGCTTCTCCTAGCAACAATCTCGTCAATCCATTCATTGATATCACAGTTCTGCACCGCGAGATCTAGGTCTCTCTGCAACTGACTTGAGTTGAAGATTTCCACCCAACCTGGCTCTAGTCTCGCCATCTCATCGAGAAAAACCCGTCGTAAGGTTGTAAGTTCATATTCCATCAAGTGATCCCAATAGAGGTCCGCCGGCACGCCGCTCGATTCGCGTTTGTATCTCGCTAGTTCAGGTCTCTTCTCTTGCGGTCGGCCTTCCAAAAACGAAGGATAATAGCACGCCTTCCACCGTGGCAGGGCGGAGACGCACTCCCAGTCCAGCACACCCGTTAGAGCGCCGCTGTCGTTAACAAGGATGTTGTGCTGAGGAAGGTCGTCGTGAAATAGCATAGAGGGCTCATCTTCCAGATGATCAACAGAGAATATTTGGCCCACAAGGGCCTTGAGCTTATTGACAATCTTAAGCGTCCGCTGTGCGTCATCTAGGGCATCCTCGTCATCAGTATCAATACCGTTCCTGTCCGAATATTTAGTCAACGTTGAGCGGCAGTCATGTTCGCTGAGCGCTAGGCGTGCATCCATCCAGTTCCTAGTCGAGGAGAAAGGCCCGCGGCACACATCCTGGTGTATATGATCACCGCAGAAAAAGTGCATGGACACAATACGGTCCACCTTGGGAAGCGATGCGGCGTAGATATTCCCAATACCGCTCAGCTGATTCTTGAAAAGACTGGATGAGTATTCGGCAAACCGCTTGGCAAGTCCTTCTTTAGCGGGGTAAGAGAGCGATCTCCACGCATCAGCCAGCGGCTTCCCAGGCAATTTGGTCATTAGAATCCATTCAAAACCGACAGGATTGGCACTACAAGCATCGTGAGAGACAACAGTAGGTACTGGGACATTCGTATTATAGCGCATCCATTCCATAGTCGCTACTTCGCTGAGTGATTTGTATCACGGGTCGACCGGTAAAGCCAGACGCAAGATGAGGGTTTGCTCATTCTTATGCATGGAAATTTCGTAGATCTTATTGAATGCTCCCTGTGAAAGAAATGATATGTTTATGGTGCCTATGGTGCCTGTCCCTTCCATCACACCGACCGACTTAACTATCTGCTTAGCAGCTTCAAGGTCAGGCTCGATGTAATGGTGGATGCACACAGATGTGAGAATCTAGCCACCCAAGGAAGGGATGAATTTACTAAGACAACACACTGTCTTAGGAAACAGAGCCAAAGGGTCGTAGCTTAGACTATTCCACAACGCAGCAATCAGGTGTGTGATGTAGTGAAGTGGTTCAGACAAGTTGCAACAAATGTTGAGTCTGGGAACTCAGGGGTAAGTCAGAGGTTAACACCTCACTGACTTTTCAGAAACAAGGAGTAACAAGATGAATGCTTGGAAGCTTGGAAAAGACGTGGAAGTATGTGATAGTTGATTTACTGTATTGTCTGCTTGCCCTTTCTTAAGGAAAGGGCAATCCTATTTATGCTAAAGGAATGTAGTTCTCTTATTTTCCAAGACTTTCCATGACTTACCAGGCTTGGTAACTGTAGTCGACAGAAGAGAATCCCATAGAACCATCTCCTAGGTTCCTAGCCTATAGGAAGTGAAAGGAGGTCCAAGGTCAGAGTACCCCTATAGACAGATTATGTCATAGACAAATTATGTCATAACATAACCAATCTTGTGGGTAACTAAAGAGCGATGACATGTAATGAATCATAGAGGTTCGTAGGAGCTTTTAGAGCTATCGTTCATGCTCCTAGGCCTCTAGTTGGTAGAGATATGTCATGTGTGTCATACTGACATTCGTTGCACTCAGTTTGCTATCAAACTCAAGAGCAAACTTGGAAATCTCCTCCTCAAACCTACAAGTCACTATACATATTTTGGCTTATCACACCAACAACAAGAGCAATACTACTCAACGATTGCTACAACCATCTATGATTCATTACACGTCATCGCTCCTTAGTTACTGGGCCGATATTACCACATAGCATATCTCTACAACCCTCTATGATTCATTACATGACATCACTCATACTACCACATGACATATCTCTACCAACTAGAGGCCTAGGAGCATGAACGATAGCTCTAAAAGCTCCTACGAACCTCTATGATTCATTACATGTCATCGCTCTTTAGTTACCCACAAGATTGGTTAAGTTATGACATAATTTGTCTATGACATAATTTGTCTATGACATAATTTGTCTATGACATAATTTGTCTATAGGGGTACTCTGACCTTGGACCTCCTTTTACTTCCTATAGGCTACGAACCTAAGAGATGGTTCTATGGGATTCTCTTACGTCGACTACAGTTACCAAGCCTGGTAAGTCATGGAAAGTCTTGGAAAATGAGAGAACTACACTCCTTTAGCATAAATAGGATTGCCCTTTCCTTAAGAAAGGGCAAGCAGACAATACAGTAAATCAACTATCACATACTTCCACGTCTTTTCCAAGCTTCCAAGCATTCATCTTGTTACTCCTTGTTTCTGAAAAGTCAGTGAGGTGTTAACCTCTGACTTACCCCTGAGTTCCCAGACTCAACATTTGTTGCAACTTGTCTGAACCACTTCACTACATCACACACCTGATTGCTGCGTTGTGGAATAGTCTAAGCTACAACCCTTTGGCTCTGTTTCCTAAGACAGTGTGTTGTCTTAGTAAAATCATCCCTTCCTTGGGTGGCTAGATTCTCACATCTGGTGCACCCACCATTACAATGTGGTAGTATGAGTGATGTCATGTAATGAATCATAGAGGGTTGTAGAGATATGCTATGTGGTCATATGGGCCCAGTAACTAAGGAGCAATGACATGTAATGAATCATAGAGGGTTGTAGCAATCGTTGAGTAGTATTGCTCTTGTTGTTGGTGTGACAAGCCAAAATATGTATAGTGACTTGTAGGTTTGAGGAGGAGATTTCCAAGTTTGCTCTTGAGTTTGATAGCAAACTGAGTGCAACGAATGTCAGTATGACACATTGGTGTCGAGATCAGGCCCATCGCCAAAGATGATCCTAGTCATACGATTGTCCTTGACGGAAACATTGTGCTCAAGGTCGTTGGCAGTGGTTGAAGCAGACTGTAGTCGGTCATTGGCAGAGAGAGACTCCATTATTCATAGGCAAATGTAAATGACGGCAGCTGCGACTGGTGTGCAGCAGGTGGGGAAACGGAGCATTTATGTCAGAAAGACAAAGGGCCTGGAACATGTTAGAGCTGAAAGAGAAGCGGACAGGCCTTTGACTACCAGCAGCAAATTGGGTGGTACCTAGTTAGAAGCAGCCCAGATGCACCGATGGTATTATAAGTACCACACGACCCAGGGCACACTCATTCCCACCACCCTCTTCCTCCCTCCAGCCTCCATTCTAGTCCACTCCCTTCAGCCCTCGATATGCAGCTGTTTTCGGAAGGAAGGATGTCATTGACTGCCTTTCTGCAATCACGTCCCTGCAATCATTGACCAGGAAAGCCTCGATGCCGCAATGCAGCGGTTGGGGAAGACGGCGGACGCCTTGCTGACTAATAATGAGGTGCCCGACTATCCCCTGCTCGAATTTCCGACCAGCTTCCATCTTGAGTGTCTCCACGGCTGGCACAGGGTCGAAGCTGGGCGGGAATTTTTCGATCCTGGGGACGATTGGTGGACGGTTGATCTGTACCTCTCAGGTAAAATCGAGGCTTTCTGAAAATACAGGGTCGTGCTAACATGTGACTACCTAGACCTGAATGTCGACCTGAAGACATGCCTCGTCGAAGAATACTCCAACGAGGAGAAGCCCTCAGATGGCGAGATCTACTACAAGATGTGGTGCTACCATTTCCAGCGGAATTTCAGCTTTGAAATGCGGTGGAAGGCGCGCCTGCGAGGCAAGCGGCAGCAGTACCTGCTGACACTCACCCGTAATGAAGCAATGACGGCGGCATTCGATGACTTGCTCGACATCCCGTTTGTATCCATGGTGTGCCCTTGACCCGATTGTAGAGTGTGTTTGAACTGAAGCAGGTACTGGTGGACACGAATTGAACGCCTTAACTTTATAATTCTCGCAGATGAAGCATAGGAACGACATAGTCGCCCCCCTATCGCATTGTTGGATAGCCCCTCGCACGTCGTCCACACCTTTAAATGCGCAGAACCTTATCTCGAGTAAGTGATAGGAATCTCGAGGGGGACGTTGTTGACTTACTTAGTCCACTTGCGCTATATGCCTCGGACGTTCTCTTTCGTGGCTTCAGATTTGGTGTTGAGCTCTTGTCCCATAACCCGGTAGTCCTCGGCGGTGCGCTTAGGCTTCTTTGGCTGTTGAGCATGCCTTGTTCGTTTCGTGACGAAACTTATCATGTTCTGCTTCGGAGTAGGCAGCTGCCGGTTGGCCATTCGTTGTTTGGTGGACATGATGGGCGACTCAACGATAGACTTGGGATAACAAAATAAACGCAGAGGTCCGCAGGCAGAGTCGTGGGGAGCCTGCCTTGAGGAGACGAAGATCTATCAGGCTGACTTGTTCGACGGCGTGAGAGGGCAAGCATTTTGGAAGAGGGAGGTGCTGGATGTGGGGGATCGCAAGGTATTTAAACAAGTGATCGGTCTGAGCGACCGGGTGTTCCACCGTGCGGTGGCCATCATGATCGTGTTGGCTAGTGGTCCCTTGGAACGAGCAGAAAAGAGAGAAATGGGAAGCAGAAAGTAGACCACAGCAACCAGGAACCAGGAACCGTTAAGGGTAACCGACATGGGGCTGTGACGCGAGTCATGTTCACGTGCCTTCGAGCGTGGAGGTAAAGGCTGCCACCTAGATGGGGACGGGCTGTTGTCGTTGTCGTCCTATTCTCATCGTCGTCGTCCTCTCACCAGCGTCACGGTTCTCTCCGCCACCATTCCCCGCATCACAGCTCGCCCCTCCACCGCCCCATCATCCCCTCATTAGCACAGCCATTTTCGACAGGTATCCAATGCCCCAAACTCCTCTTCAGACATATTACGCTATCTAAAGCCAACGTCATGAACATCTGAGACTCCGTGTCGGTGCCAACACCCATTGGGTTACATAGTCGAGCATCACATGTCCTTATTTGCACCTGCAAATATCAAGCATCTGCCCTGCGGTGGATGGTCGCACCTCTGCATCAAATGGATGGACCATTGTATAGACCGGGGATTGTAGTTCCTTGGTTGGTTCTTGCTTGGTGTTGTTGTCGTCGTCGTCTCCCTCTTCTCACCGCGCCCCTTTCTCACACCACCACCACCACCACCACAACCCTCTCTCACCTTCCCCCCCCCCCCCCCTCTCCACCGTCCCGACCCCTCACCATTAACCCCGGCAACTGCCTGCCGCCCCACCACCACCATACAATCAACCCCCCCCTTCTAAACACGCCCACCCACGCCCACCCAGTGGACCAGCGCCCTCTCACATGGTCTGCGGTAGGGTGTTCCTGTGTGGGCTGGCCAGAAGGCGTCGACAGCTGGGTTATATACCTACCCACCTACCTTACCTTACCATCAGCGTACCAGCGTACTTTGGTTTGAAATATCCCGAAGCTGCGGGGGGGAGGTGGGGGTGAAGGTGTGTGGTAGGTGGAAGGCGGTGTTGTGTTGTTGAGGGAAAGATTTAGTTTGATATGTGATGGAGATATTCAGGACACTCAGACGAAGCTCACAAGAAAAGGCAATAAGAAACAAAAAGTAGTAGTAGCGATCAAAAAAGTTTCGGTGTATATATTCTCAATATAGCCTCCCATAACTAATCTACCATCAGATCGTCCCCTTCCCTCTCTCTATCCATCTCCCATCTCAATCTCACCCCGAGATCCTCCTTTCCTTTCCTTTCATATATCATAACCCCCTCGATATTTTCCGTTCTCATCCGCTAGACACGCCGACGCATCCCATGGTATCTCTTCCTTAAATCCAACCCAGTCCCGCCATCATACAAAACACCGCGGACCCAAAAAACAACAAACGCGCAAGACATAACGGGCATAAACATCATAAACACATAACCCCAAATCACTCCATCAACTCCTCCAAATCCACATCCTCCCCCCTCTCCTCCCCCGTCGCCCCATGAAACCCCCCCGCCCTCCTGAGGGTCTGTACATCCAAATCCGTCACGTACCTCCCCCCCCCTTCCGGCCCTAGCGGGACGCGGACTTCAAAATCAGCATCCAACATCATATCATCCTTCCACAGCCTCCTCCCGCCATCAAACACACATAGGACGCGCTTCTTCATCTTCATCTGCGCCGCCGGACACCCCCAGCTGGAGGGGTAATCCTTGCGCTTCTTGCGACCGCCCTTGGGGTGCGTGAGCGCCACGCCACCTTTGGAGTGGGTTAGCCCGCGCTTGGCGCCCTTGCGACCAGCAGGGCGGGCGGAGTTCTCATCATCTTCGTCATTCGCAGCATCGTCTTCGCCGTCCTCGGCGTCGGAGAAGGATGTCTGATCAGGTGTGGTAGTAGGTAAATTCGACGCGCGGAGCGTCTCCAGGACCGCGCGATCGCCCGATACCTCAGCGAGACGCTCGGCGTTGATCGCCTCAGCGGGCTCTTCCTGCTGCACGAGGCGCAGGACGCAGTCGTCGAGGTGCTCGTAGAAGTCCTGCGCGCTGGGGAACATAGCGCCACAGGTGCTGCAGCGTCCCGTAGCGTCAGGCGCGTAGCCGACGGGGCGGCCGGTGGTGGTGGCGCTACCAGCTGCCGAAGTAGGGCCGGAAGAGGAGCCATTGCTCGTCTTGCGGCGGGAGTTAGGCGGGACCTGCTCGACGCAGTGGACGCCTGTGAGATGGCGTTTGAAGACGTCTGCGCGGTTAAATGATTTCTCAGCCGCGGACCCGGAGCCAGGGCAGAAGCCGCACACCATGGTGCCCTTGTAGTGAGTGAGGGTGTGGCGGTTCTTGTCGTACTTGCGCGCGAAGCCCTTGATGTGGTATTCGCAGGTGGTGATGGGGCATTTCTCGGGGCGCTCCGTCTGGTGCGTGAGCATGTGCGCCTTGAGGTCCTTGAAGGATTTGCCGCAGGTGGCGAAGGGGCAGTAGGTGCGTGGGGTTGAGGAGGAGGAGTCGGGGGAGTCGGGGGAGGCGGAGGCGATGGAGCCGCGGCGCGAGGGGTATGGGTAGGGCGCGTAGGATTGCATGTAGGGCGAGGCGGAGGACTTGACGCGCTTGGAGGATCGGGAGGACATTTCGGAGGGGCTGGGCGAGTGTGGTGGGTACATTGTCTGTTGGACGAACTCCTCTTGCGGCATTGGGCTCGGAATTGGGGCGCCGGTGTAGGAGTGGAGGATTGAGGGATCTGCAAGAGACGGGTTAGCAGCAGCTCGTGCAAAAGGCGGTGGACACTTCGATGGAGGAAACCGACCGGAATAGGTGACAGGAGACACGAAAAAGCCGCGAGTGGGCGAAAAGACGGGAGAAGAGATGGGATGAAGCTGATATGGAAGAGAAACCCCCGGAGGACCCTGCATGTGCCCCGCCACGTCAAGGGCAGAGGCCCGTCGCGAAGACAAAGGAGAAGAAGTACTCTGCGCGGACTGGAAGTGAAGACTGTCCCTCCGCGGAGGCGGAGACATGGCGGTCAATGGAGACGCGATGTTGATCGCGGTAGACTGCGCGAGGAGCGAATCGATAGGAGAGAGAGTAGAAGGAATTGGAGCACGAGGGGTAGATGCTGATGAAGCAGGAAGGCTCGCACACTCACCCACAAAGCCCATGGGCTTGTCCATATCCGCGAAAGCGAAATCGTGCTCGAGACTCGCGCCAAAGCTGAAGTCGTTGACGTAGCCGTAATCGCCGGCGATGGTGGGCGCGAGACCCAGCCCTTGGTGGGAGGCCCACTCGGGGATGGCGGAAGGGATCTGCGCATGGGTGGCGTAGGGCGAGCCGATGGCGGACGAGGCGGCAGAAGGTCCGGAGGCACTGGAGGGGTTGGAGGGTAGAGGGCAGCGAAGTTCAGGGGACCCGGCAGGGTAGAGGGTGGGTGATCCCTTGGCGAATTCCGCTGTCTCAGTCTTGCAGTGCTGTTCGGAAGCGAAGTTGGGACTCGCATAGGGATCCTGTGGTACCGTGGATCGCTGGAAGTTGTAAGCGACGAGCGCTGGGTCCATGTTGAAGGTCGAGAGGTTGTTCATGCTGATGAGTTCAGCAGCGTAGATGTGACTGTCGGTGAAGAGAGGGAAATCGGCTTCTTCGTATTGCTCGTTCATATTGTGCGCGGGGTTATAGTTTTGGTTGTGGAGAATGGCCGTCATGATTATTTATTATTGGGGTGGTGTTCTGCGGGTGGGCGAGGCTGTGCTGGTGAGGCTGCGCAGGCTAAGCAATACAGGGCATAGGTCAGCAACCAAACCAAATTCTCTGGTGCTCCCCCAATGAGATCATCTGCAGCGATGCGGGCGATGAACATACCTCGCTGGAATTGGAATTAAAGAATATTCTCGTCGGATGGTGTTTTGTGTGTTTTGGTGTTCGGCGAGGTGTTTTCTCGAGGTGGTGGTTTCGGGAGTTGGAGTCCAGGTACGTGGTAGTTGGAAGAGACAATCGACAGCGGAAGAGACAATCGACAGCGGAAGAGACAATCGACAGCGAAGAGACAATCGACAGCGGTGTTGGGAAGAGCTCAGATTACAGCGGGGGAAGAATTCGAAGCTGTGGGACGGATGGGCGAGAGTGAGCGGCGCGTCGGTATTATATTATTAGAGTGTTTTCGGAGACGCCGAGGTAGGTTGAAGCTGCTGATAGCGAGTGATGGTGGTCGTGATGATGGTCGTGATGATGGTAGGGATGGTATAAATTATATTGAGGTTGAGGTTGAGGGTGAGTGGTGAGAGAAAGAGCGACTCGAGCAAAGATGGGGAGGAGGGGAGGGTTGATATGTTTCTCATTTCTCATATTTTTATTTTTATTTCAGGTGCTTCTGTCTTGGGGGGGGGGGGAGTGTAGGGATGGTGGATTTGGATGGGGGTTGAGTTGACATTGACTTGGGGGGGGCTATGATGATGGTTGACAAGGATTTTGACCAGGGTTCTTGCGAGGGTCGGGGGGTCGGGGGGGTCGGGGGGTCGGGGGGTCGGTCGGGGGGTCGGTCGGGGGGTCGGGGGTCGGTCGGGGGGTCGGTCGGGGGTTGCAAGATTAGAGATGCATGGGGTACGGAGTACGTGAGGAAGAGGGAGAGGGAGAGGAAGAGGAAGAGGATAGGGAAGGATAGGGAAGGATAGGGAAGGATAGAGAAGGATGGGGTGCATTACAGAGGGACAATAACCCAAGAGATGCAGAGTACAAGAGAGAGTGGCATCAAGGATAACTCTGGTGGTGTACACCCCTGTATACAGAATGTCATGTGGGGTGTGTCTCGCTGGTCAGGTCTGGGACGGTTGTACTGGGAGTCTACTACTGTTACTCGAAAGAGAGAAGATTGAATTGAACTGTGTGTATTAATTGATTGTGTGTATTAATGGATTGTGTTATTGCGTGTATTAATTGATTGTGTTGATTGGGTTGATTGGGTTGATCGTGTTGATCGTGTTGATCGTGTTGATCGTGTTGATCGTGTTGATCGTGCTGATCATGTTGATCGTGCTGATCGAATTCAACCTCTGTATAATCCCATTGTATCCAATTGTATCCATCAAATCAATCATATCCATCGTCCACTCTCAACCACGCCAACTGTCTTATTAACATACACCCCATACACCCCATACACCCCATCCCACCCAGTACCACCAACCCCACCCACCACCCACCAGACAGACAGACAGACAGACAGACAGACAGACAGACAGACAGACAGAACAGGACGGCGTCACACACCTACATCCCCTCCTAGTACATAGTAAGTAGTACAGCATATTGACAATTTCCCAATCCCCCCCCTCCCCAGCCAACCACGGGCCGCAGACATGGTTCGGACAAGGTTACCGCTCCAACTCTGTCCCTTCCACCCATCCACTCTGTCCCTTCCACCGCACGCCCGAAGCGAGGCGAGACGAGGCGGATTCCGTGCTTGGTAGGTGCTTTGGTTTGCTTTGGGCCAGGAAAGACACGGCTGTTTTGGGAATGGGGTGGGCAGGGGTAAGGGGGGAGGGAGAGGGAGGGGGAGACGGGAGGGGGAGGGGGAGACGGGGGAGGGAGGGGGGAGGGGGAGGGAGAGACGGGGAGAGGAGAGGCTAATGATGGGTCGGGGATGGGATGGGCGGGTAGGGAGGGCGCTAGGGGGGAGGGGGAGGGAGGGATGTAGGACGGTAGGGGGAGGGATGTAGTAGGACGGTAGGGGGAGGGATGTAGTAGGACGGTAGGGGGAGGGATGTACTCTGTAGTAGGACCGACATACCACCATCCCACACCAAGCCGTACCACCCACCCACCACCCCACCGCCTCTACGCCGCGCCGACGCTCACCCTCCCCTCCCCTTCCCCAAGACAAGCCCTGCGAGACAACGCCGAAAGAAATCCCATCCAATGCAGGACGGTCGTTTTGTGTCGCCTGTTCGCATTCTGCCTTTGTCGTACAGTATACTCGTTTGTCGTATAGTATACTGTTTGTCGTACAGTATACTGTTTGTCGTATAGTATACTGTTTGTCGTACAGTATACTGTTTGTCGTACAGTATACTCGTTTGTCGTACAGTATACTGTTTGTCGTACAGTATACTCGTTTGTCGTACAGTATACTGTTTGTCGTACAGTATACTCGTTTGTCGTACAGTATACTGTTTGTCGTACAGTATACTCGGTACAGTATACTCGTTCGGGCGTCAGTACCTTCCTATCCACCACCACCACCACCTAAACTCTAATTAATATACATCTCTCCCCTCCCCGTATCCCCCCCTTCCGGCATAGTTAAACGAACAACTCATCACCCCACCCCCCGTCCCCCTGCAAACCCTGCAAACCCTGCAAACCCTGCAAACCCTGCAAACCCTGCAAACCCTGCAAACCCTACCAACCCGCCCCTCCCCCCGCTACATCCCACCCACCCACTTATCCCACCTATCCCATGGAGCTGGATGGAGCTGGATGGATGCGCGCCGGGGCACCCACATCCCGGTGAGCCCCTGCCTGCCCTGCCCTGCCCTGCCTGCCCTGCCCTGCCCTGCCCTGCCCTGCAGATTCTCCGTAAAGGGGTACGTACTGTACCGCAGTAGTTGGAGTTTTGTCACCGGCTGATGTATCGATCGAACGCCAAGGCCGGTGGAGAGACGAGTCTGATGAGACGGTACGGAGACGACATGGACGGCTGGCTGTTGAGACCCCTTCTTCCCTTCCCTTCCCGAGGATTGGGCGGTGGGCGGTGGGCGGTGGGCGGTGGGCGGTAGTGACAGGTGAGATAACTTGGATTCGGCAGCACCCTCACCACCGCTGGCCGTCCGTCTTGAGATACAGCAGTCCGTCCGTGATTAGCACCCTACCGCGTCAGTATGCACGTCACACCAGGCACCCATCGCGCCGTCCATCGCGTCGTCCATCCCCTAACAAAGCCTAGCGAAATAACTCGACACATCCACACCATGGCACTGGAAATCCTGTGGATTAAACAGGGAAGTATTTACAATAGAGTAGTTGGGCGAACCCCCCGACCTCCACCCTCCCAGTCCACTCCGGTCCAGCCACCAATCTCCGCCACACACTCACACACCCCACACACCCACCACCCATCCACACAGCCCTACGACCCCACCCCTCCAATCCCTCCAATCCCCTTCCTTCCCGCTCCCCCCGCCCGTAAAGAAGTTGGTGCGCGTAGGTTTGTGGCTTGATCGGGTTAGGTTTGCGGTACCCAGCCACAATGCGATCGCACACTCCGAGATGACGATGACGGGTGGGAGGGGAGCTAGGACGGATGGGGGTGCATCTGTATTGTGTTATGGGTTGTGCCGGTGATGATTGAGGTGAGTGAGATGTTTTGCACCATCTGACCCGACCCGGCCGTACAGTCTCCACACCGCATCGCATCCATGTCTCACACCCGACACCCTACCCCCTCCCATCCGTCTCGGATCCCTTGGTGCACCCATCCCATGCAATCCCACCATCTCCACTCCATACCGGTCAGTAAGGGATCCGTCAGTAGGGGATCCGTCAGCAAGGGGTCGGTCGCAAGGGATCCCCGCTGCTAACTTCCCTTGCACGGATGGTGATGGTGGGATGGTATGTAGTCTCGGTGTCGGTGGTGGTCAGAGCCTCCCAGCGCACAGACAGACATGGACACGAAACGGCACAACCTTCGTCCGTGCGGTTCGTGGGATGAGTCCTATTCCGGACAGCGAGAGTGTGGCAGGGGGCGGCGGGACGCTAGTTAGAGGGCCGACGCTAGTTAGAGGGCCAGGGAAAGGGTGGGAAAGGGTGGGAAAGGGTGGGAAAGGGTGGGAAAGGGTGGGAAAGGGTGGGAAATAGTGGGAAATAGTGGGAAAGGGTAGGGAAATAGTGGGAAAGGGTAGGGAAAGGGTAACCAAAATAGAAGTTTGGCGGCGGCGATATAGAACTGCCGACCGGTCGGATAAGGGATGGGGGCGGAGACTCCTCTGGTTCGACTTTGAAACACACATTCGTACAGACCGGCGAGCAAAAAAGGGAAGGAGGGACAGTCTCATCCTCATCTCATCCTACCCCGTATGCCCCACCCCATCCATCCCACGTTCCAGACCAACCGGCGACCGACGGGGGACGACGGGAGCGTACCTGCCTCTGTGCTCCCTCGTACTCGGGGATGGGGATGACGACGAGGAGGATGCGACTCCTCGTCACCTACCTCCGCACACACAGCGATCCCCCGAGCCGTGACACCATCGTATTATCCCCATCCCCATCCCATCCCCCGCCCCGTCCGTCCCTCCTCCCTCGCACAGTATCAAAAGTCCACAAAGCAGGCACCAACCCACACCCACCCGCTCGTCGCACAGGACACAGCCCTACGACACATGCCATGCCATGCCATGCCATGCCATGCCATGCGCCCGGCTATCTTCGCGCTACCTCCCCCCCCCGATTCCACAAACCCAATATACCAACATACATAATAGTACTGTTATAATAGGAGGAGGATCAGAGGAGAGTGGTTACCCTACCACCATTCGTCCGCATGCCCCCTCCCCTCCCGTTAGCGCGCGGAGTCGCCGGTGCTGTGGTGGTCTGGTCGATACTGTGCTTACCGCTGCGGTGAGATTGCAAACTGATGTAAGAAAGATACGATACATACATCTATACACCACAGAATAGATGAGGGTTCATGGTGTCATGGCTGCCTGCCGTGTCCGCCGGTGCTGTGCGCTACGGTGTGTATCATACTGTACCATCGAAACCGCAGCGGCAGCCCCGAGTAGGCGATTCTTAGCGGTGTGTGCCTTCCTTACCAGTCGGGGATGACTGACAGATGCAGTGGTGTGGACTTCTATGCATACACGGGGCCTCACAACGGAATGTACAGCATCGACGACGAGGGTAGGGAGGGGGGGGGGGTTATCGAGAACGAGAAGGGGGACACAAGCGACGAGAGCGCGTGGACGCCATGTGCGTTCGTTCGTCTTGGTGTTGTGTTGGTATTCCCTCCCGTTCGTTCGTTCGTACGATGCCATGCCATGCGATGCGCTTGATTGTGTTCATGTCGAGGCCTTGGATGCGAGATGCGATGTAAGGGTTGTACAACACCACTATATTGTTCCCTTGGCGGTGGATTCGTTCTGCGACTCACGGCTGCGGGTGCGGTAGGACGGGTGATCGCGCCTGTCGGGGCGCCCGAGGGCCAGTGCCAGTGGGCCAGTGGATGCCGGTCGCGGGTGTGTAGAGATGGCTGGTGAGATGATCTAATCTTAGGGTGTTAGCCAATAGGGCCTCATATGTGCTGTTTTCGGCGATATGGAGTGTAAGCCCGTAAAAGAACGTATAAAAAGAGCGTACCGTAAAAGAGAGAGGGCGTTTCATCATTGATGTACGGAGTACTAAGTACACCCCCTCCCAGCCCTATGAGGCCCAAACGCATGTAGTCCAATCATCAGCCAAACCCCCTTTTTAACACACTCCTAAGCAAACCATAGTAGACCGGACAGGGTAGCCCTATGAAACGGGTTCGAGGGCAGGCATCTCCTTACTCGTGCATACGATGAACGGAAAGGGCCGGTAAGCACCCCTTTTGCCCTTATCTCTTTGTCTGCGGGCCAGTCGTTGATATCTCCCTACCCGTACCCACCACCACCTCAGCCCTACAACACTCCACCACTTTAGTCCAAATAACCCGCCCCTCCTCTCATCCAACCCCTCCCCCTCCGCATTTCACACTTCCTCCTGCTCATTTCTCACCCGTCCCCACGTTCCCTACTCAAGGCATAAGCAACGCGGTAAGCTTAATCACTCACCCACCCGCGCACCAGCCGGTGTCTTCCGCCGGTGTCGAGCACGTCGGCCATCATCCACCGCCGCCGCCTCCCCTAGGCTTTGCTGTCCACCATCCACTGTCCAGTAGCCAACTAACCAACCACTGACCCGCGCCAGCACGACCACCCCCACGGCAACCTCCCTCTCCCTTCCCGCGTCTCGTCCTACGCACTCGGTCGCTGTGCCGTCTGGACTCGCTGGCTCTTGAGACGGGATGGGATGGGATGGGATGGGTTGTGGATGGGATGAGGTGGGTTGTGCGACGGATTGAGATGGGATGGATGGATGGGAGATGCCAGCACGCCACTTGTGGCGTGCTGATGGATGGTCCGGTCAGGTGGGCGTGGGGGCTAAGGGGTTGGGGCCTGGAGCTGGGTGCTGGGCGCTGGGGGATGGCGGAGCGGGATAGGGGATGCACTGCGCTGCCATGTGATGCGATGTGATGCACGATGGATGGTGGCTTTCGTATTATGTACTGCGCTGCCCTGCACTGCACCGCGCTGCTGCACAATAATGCCGCGCGGACAGCGTGCGGCTCTGCTCTGGCAGTGGGCGTGCTGCTCTCTTACCCCTATCCCATCACTCCTCAACAACCACCCCCTCCACCCTCCCCACCCACTCCCCCCCAACCGCCAAATTCTCCCCCGCCGCCAGCGCCCTAACCACCATCCCCTCCCTCCTCTCCCTCCCCACCCTCCTCAACGCACTCTCCAAAAACCCGCCGAAAACACTAACACTCCACCCCTCCGGCGCCAGCCCCAGCACCTCCATGACATCAAACCACCCCCCAAACCGTCCTAGTAGCACTCCCGTCATCTCAACCCTCTCTGCCACGTCTTCGATTCCCAAAAATTCGCCCAGTAACCCCCTGAATAACCGCCGCTGCTCTTCCACTCCGCCTGCGGAACCTTGTAGCGCCCCGGAGACAGGATGATACGTCCCCCCGCCACCAAACAGCGCGTATCGAATCGCACCATCATAGTCCCCCAGACCCCTAACCAGCAACCTCAACGCATCCTCATGCGCCCCCCGCCGCGAACACAACACAATCATCTCCAACACCAGCGCGTCCGCCAGCGGCTCAACACGCTCCCTCACAGCATCGACATCGTAATCCGCCCCCTCCGCCCCTAAAAGCTGAAGCATTCGCACCCGTGCCCCCCACCACGGCTCCTCCGCCAGCTCAGAATGGTACTCCGCCATCCACGCGCGGAACGGGGGTTTCGGCGTCGGCAACGCGCGGTAAGTTTCGTACCCTCCCCTAAGTGCCTCACGTGCAGCACGGTCGTCGTGCACGTGCCCGAGCACGACGTCGAGGTAGTGCCCGAGCAGCTCGTCGCCGTGCTGTGGCATGTCGCGCGCGAAGACGAGGTGTTCGAGGTAGGCTGTTACGGCGTTTGGGGCGCGGTCGCGGAGCATGGATACTACCTCAGCAGGGGGGAAGGAGACGCGAGCGCGTGGGTCGGCGAAGACTTGGATTCCCAGCTGCGGGTTCCGCGATGCAAGCCAGAGGCCGAACTCCTGGACCAGCGCGGGGTTGCGGATGATGGCCAAGTACTCCCTGACGCGGATCTCGCCGTCCACGAACTCTGCGCCGTCGTCGCGGGCGCCGTCGATGATGCGTCGCCAGGTGGCGAGGACCTCAGCGGCGAGCTTGCGGGATTGGTAGAGTCGGCTCAGGATGTAGAGGCGATGATGCGACTCCAGCAGTGCGACGGCGCGGGAGAAGCAGTCGACGCCGTGGTCAACGAGGTCGTTGAGATCGGCGCGGGTGGAGCCGGGGAGGGCGGGGCCGGGGGGCGAGGAGGCGTCGAGGCGGAGGAGGACGAGGAGGAGGGAGGCGTCGACGGTGCGGAAGACGTCATTCTCGGAGGCGATGCTGCCGAAGCCTTTGCGCTCGCGCCAGGCGCTTAGAAAGCGCTGGTAGAATTGGAGGGAGTGAGATGATGCGGGCTCGGTGCGGTCGCTGGGGGGGGGTTCTTGTGAGATGAAGGTGGAGGCAATGTGGGCGATGCCGGTGGGGATCCAGATCCCAGTTTTGCCTTCAACTATCTCGCTGCGCAGTTCGGCGTTGAGAGCTATGACGACGCGTGGGTCGAGACCACCTTCTAGGAGCGCTTCTTCGGCGCCGCGGTACTCGGCTTCGGTGGGGGCTTCGTCGCGGCGGAGGAGGTTGGTGAGGAGGAGGAGTCCGGCGCGTTGGCGGATGTAGCCTAGACTCATGAATTCAATTTCTGTCCTAGCTTCTCGTCCTCGGATCGTGTTGATCACTCCAGTTATGGCTGTAGCATACTCCTCTGGCGTCGCCGCTTTCTTCCCGTCTGCTTCAAGAGCAGCGTCTAGCTGCAGCGCCAGAGGATTCCGCGCCACCCACCATATCTTATCCCCAGCCCATACAACAACACGGCTCTTTGCTCGGCCGAGTCGCTGAGAAAACTGGAGCTCCTCTTCATTGCGGTCTGCTTCCCACTCAGAAGGTAACGGGGTGTCGCCCTGTACATCCTGCGACTCGAAGAGCTCGCGTTCCTTTGACACGCGCTCCAGGGAAGCCGCCGTACGAGAGTCCGTACTCTGGACGGACACGCTGGACGACCCCGATGAAGGGAAGGGCCTGAAACGCATTGAGCGCAGGCTCTTGGCCACTTCGTTGAAACTCAGGTCTCCAGGCTCGGTGACTGTGCGGATCCCAACTCTAGCCTTGCCGCTATCTGGTGTGGCATCAGGGAGTTGGAGCCAGAATTTCTGATGCGCATTTTCGGCGCTGTCTATATCCCATCGCTGTATCTCGAGGCCGTAATGTGTTTCTTCCTCATCCCCTTGGCTTATGACTGCCAGGATGTACCCCTCTTCCTCCTCCTCTGCATTGCTTTGCGATAGTTCTGTGCCCACCCCACGCCCGTCTGTGACTAGAGCTTCTGGGTAGCGGGAGAATTCGAGTGCAGATCTCGAGATATCGCCTTCTAGATTGACAAATAACCCCAGACCAGGATCTGTGGTGCCGGTGCCAGTTACAAGTAAAAATTCTTGCGGAGATGGTGAGATTATATGTGGTTTAAGAGATCCGGTGGGAATGATCATAGACGCTCTCTTCGAGCCTGCATCACGCATAGATGGCGGCTCTGGTAGGGGTTTATCTGCCCGAACTGGACTCTTTCCTGGACTCGACTCCCTTTGGGTTTCTCCGCTGGGACGTAAGGACGGCGCTGGTGACGATTCGCGGAATATAGGGTCAACCGTCTCTCTCGACCTATCTTGGCTCGGCTGTCGATTTCCTCCACCCATAAATGTACCTAAGCTAGTGCTCCTGCTATGGCCGCGGGGTTCTAACTGCGGCGGAGTTTGTCCCGTACTTGAGGTGCTCCTATGCGTCCGCGTGGTGGTCTGGCCTGATATATCTTCCGCCTTGCCGCCGACGGTGCCAGATTGCGAGTCGTCGAGAGACGATATCGGGAAGAGGGGTATTTTCAGCTGTCTGTCCACGTCCAATAGCGCATAAGACCTAGAATCGGCGACGCATGCAAAGGAATCGCGCCTAGCGGTTATAGTACACCCTGCAAAGTCAATTGACTTGACCTGCCTGGCTTCCTCGCCGATACGAACGCTTCGTATTTTCCGCTTCAGCGATAAGAGCACCATGACCGGGAGGATCTTGTCGCCCTGTGTGTTGTCATCTTGGCTCTTGTTTAGATCCAAGCCGCCAATCCAATTACTGCCTGGAACTTTCTGGTTTCCGAATACTGGACTGAGTTCTGGCAACGAGTAGAATGTTACTGTCGAGTTGCATAGTACGCAAGCCTTGTTGGCTGCGGGGAGGAGGAGGATTTGTTGCACACCCGGACGCTCCGGAGTCGACGTTTCTGAATACGCCAGACAGAGCCTCGACGCCAGTATATATGATGGAGCATCGGAATCGTCGGAGGGGTCGGGAGGTATTTGTACAAAGTGTAGAATCTCGGAGGCGGATGTTCCAACATACAAGTTGCTCTCTGCAGCCAGTTAACCCACAGCACAAGCACGGATGGCTTCGAAGAGGAATTCTATCCAGATGTCTTATAACACATACCCCAGTATTCAACACAATTGATCACAATGTCTTCCCTGTCTCCATCTGCAGACAATGGCACATCTTCCAGCAATGTCTTGAGTACATATGGTCCCCGTTCCACCACCCCGCTCCGTGCGTTTTCGGGAGCTACCTGATCCTGATCGGACATTGTATGGCAGCTCTTAGCTACTCATTTAAATCCGTTATCGCTTCATGACGCTTGCATTCGATTGCGAAGTGGCACCTTGAGAGGTGAGGTTGGAGCTGTTGGAAGCCTAGGCGATGGGGAACAGCTTGTGGACCCTCAGCCTTGCGACGCCGTTCCTTGGCGCATGGCGAACATCGTCGGCGGCACCACGTTCGCAATCTCCCCAGCAACAATCTCATGCATTACGGGAAATAACATTCATCTGAGTATAAGTACTTACAACTGGAATCACCTACGTACATTCGACAGGCTCTTACTATCGTGGCTGGCGCACAAAACCATGGCCGACGCCGAGGGTACCGGCCCAGGAGAGGCACAGCAACCCAACCAAGCGCCAGAACCGACGAAGGCAGCTTCTGGCCAGGCGCCACTTGGAGATGAAAACAAATTCCAGCAAGCCATTTCAGCATGGAGGAGTAAGAAAACGATTGACACCATTACGGATGATGAGAGCTAACAGACGCTGTAGAGATTGACCTGACAACCTTGGTCCCCACACTCGACAATACAGCTTCAGAGATTATCACATACCAGCGCGATTCGACGGTTCAACGAAAAGACCTGGCGCAGAAGACCAAAGACTTTAGGAAGCTCGATGATTCGGCTAAGCTGGGTGAATTCAAAGGGTTGTTGAAAGGTAAGTCATATACGTGTCCATGTCCGTGCATGTGTTAACGTCGCCCCAGCATATCAAACATTCATCGACCTCCTCACGAATCACTCGAAATCTACTAATTCGGCATTTTTGCAAATTTACTCGTCCCTGTCGGAAGCGCCAGATCCATACCCGCTGCTAGAGGCTTCCGTCGACTCTCTCCTACTCTCAGAGGACACCTTGCCCAAGATCACATCGGAGAATGAGCATCTCCAGAAGAACGTCACCAAGCTATCTTCTCAGCTGGAGGAGGCAGAATCACGGCTAGAGAGTGAACGCAATTCCAAGAAGACGCTGGAGGAGAAGTTGGACACAAAGGTTAAGGAGGTTGAAGTTTCGTGGGCTGCGGTACTGGAAGAGAAGAAGGATAACTGGGAGGCCAAGGAGAAGGCGCTGGAGGAGAAGGTGCAAAATCAAGAGCGCTTGCTGAAGGAGATTAAGGCTACGTACGAGGTCTCGCAGAGACTTGGACAAGGCGAAGATGGCGAGGAGGGTCAAGGTCATGTCACCAATGCTGAATTGGAGATCGTAAACTCCGATTTGGAGCGCACAAGCCTTCGCCTGGCCGAGGTAGAGGCGCGGAACGAGCAGCTTCGCATCGAACTGGCCCAAACAGCGTCGTCAACACCAAGTCAGCCTGCTCTTGTCGTTGAGGACGAACCCGCTTATATCCGCCTTCGATCCGAAAACTCGTCTCTGTTGAGCAAGCTTGATGCCGCAAGGATTGAAAGAGACTCCAAGAAGCGAGACCTGGATGTGAAACTACGCTCTCTCGAAAGAGAGATTGGCCTGCTCAAGGAGGACAGGGATACTCTGAGGGAGAAGGTGAAGAAATGGAACGATTACGACGAGGTAAAGCAGGAGCTCGAGGTGTTGAAGAGCATTGAGTTTTCGACTGGTGACGACGACGACGAGACCGTTGAGACTACCAACGGCGGTGATTCGGCTTCTAAGTCAAAGGGTGCTACGTTGGAACAGCTCCTATTGGCGCGCAATAAGAAGCTCGGTGACGAATTAACAATCTTGAGAGTCTCACATCAAGACCTCCAGAGCCGTCTCCAAACCATGCAAAGAGAGCTGGATAGCGCTACTGCCGATCTTGAGACTGCACAGAATCTCAATGCTACTTTGGAGAATGACCTCGCAACGGTCCAACAAGAGTCCTCCAATGCGTTCCCATCCGGCGCTTCGGTGGCCGGAACATATAAATCACATTACCCTCAATCCCACGCCCCTTCCGCCTTCCAAAGCCGTCGTGGCCGTGTCTCACCGACATCGTCCATTATATCCGGTTTGGATCCTCGCTCCTCAATTACCGAATTATCGGGCGGCTCGGGCATCCTCCCGATGGTAACTGCGCAACGAGACCGCTTCAAGAAGCTCAACTCTCAGCTCTCAAACGAGGTCTCAGAAGCGCACAGGACCGTCACATCCCTGCGCTCCGAGATCGCCTCCCTCCAGAAGGACAACCTCAACCTCTACGAGAAGACGCGCTACATCTCCTCGTACAACCGCACCGGTTCCTCTGCCGTCTCGAACGCCCCCCAGCAGTCCACCGTCCCCTTCTCCCCCTCTTCGCCACAGGGCGATACGCTCGGACGCTACCGCTCAGCGTATGAGTCCAATATCAGTCCCTTTGCGCAGTTCCGGGGCCGCGAGAGCGCGCGCGCGTATAAGCGTATGAGCCTACCCGAACGAGTCGTGTTCAGCATCACGCGTATGGTGCTGTCCACGCGGACGAGCCGGAATATGTTTGCGGCGTACTGCGTGGCGTTGCATATGTTGGTATTTCTAAGTCTGTATTGGGCAGGATTAGGGGGTGGGTCGTCGTCGACAGTGTCGACGGTGACGGTGGGTGGGCTGGGGGCAGCAGGCAAACTGGCGGAAGAAGGGCAGGACAAGGCGTGGGAGATGGATGAGTAGGTGTATTGATATATTATTTTCACTGGTGGCGTTGGCATGCAGGCGAGACGGGCGACAGCCGTCGTGAAGGAGAGCATTGATGCGTATTAGCTAGTCGAGATATATTTGTATAATACTCTCTAATACCACATTCATGGAGGCAGATATTGTATTTGTGTTCTGAGATTGCATATCGCGAGAAAGAGAGAGTGGCTCGTGATCCCCCAGTCCCTATAATGGAATGGACTTGGGCGTCCAAGAGGGAAGAGGATGGAAGGGGCAATCTGGTGTATCCAGGGAGGGATTCAGAACACGAGCATGGCTGTTTGTGCTTTGCCAAATGTGCACGTTGAAGTATACCATTACGAGATCTGCGGGCCTACGCATCACCAAATCCTATCACCCATAACCCGAATGAGCACATCGCGGAGCTGTCGACAGCGAATCCGGGCATAACTACGCAATGCTAAACAAGACGACGCGCTTCCGATTCCTCACTCTGTGTGAGGGGAGGGGGGGAGAATATGGGGGTTGAGGTGTAGCTATGGGGGATAGCGATGAGAGGAGGAAGATGACAGTGAGAATGAGAACGGCGATGAGAGGATGGTGATGGTGAGAATCGCGGCGACGACGACAACGACAACAACCCCCCACGGCTTACCGTTCTTTACCTCAGCTACAGACACACACACCCAGGACTGCCAGTGAGCCCTTGCCCCATTCGCTTGTAACAGTATTGACCCAAAGACGAGATAAACGCAGTCTTGTATTGATCAACACGGGCTATTTAAACGGCTTAATAACCACGGATGCCGTCCGCTGCACTGAGAACCGTGCAGAGATCGAGGATCCCTGGGATATGGCGGCGAATTTTTTGGTCTCTGGGTGTGGGCACTATTGTTGACGAAGAAGTATGTGGGTAAGATTGGGGGGGGGTATGGGTCTGTTGTTGATGAAGAGGTGGGTGGGAAGGGGTAGGGGGAATATGACGGCGACAACATTCGCCCGCCCAACATCGAATCCACGCACCCTATATCGTGGATAAATTCAAACGCTTGATTAGCTCCATCTGCAGACGCGCCCACTAGGCATTGGAGATCTTTGTTTTGTTGATGGTGGGAGGATTCTGGTGTCTGCTTCAAGGCATTTATAACCATAACCCCCCTCCATCATCCAGTGATGTGATAGTCATATTTCTCACTATCACATCACTCAGCACCAGCAAATAGTGTGAGCACGTAGAGATAGATAGATTAAACTACCCTCCACTACCCCTCCTTCCCACTCTCCCACCCACCCATCTCACCCATTCACAACGAAAAACTTCCTTAAGATTTTCCTAAACACCCAAAAACCAGAGCGCGCCTATCCCAAACGTAAGCAAGAAATGCCACGCAAAACAATGCGGTGCAAAATGAAAAATACCCCCCTCCGGGTCACCCCGCCCCGCCGGGCTGGGGACGAAAGCTAATATACAGTCCTAGAAGGATAAAAATCGGTCATATCCGTCTGGTCAACCCATCCCCCTCACGACGCCAGAGCATCCTGCTCCACCTCACTAGGCGGCAAATGCGTCTCCTGCGCCACCGGCACCCCATCCTTCTCCCACGCTGCGCCTGGCCCCCCATAACTCGGCTCCTCAAACGCCTCTAAGCTCCCCCTCACTGGATTCGACGGCCTGCGCTGAAGATCTGCCACTGGGCTCGACACCACCACGCCCTCCGAGCCAAACGGCAGCGGCCGCTGCGGAATGTCCTTCCCCGCCCCTCCCTCCCCGAGCTCCCTCCCTAGAACCTCCGATTGTCTTCTGGCGAGCGCCTCCAGCTGGGCCGCTGGATCCTGTACTAGTATTAAGATCAAGAGTCTCGCAAAACATGTCCATAGCTGCATGCATACCCATTCAGTCTGTGCGGGGACCCCCTTCGCGATGGGCAGCTCGCCCTCGTCGCCGTTGTTTTCGCCGCCGAGGAACTTGGGCCGCCGGATCGGCGCAGGAGTCACGGGCAGGCTGGGCCGCTCGATCTCGGTGGGGAAGTCGGTGACGCGCACGCTGCCGCGGCGCCGCCCCGATCCGGGTAGGCCGTCCTCGTCGACGCTAGAGCCGTAGCCTTGGAGCACCTGGATGTTGCCCTTGCGGTTCCTCTGCAGGGCGCCGATGTAGCGCTCAATTTCGGGGATGTCGTCCCACGCGTTGCGGGGGTTGCTAGAGAATAAGTACCATGGGTCGGAGGGGATGGTTGTTACCGTTGATGCCATGGAGGTGGCTTGGTCGGTCGCCTCGCCGTCCTCGGTGGGCTCCAGACTGGTTGGTTGAAGGTCTTCATCTTCTGCGAATACCCTCGTGGGCCTAGGGGCGTCCTTGGTCTCCCATGGAAAGATCGGGGCTGGCTTCTGGTATGTCGGCGTCTTGGGCACTTCATAGTACATGTCTTTGGGAGGATCCGGATACCTCTCCGGGGCTTTGTACGGTGTAGGATCAGAAGACATGGAGTATTGAGTAGCGGGAAAGTTCGCAGCCTCCGGTTTTGAGCCGGAAGGTGGTGCAGACCTATTTAATTAGCTAACATGACTCAGAGTGATGATGCAGTACTTACCTTGACGCATCCCATGCAGCGAACGGTGCAACAAACTGAGGAGCTACTGGTTCATGAGCAAACTGTGGAGGCGTAACAGATGGCAACGGCGCTAAACTAGGCGATAAGTACGCTGGTCCATATTCCGCGGGGGTAGTTCCAAGTGAGATTGGGGGCTGACCGGATATTAATTGCTCTAGGGCGGACGTCACAGGCTCCGGTGGGTATGATTCTGGTCCTGGGACATAAGGCGCCGGCGACGGATCGAATGGTGCTGGCTCTGGAATAGGTTCAACATGGTCAGCCGGCTTTTCATTTTCCATCTGGGTCGTCTCGCGAAAGGATTCCTCAACGGGGACTGAGCCAAGGGTCGTAACAGGCTCCGGGGAAATGATCTCACTCTGATCGGTGCTGATGTTGACATGGCTGTAGTTCGGGGGTTCGAACTCGCCCTTCACGTAGTACTGGACAGTCGGCGATTTCTATAATGTGTCAGTGACTAGTCACGTAGCCGGATGTAACAAACATACAGTGCCTCTGTAATGCCGGTCGTATACCGCCCACCACCTTCCGGTTATCTCATCGAACGGGCCCGATCCATGGCTGGCCTCTCTTCCCTGGGTCCATGGCTTCTCCTTCCCAATAAAATGTGTCGCGCTTATACTTGACTGGAAGTGTTTATACGCCGGGATATACTGATAATGCGCGCTGGGCGTGACGTTATACGTGAAACTCAGCCGATTGAAGCTATTCTTGAAGTGCATATTCAGCAATCCCTGATCCGCACCATCAAATGAGATTCCGCGCTGCGCCATAGCATACAGCGCCCAGTAATCGCCCATGTTGGGAGTGAGCACCATCAACCCGGTGTTGAAGATATCCGGCCACCCAATATCGGGCGCCGCGGAGAACGCGGCCTCAACGGCGAAGAGCTCGTCCGGAGCGCGCCACGCCACCATGTCCGCGTCCATGTACACGATGCGTCGGAACTGGAGCTGTTTCCAGAGCGTGATTTTGGTGAAGGTCGAGTGCAGGTCGACGCGGTCCATCAGGGAGAGGTTCTGGGGCTGTTGGTTCACCATGCGGTCGACGGGGATGATGTGGTCGTAGACTCTCTGAAATTCGCGCGTTAGATATACGTAGGAATGATGCTGGGAGTGGGAAATACCTGTAGCTCTACCATGGCATCCACAGAGACGCTGTCGAGAGTGACGAGCACAGCCAGCTTCTTGATAGTCCCCGCATCTCGTAACGAATGGGCCAACACAAGAGCACCTATACAGACTCAGCATCGTCGCATTGGGTCTCGAGGGCACTTCAAATTTACCTGGCAGATACAAGTCGTTCAAGAGCAGCTATAGCTTCAGTTAGCAGGTGCAAGTCGCTGGTGGTGTTGCAAGCTCAACATACCGTGGCGTACACATCTTCAGTCGCCATGGCCGCGACAAGACGGGACTACCTTGTATCGACGATAGCAACACCAGTAAGTAGGTAGCTCCTTCCGTTCAAGATCACAGAAAGCAGCTTTGTTAGATACCCTCGGATTCGTGCCTGCCGTGTAAATAGAACACAAAGACACAGCTCCGTACCTGGTCAAATGGCAACAAGAACGTCAGGAGGGCGGTGGGAGATCCGATGACGCCTGGGCGCCTGGGCGGGTAACTTAGTCTTGAGGTACTGTACTTGGTTTACTGGTGGTGTAAACAGCTTATGGATAAATATTGCGGGTCCCGTTTTCCTTATCCCCCACGTAAATTGGGGCAGCCAGAGCAGAGGAAGCGGGGAAATTACACGGAGCGGTTGAGCGCTGAAGACCTAACGCGGTGCATGCTGCATGAAGAGAACTATATACCTATAGTTAGGTAACTGATTCATATATGTATGCTATGTACACAACAGCCATCCAGAAAGTTGTGGCAAAAAAACAAAAAATATAATCTTAGCTTATAGCTGTGACGGCATTTATCATAACGCGTCTCAGTTGTTGATTGCTGGTTACCGTTACCCATCTTTTCTAGCTTAACTTAGTCCAACTACCACTCTTCCCACGACTTTCTAACACGTTAAATGGTCCTATCCGTTCCTTTTGTGCCCTTGTGCAGCGTTCCGTGCCTTTTTTGAACCCCTACTTTATTGTGCATGACACCATTCGTTGTTCGAGCTGTGATCGAGCTGTGATTAGACTTAATTGTCCAGTGTGTACTCCGACTTGGACGTCGTGCAGACATCCAAGTCGGGGTACACAGGGCCTCACGCGCTGTTGCATGCCTCCTCCATGCCCATTACCCTGCACCACAATCACAGCGGCAATCCCAATAGCAACCACACATACGATAATAAACCCAATCTTTCAATTCCTCGTACACAAAGTGGTATAGCTTACAGACGCCAGCCCCATAATCTAAGTTGGGGGCGCGAAAAGATACAAAAAACGCCAGCTCACGCTCTCCGCCGCCCACAACCCCCGCTCTCCCTTTTCTTTTCCTTCCAGTCATACATTCCGTTTATCGGTCACTCATCCCTTAAGCGTCCCCATCTTCCTTGACTTCCTCCACGCTCGCAGCCTTAGCCTTGCCTTTCCCTTTCCCTTCTTCCTCTGATGTATGCGTCTCCTCAGGTGCAGCTGAACCATTCGCAGCGACATCACCAGTCGCTCTCACAGTTTCCTGCACTTCATCCGCCTGCACCGACGAGGGAAGTATCCCCGGGTCGGCACCAGCAGTCGTTACATCACCCCCAGCCGCCTCACCCGCCTGCTGCCCAGGGAACACAAACGGCGCGCTCCAATCCGGTAGTGGTGCCTCATCAGTCTCCGCTGCACTATCTGCAGTTTCAGAAACCTCGGTTATAGACGAGGCTGGCTCTGCCAAAGGCACCGTCGGAGTGGGATCCGAAGAGGGTCCAGGGGTGGTCAGGAGAGGACTAGGCACAACCTCTACCGGGGCAGAATCTGCGGCAGCTTCTGGATGAGCTACTATAGGATCGGCCACAAGCGATGGAGTACTCATATCCATTGGGGTAACCTCAGCAACCGGCGTTCCTTCAGTCGCAGAGGCTTGCGGCTGCGCCGCTAGACCCCCCAACCCAGCCGGAGCTGCATCTTGTGCCGCCGAAGGCCCGGCCTGCGGCTGTAACAACGTATCCATATTCTGCAACGGCAACAGCGACCAACCCTCCGGGATCGTAACACCAGGCGGCAAATTCGGGCTCCCGCTCGGAATCGCCGTCGTGCTCGCTAGATGCTCATGGCGCTGCACAAACGACACCGGTGCCGTGACAGACGGTTGCGCTTCCGCCTGAGGATGCTGGTGGTCAGGTGCACGTAGTTGGCGCAGGCGGAGTAGCTCAGCTTGCAGTTGGCGGACGAGGACAAGCTCCGCCTCCGCGACGGAGAGACTCTGGATCTCCTGGACGATCTGCTGCTCGAGATGCTGTAATTGGGATTGCACATTTGCGGCCCCCGAAGGCGGGGCATACAGACCCTGAGGTGCGTGGGGGTGTCTCATCCCCTGGGGTGGAGGCGGGAATCCCATCTCGAACCCGTAGACGCGCGCGTTGGGCGGGATAGGGGCTTGGCCGGGCGGAACGCCTGGGAAGGCTTGCTGGTTCGGTGGCGGTGGGCCAAAATCAATCATCTCGTCACGGCCAAAGGCAAATCGTAGGGGTCCGATATTGATCCCTCTGGCGACGTGTACCCTTGCTCTATTATCAGCAACGGGTGGGCCTTGCGGGAGGGGAAGTTGGCCGGGGAGATGGGGCTGGGCTCCGCCTCCTGGCCTCGGCGCCTGGGCTCCTGTGGGTCTGGTATCTACGACGGGTCGGCGACAAGTCGGACAAACCTGCTGCCTTTCGAGCCAGCTCTTCAAGCATCCAAGGTGCAGAACGTGTCCGCAAGGTAGCTTCTTCGGCCGGGATCGCTCGCTGATTATCGGGCTTCGAGCAACAGGTGGCCGCGGAGCGCCTGCTGCCGGAGCACCTGGTGCTGGATTCGTGACAGACCAGGGCGTCATCTCTTCTCTGCAAATAATGCAGGTATCTTCTCTCTGGATTTCTTCCTCGGTAGCGTCGGGGTATCTCTGGTTCATATCTCTCGTTGCGTTCCTGTATTTCAGGATTGCACTAAGGCGCTTGAGAAACGAACGCGCGGTAAGGAATAGGTCGCGCATAATATGGATAGGCAGACCGTAGAAGGTCAGAAGGATAAAGAAGAAGGCAGAGTAGATACCCAGCTTGACGAAATCTACAATGCATGTCAGCAAGCGGAAACATAAGAGTAAAAGAAATGGATTCTTGCATACCGGTCATGAGGTCAAGGGTCAACACCCAATGACCCTTCGTTTCCCATCCAGGTGGTTCAATGTCCATCTCTTCAATATCATCTTCCGAGGGCAACGGCTCCTCCGCCGCTTCAGTTGACAGTGGCTCGCCGCTAGCAGCCGCAGCCTCCCTCTCTCTTATCATCTCCTGTCGTTGCCTCCTAACCTCGCCCCTCCGGCTCTCCAGCATCTCCTGCGTCTGCTGCTTCACGATCCTGGCCTCGATCAAAGAGATTCCATACCGGAGTGCTGTCGAGAACGACGACGCCGTCAGAATCGCAAATTCAAACAGGAACATAACCATCATGTTCGGCCTAGCCTGCTGGATGACCGAGTTTATAGAGTATGAAAGCAGCCAAGCGTCATAGAGAATGGACATGGTGAGGGAGATCGAGAGACGAACATGGAAAAGCCGTGGGTTTGCAGGCGGTTGCTGTTCGAGTATTTCCACCCTGCCTTCCCCAACCCATCCCCATATCTTGCCGGCCATTAAACCCACGAACATAACGAGGAACCAGGCCCCGACTTCATCGCGGAATATGGTCATGGCCAGACATGTCTCGGTGATGGCGAACCATCCCTTCTCGTATAGCTGCTCGACTTCGATTGGACGTAACGGGCCGTAGCATATTCGCTGGAGGCAGTAGATGAAGGATGCGACGATGAAGAGCGTTAAGTTTGTAAGGACCTAGAGTAAGGTGGTTAGTCTGCGCTTTGTGATAGTTTAAGGGTCTGGGCCTAGGCTCACCATCAAAGACAAATTGCTCTGCGACAAATAAACACACGCCGAGTAGAAATTCGGCCGCTGGTTGAATGCATGGACTACCACCCCCACAGCTAGAGCTGTCGAAGCCTAAATAATTCATTAGTTGTCTATTCCCCCAATCCCCCCAGGTCACTTTGGAGCTCACCCCGACATAAGCTGCGAGTCGCATCGTGTGACAGCTCCAATTCCCAGCCCTCTGAATTTGTTGAGTGTGCTGGCGCAGATGGGCTTATGTGCCCATAGTCAGCGGAGCTTGCGGATTGGCACGGCACCTCTCTGGTTGCGTTCGTGGTGTTGATGTCAGGCAGGCGTTTGAAGCCACGTCGATGGATTCGTCGTGCAATTGCTCCGCTCCGTCGTTCCGCCACAGTATAGGCTTCCTTGTTTTCTCGGCTCACCGCCCACGATTCTGCCGCTACTTGTAATCACAGCTCGGTACTACTATCAACTGACGGATACAAGAGAAACGATCTGCTACTTAATGATTACATAACTACGACACGGGGAAAGAATAAGTAAATGGAGTATTAGCTTTTCTTGTACTAGCTATAGGTCGCTACCGTCTGTAGGGCTCTGCTATACCACCCTGGCGCCCAAAAATAACATCTTGCCAATTTCGCAATTATATAATACAAATCCAGCGCCCCTATCAACCGCCGATGGTAATCTCTTCCCAGCTTTTCACGCGCATCTTCCTCACATATCCTTCTTAAATGTGTGCTCTGGCTTATGCGTAGTCTCGTAGTCCACATGGACATACGCGCGCTCGATATCTGGCAGGCTCTCAATCTTGATCTGGAGCTCCTCTGCCACATCATGCGTAGCCCTCAGAGTTGCCTCTGGCGCCATCACGACGTCGACCTCGGCGATGAGCCTTGGCCCGCTGTGGTAGCAGCGCACGGTATCGATGGCGATAATATCCGATGAGTGAATAAGGCATGTGTATGTAAGAAGCTGGTGCATGTCCACGGGTCCAGTAACCCCAACCAGGAGCATGAACTCAGAGAAGGCGGTACGCAACCAGATGATGGAGACGGTGGCGGAGAGAATGATGGCGCCCATAGGATCGATCCACCACTTGAGCTTGGAGCCGCCGACGGAGGTGAGGATACCGAAGCCGTTAATCAGGAGGTCATTGCGGTGGTCCTTCCAGAGAATCATGATCTGCGAGTTCTTATCCTTCAAGGCCCAGCAGTATAAGAACAAGCAAAACTTGGTGATGAAGGCAACAGCGACGGCGATGACAGCGGGAAAGTGAAAGCCGTTGGTCTCTGCATCTTTGGTCTCCACGAGATCCTTAGTAGAGAAAGCAATCAGGATGGCGGACACGGCGATCATGATGAAGCAGAAAGAGATGTTTCCAACGGTTTCCAATCGCGCCTTTCCAGACGGGAATTTCCTTGGGTCAACTCTCGATACAGCGCGGTTGGCAACAATCAGGGCAACGTTCGACAACGGGTCGAAAACGGCGTCTGCCATCGTCGTAAACAGAGAGAGCGATCCGGAGGCAATAGCACCGTATAGCTGTAGGCCGGACAACACGATGTTGGCAATCAGCGACCCGTAAATTGCAATCTGGAACTTTAAGTGGTTGTCCCCAGCCTCCTGCCTAGCCTCCTCTACGTGGTGGTCCACGGGTTTGAGCAGGCGCTCGATATTCTCATTCTGTGTCTTATAGAAGCCCTGGAGCTTCTTCGCCCTCGCTGAATCTTTTTTCAGCGTCAAGGGCCCGCAGCCATCGCGCTTCCTCGATGAGTTGGCACGGATGGCTTCGAGTTCGGTCTCAGACTTGAATTTCGCAGAAAGATTGTAGGGATCGTTTTCGCGCCTGTACTGCGGCGGATGCTGCCCTTCGACATCTGAGGCGCTCATGACGTGTCGAGCAGTTGGCTCGTTGCCCTCAGGATGTTCAAGGTCTATTGCGGTTGTTGAGGCATCTTTATCGGTGACGACTGCTGTTCTATGGCCTGATCTTGCAGATTCTGGGCGGTTCGGGTGCATGTGAAACAAATGCGGGTGCATCGTGATGCTGTTGCTGAGATCTGGTGAATAGCCCATGATGGCTGTCGGTGATGTTGGATGTTGGATGTAGGATGCTGTATGTCGGAAATGCTGGATGAGGCGTGTCCAAAGGGTGTGGCAAGGAAATATGATGGGTATCAATGATATAGAAAAAGAAGTATGGGCTATTCCAATACAGGTGGAATTAAATGAAATAAATACCGGTCGTGAAGACACGGTTGTTGTTGTGTTGAAGCTTCTACCTGAAAATTGTCCGCGTAACTCACCTTCGTTCAGTCATGGATATGACCCTTTCCAACGCTCTTCTCTTAGCTCCAGATAACATGGCTGCTGTGCCTGGGCGGACCCACGTGCTGGCGATAGCGGCGCCATAGGCAGCTGTTTAAAGAGAGGCAGCAACATTAACAAGGCAGATCTCAATTCTGAAGTTTGGCATTAGATGTTCTCATCGCCTCACCATCAAAAAATGGCCGAAGAAAGAAGGAAAATAAAATCTGTCCACGGTGAAGCTCATTAGGCTCTGTTGCCCGACGATTGGTGTCCGGGTCTTCCCTGGGCGATTCCAACTTCAGATCACAAAGCTTACGAATTGACATTTACAGGCGCGTTTTACTTTGTGTTTCTCATCAGAATGTTGAAACTCAAATATATCAACGTCAAACCAGGGAGTATTACCTGAGATATGGAGTTTGTGAAAGGCTCCACAACAACGTTGAGCACCCAACAAGGTTTTGCAAGTATCACCAACATTACATTGAGCTCGGACAGCAATAAGGAGGATTCACTTGGGATCTACGTTTCAGAAGCATCATCAGATTTATGTCAAGTTCAGACGAACTCCCAGGATCGTCATGTTTCAAGGCACAGATGCAGCTTGTATCGTCAACATGATGTTTGTGCGCAGCCCTGCGAGCTCCAGGATGGTCGCGTTTCAGAGTCGCCAGACATACATAGATGAGTTTGCGCATCTTCCCCTCTTGAAACGCGAGCTCACTAACAACTGCAGTCAATATCGCGCATTGCTGACCGGACTCGAGTGATCCAGAGTGCAGGTTTCCAGGAGGACAAGGACAACACCACCGACGGACAGGAGATATCGCAGTGAGGGGTACCGGGTTGCCCTTTCCAGGCGACTTGTGCTACTGCTTGAAGCTTGGAAGGGTAGATGCGGCGGGCTGTTGTGGGTAAAGTCGGCCTTGGGAGAAGTCAAGCATTCTCCAAGTCAGTTGTGTATCGCGGGAGCAATTCTGTGCAAAGACGCAAAGCCTGGCCAAGACGGCGGCGCTGTGCTATACATATATATTTATATATATTTGCCACAGAGCTTAAGGCAGACAGCTGAAGGACAGCTGAAGGCCCATACTCCATGGCCATTGGCCGTTGGGATGGACCAAACATTGTCGCCCATCGACTTTGACGCCGATAACTGCGATGCATTAATAGCCAGTCTATTGATTCTGCAATCTATCTTGGGGCTACTGCTGTGCTCCACTACGGCGCCAAAAGTTTCCGTACGGGTCTGTGCACGAATTGCGTAAATGACAACAGACCCGTACGGAAACTTTTGGCGCCGTACTTGTATTGGTGTCTGCCGGGGTCATACTAAGTACAGCGGGTCGATTAATTGGATACAGTACGCGCCGGCTGCCACAAGCGACAGCCAAGATGTTTCTAACAATAGGTCTTAGCGGTATTGCTAAAAGCGCCCTATATGCCGTCCAATCATTGAACCCACAGGCCGATTACTCGTCCTACTATCCGTCCGGCGTGTCGCTTTACAGATTGAATATTGCATCTCGAAGGATAAATCTGCATCTATCCAGGGATGAGATTGTACTCTCTTGGCAGGGCTTCCGGGCCGGCTGGCAAGCATATCCAGGAGAAGGAGAAAGGGCCCAAACTCGTCGTATTTCCTAGTGCTTACTTTGTATACTCACCTCGTCGATTACTCGATCAGAAGCACTGGGGAGTCTTATCCGGACCAAGTTTTGGGGAGAAGCACGGTGTTTGTTTCACCCAGCGGAGTCGGCGCTAACACAATCGTCAGACGACGCGAAGCGTTTCCCGCCTTGCCCTGTTTCCTCATTGGAGGGAGTCTGGCTGCCCATACGGCGCCCCAAGCGTCTATCAAGAAAGCCAATCCGGGGGTAGATCCCGATGTCACTCTGTGGAGGCACCAATCCCAACCAACCCCAGCTAAACACCCCACTACAGATCATTCCGACCACTGATGGCCGATCAAGCAGGGGTCATGAGCTTTCAACCTTCAGGGGTACACATTCCACCCCGATAACCACAACATCGACGAATGGCCAATGATAGTTGTCAGCAGCGGCTTTTCTCTCCTGCAGTGATCGGCCCTTGACCGTTCTGTGACACTAGGCGTACGCTTGACCAAATAGACCCTCATTAAGAATGGACCCCAGTCGCACGGCAGCAAAATGGCCAATCGCCCTATTTTCAGCACCTTTCTGTGAGCTGTTGGGGGTGTGGAGCGTCGTCAAAAGGCGCCATGCCAGTCATTGCGTATAAGACAGAGCTGGCATCCGGCCCAAAGTAGGCCTGTCTACGATCATCAGCCTCTGAACTACCATCCTCCTCTATTTTCAGTTTCTTTCCTCTGTTGGGTCTTTTCCTTGAGTCTCTCTTACGTTTATATCTATTCTATCTACTTGGGTTATCTCATTGAAGGTCGAAACTGTACCTACGCCGTGTTTATATCTACCTCAACAACCAACATCTCGCACATATCAACCATGCGTTACTCGCTATGGTTCGCAGCAGCGCTGGCGCCGTTTGCACTTGCAGCCCCGAAATACGACGGCTGGCTCCCCGCCCAGCCGGGGGACTCCAAGTTCATCGCCACATACTTCAACCAGCTTGCCCAGAAGGTCGGAGAGGGGAGGCATTGGGCCGCCGCACCAGTCTGCGATCTAAGCAAAGCCGTGATGCCAGCTTGTAAGTCACCCCACCCCACCTGCCAACCGCACGCGAACCAACTCTAACCCCTCCCGCAGCAACAGAACCATTACCCGCACCTGACGCCGGCACAACCCTAAAGCACGTCGCCATCGGCCGCGGCATCCAGAACTACACCTGCGACACCACCAACGCCACCGCCATCCCCAAGGCGATCGGCGCAGTAGCAACCCTCTACAACGCCTCGTGCGTCGCCGCGACCTTGCCCATGGTCCTCAACACCCTCTCCGGCTTCGCCCTGCAATTCAACCTGGGCCCCAACCCCGCCGCCCCGAACCCCGCCAACCTCGGGGTCTCGGGCCAGCACTTCTTCACTGAGGCTGGTGTCCCATTCTTCAACCTCAACACTACGAACCAGCAGATCGGAACGCTGCCATGTAGCAAGAATGCAAGTGCGGCTGCCCCGGCAACCGCGATTAAGGGACAAGCCTATAAGGGAAATGGTGCGGTTGCGTGGCTCAAGCTTACGGCTGTGGATGGCGCAACTGGCAACCTCGAGAGCGTTTACCGTCTCAACACTGCTGGTGGTAACCCACCAGCAACATGCGAGGGCATGTCTGCTACGTTCGAAGTTGAATATGCCGCCGAGTAAGTTTCCCATACCTCTATTCCCATTGACCATTGACTAACAAAACACAGGTACTGGTTCTTCCGCAGCTAAAAAGTGTCGACGAGGCGGTGGCCAGTGTGAATAGGCGAGGCGAGCGTAGATATAATTCCTTCAATTCGGTAGCCGTCAGTGACGCGCTCTTCTCTCGTACCGCAAGGATATGAAGGGGGGGCATTTTGGGTAATGGAGTACTGGAGTTGTCATGTTTTATACATTGGCGGAGTTTACATTGTACATTTACCTACTGAGCTATGACTCGGAAAAGTAGATAGTGTGCGAATGAACTCCTTTGCTAATATTATATGCCTATCTGCTATGTGACTTGGTAAATGTGTGCTTAATGGTATGGGCGCTTAATTAGAGGGTGTATCTTGGTAGGTCTTAGAGCTTCAGGGGTCTGATAATAAGTGTCATATTCAGGGTTTATCGGTAGAAACATTGTTTCTATTTACACCAATAAAATAGTATGGTCTGTCTTCTACTTTATATGACATTTACGACAATCGAACGGGTATCTTTACTCTAACATCACCACCCCGCCCCCCCCCCCGACTCCCTCCTCACCTTCCCCACCCCAAGAACAACCCAAAACCCCAACTCCCTCTTCACCTTCGCCCCCACCCCCCCATCCTTCTCCTCCCCCCCCTCCGCCTCCCACTCCACCCTAACCCTCACCGGAATCTCCAGCGCCTCCTCCTCCTCCTCCCCCTCCTCCTCCTCCTCCTCCCCCTCCTCCCCCTCCTCCCCACTCACCTCACTCCTCGCATCCCGAAACCCCTCCTCCACCCCCGGCACAACCTCAACAACAACCCCGACCGCATTCCGAGCCCTCTCATACACCTTCCCCGCCTCTCCTTCGCCGGTTCCCGCGTTCGCTTCGCCCCCACTGAGAGCCTCGTCTAACATATCCGCGTACGCTTCCCTACTCGCACCGACCTCAAACTGTGGACACAGAAGCGTAACTCCATGCGCCACACGTCCCGGCGTCTTAGCCGCCGCAGCGAGAGTGACGCGCACGCGCTCATAGAGGGGATTCCGCACCGTCAGCACGAACTGGTGCGTCGTGCCCGGCTGCAAAAGTTGCGTCGCGCCTGCCGCAGCAGCGGGTGCCGATGGAGTAGGGAGGGGCCGGATGGAAAAGGTAGGGATGTATGATGCAGCCAGCATCTTCATCCTGAAGCGCGAGGTCTGTACTTTCGCTTCAGGGCGCACGACGATGTGTTTACACGTGCGACACCGCTTTGTGCGCTTCGTGCGCAGAAGGTAGGGCGAGGGGCGTAGTTCAGAGGTGGAGTGGATGTCGCATGTGGGAAAAGGCTGGGCGGCGCGCTGTTCGGTGGAGGGTGTCCCTGCCCAGCCTTCTTTGCGGAGTCGGAGGATGGTGGCTGCTTCGGAGGCGGGGTCGGGGATGGGATGGAGGCCCTCTGAGGTGTTCAGGGCCTCGCGGACCTGAGTCATGCGTTTTTGTGTCGTGGGAGAGGGGTAGGAGGTGTAGAGGTTCATGATTCGGGAGAGCGCGTTGGGGGAGGCGTAGCTGTAATCGTTTGTGAAGGCGGAGCGCTCTGTGGAGCCGTGAGACGACATCTGGCTCTGGTAAAAGGCACGGAGGCTGGCGAAGCGGGCTTCCGGTGTGGGATCTGTGTCTTCTTCCTCACCAGCGTCGGACTCGGGCGTGTCGTGTTCGGAGACCTTGGAGAGTGTGGAGCGGCGCTCGCCGGGGCGGCGATCGGTGTCTTTCCCGAGAGCGCGTTCTTTTGGGGGCGTGATGACTTGCCCGCCGTTGCGGATGCGGGAGAGTTGGTTGTAGATGCCGTTGGGTCTGTCGAATTGGATGCCGATTTCGGAAGATGACCAGGAACAGGAGGCGCAGGAGAGGACCCAGTGCGAGCTGTCGGCCCCGCCGAGGAGGGTGTTGGAGGCGCCTTGGCCGGTCAGGGATAGAGGTGCAATGCAGATTGGGCATTGGAAGCAGGATCGTGTGCATCTTTAGAGTTCGGGTGGTTAGCCATGGCTTCAAACGGACGCGTGGGATGGAAGTGCTGGATATGGCAAACATACCTATTCCCCTCGCTCTTCACAGTACTACTGGGCACCTCAAACAAGCAGTTCGGACAGAACCACGTCACTATCTCATCGGCCAGACATCGCTGGCATCGAATCTGCGCGCAAATCTCGCAGTAAAGCAGGTGATCGATGGGGTATAAGCTGTAGTTGGCGCGTGGATTGTGCGGGTCGAAGTCGTCGTCTTCCTCTGCCCTCTCCTCAGAGGAATCGACAGAGTCCTTATCGCCCTGGCGCTCTTCCCTGTCGCCGTCATGATGCGTGTCTCTCGTACAGGGGCATTGGATGTACGTGTATGGTATCGCGGCCGCCATCGTTGGTGGTATGTTGCGAGGTTGAGGGACGAGGCTGTAATTATTTTTAGGCGTGCTTAGCGTTTGGGTCCCGGAGGAAGCTTTGTCCGACGTCACAGCGATTTCAGGGGTAACTTTAGGCGACAAACAGGAGTACAGTACGTAGTACCTACTGTACTATCATAAATCCTACGGAGGTGTTGTTCATAAGTTTTGTGAGTGGGTCATGAGATGACCGGGGGTTGGGCATGGGTTGGAGCATGGGTACGCGTAGGCTTGTTTGTACCTTTTTAACGCGTCAAAATTCCTACTATTGTATTTTATATGTAGGAAATTCATACTCTTTCAATAACTACAATGCCTCATCTTACTCGCGATGAGCGGCTTCGTTGCGCACTACTACGCTCCCTAGATTGGGAGTTCCAAAAAATTGCAGCCTATATTGGCTGCACGGAACGGCAGGCTTGGTATGCTTGCCAGGGCCCTCCAACTCCGAAGAAGCGTTCGGGTAGGCCACTTATCCTATCCGATGAGCAAGTTCAAGAGGTTATTGAGTTTATAGCCTCATCTCGCACGAATAGGCGTATGCCATATACAAATATAATACGCATTCTTAATATTCCATGCTCACGGCTTGTCCTAACCCGCGCTCTGTCTGTGAGAGGCTATAATCGACATAAGTATCCCTCTCTACTTTACTACTATATAGACTAATAATTATTAAGGGATTGCTATGCGGAAGCCTATTATCTCAGAGACAAATCGACAAAAGCGACTTTCATGGGCTATTGAACATAAGGATTGGGTACGGAATGATTGGAATAGGATACTTTGGACTGACGAGACATGGGTAACGGGAGGCCGCCATACTCGTACATGGGTTACTCGAAAAGCAGGGGAAATGTGGGATGATACATGTGTTGTAGATAGAGTACAACGGAGAAGGTAAGAGACTCCTATTTACTATAGGATTTACTAACAATCCCTAGAGGTTGGATGTTCTGGGGCTGCTTCTCAGGTGGTCTTGGAAAGGGTCCTATACTATTTTGGGAGAAGGAATATGGGAAAATAGGAGCTGAGTCCTATATGGCTCATACTGTCCCTCTAATCCACGGCTGGCTACGCCTATACCCAGGCCTTACATTGATGCAAGATGGAGCTCCAGGTCATAGAGCAGCTGCAACATATGAAGAGTTGAGATCCCGTGGTATTTGCCCTATAGAATGGCCCCCGTATTCACCAGATCTCAACCCAATTGAATGGGTGTGGCATATTATGAAGAATTATCTACAAGATAATCATCCAGAACATATGTCCTACGACCAGCTCCGTGTAGCTGTTAAGGAAGCATGGGAGCAAGTTGGAGAAGCTGAGCTTAATGCTCTCCTTAATAGTATGCCTACACGTATGGCAGCAGTAATTGCTGCAAATGGTATGCACACAGAGTACTAGGCTTATAGTATAGTTTTATATAGGGGTTTAGGTATCTACTCTACTCATTATTCTACAGAATTGATTGCTCTCACACTCAAGTGTTCGTGACGCGTGAGAATCGGTACTTTGGCCAGAATTGCCAAACCAGCCTACGCAGGGGGCCCTAGCCCGACCCACTCACAAAACTTACCTTAGGGGGGTTGGCCCATTTTTCAATTCCATTGGACAGGATTTATCGTAAAAAATGGTCTAATACCAATATACACCATGCTACGCAGCCAATCTATTGGCTGCGTAAGCTGTACCTAGCTACATATTCTATTGCCAAGCCTATTGTGCCACTATTCCCACTTGGCACTATTCCAACAGCCAATCATAATATATAAAGGAACACGCTTACACAATAAGGTAGTAGTAGACACTATGCTAGGAATAGTATTGAAACCAGGGTTACACTAACAGCGTTAATAAATAGACACCTGTATAAGAGACAATTGTCAGAGTTAAATAATCCCAAAAATAAACACGTGACACATTGGCAAAATACACGTGATATATGGTCAACTCTATTATTACGAGGGTATAATTAAGGAGACAGTGTTATATTATACTAATGAAGCAAATACTATATTATTATAACCCCTCCTCGAATACGTCTTGTAAACTACGTCTACTGCTATAAGCACCGTTGGTATCGTCGTCGTAGTGGTCATCGTCATCGTCATCGTCATTCTCATCATCCATAAATTGCTCAGGCCTGTCGTTACTACTTCCATCCTCGTCTGCCGAACCCCAGTCAATGTCATCCTTTAGTGTTCCAATAGATTGCTGTGCAATCTGGTCGTCTATAAGGGGCATTTTCCTCCGTCGTCCATACATATCCTTGAACTTCAATCGTTTTGGGCCGATATTAGTATGCTGGTTTCTTGGGTAGGCATCAAACCAGTTGAGGAGCACCTGTCTGGGTACCCCATTCCGAACACCATGGTTCTGTTCGAAGTCAAGGTGGAGCTTTACCTTTACAGCTAGTGACACAAACCAGTCTAATATAGTTAGCACAAAACAGTAACCACTTATAAACAACGTACATTTAATCCAGAACGGGCCTGGAGCAATTGACACTGTTCCGTTAGGACGCAGTTCACTTGACTCAATCTTCTCGTAGAACAGTATATATCGACTTGCCCAGCAAAAGACACTCTCTGCATCAACAACGCTGTAAATAGACTCGAACACTTCAAAGAGTCGAGATAGGTCTTGTTCATTCAGCAGAAACGACATGGATGGTTTTGTAAGGGTTTTACCAACCCATTCCTGTACATGTTCAGACAAGCTACTATATTTTGGGTTGGAGGGTCATACCATCATGCAGGTAATAGTCCGGTGCTTCCAGGTATTTGTATTGCCTCTTGCTTTATAGAGAGCCTTGTCTCGAAGCGCAAAGTTCTCATCGAAGTCAACAGATAGTGCAACGTCATTTACTATAGCCTCAAGCTCCTTGTCTGTTGCTCGCCCATATCAGAGGGTAAGTCGTCGTATTTCAGGATCCAACTTCTTCCTGATTTGTTTCCACG